AGCACTGTGATTTGAATACTTTGTGGCCACTTTGTTGCCTCTAACGGTTTCTCCTCCAGCCCCCGCACTCTCACGTCTGGCGTCCCCCAGGGCTCTGTCCTTGGCCCTCTCCTCTTTAATCTCTACATACTTTCCCCCCCCCCCTTGGTGACGTCATCCGCAGACATGGGGTCAACTTCCACATGTACACGCGGATGACACCCAACTCTATCTTTCTGCCTCCACCTTCAACTCCAGGACCACCATTGGCGGGAGAGCCTTCAGCTACTTCGCCCCCAACCTCTGGAATTCCATCCCCCAATCACTCCGCCTCGCCCCCTCCTTAGCCTCCTTCAAGTCCGGCCTCAAGACCCTCTTCTTCGACCATGCCATCGGTCACCCCCCCTCCCCTCCCTTCCCCCCCGACCCAGCTCGGGTCTGAAATGTTGTACACCGTCCAGCGCCTTGCGATGTCCTCCCGACCTGAAAGGCGCTATACAAATATAATCTTGCTGCTGTCAATGAGTCCAAAGCCCTGCCCTCTCTACCACTTTTTTTTAACAAATATATTTATGAGTATGAAAATGTATTTCACTTTCCTCACGAAAAACCACATCCGTGACAGAAAAAATAAAATACGCAAAACTCCAACCTCGTTATCCTCTCCAGCACCTTCCTGCTTCACCTGTTCCAGCCTTTGCGGGGGGGAAAAAATACTTCCTGGTGTCTGTTCCAATCTTGCCTTTTACACCCTCAGTGGCCCTGCACTAAACAGGCTAAGGGCCAAGGATTGATCCCCGAGGAGATTATGCAAGTAGCAATTGCTGATTAATTCCTTTTGTGAAATGTAACTTTTTTTGGAAGCGGACTTGCTGCAATCCGTGGGAAGGGGCGAGTGAGAGACATGGTTAAACATGGCAAGCTCAGGAATTATTGCTAAATTTACTGTCTGGTACTGTGTGCTTTCTGTTGCTTCTTGCAAAGGAACCCAAATGCGAGAAAGCAGTTATCTCTTTGCTGTTATCTTTTTCCTCTCAGTATTTACCAATGGGACTGTTTACCATGTCTGCATGAAATTGCTGCCTCAGTGGAAGTTAACTTCTTTGTTTAACGTTCAGCTTCAGGCAAACCAGAACATTCTTGAGCTACCTTTAAAATGCTGCATATGGCCTTGGGGTACTATTTAAGATAGTTTTATCTACACTCTTTCCTCTTCCTCTCTTCCCCCCCCCTCCCCAAAGCTATCAAACATTGATCGGGAATCACTGTCAGTGCCTGCGCGAAAGAAAACTAGAATGGCAGTAAGTCTCTCGAATTGAATTTGCCCTCGTATCGTCTGAGTAATGACCGTTAACATGGAGGATGGGAAAAGAGGCACATGGTACAAATGCCTGTCAGGTTGTCAGATGGTCAGAGCAGAGCTGATCCTCACAAGATCCTTCACAAGTTTTTGTAATTAGATTATTTGCTGTTTTAAAGATTAAATTTCGTTTTCCTTCTGCAGTTCCCAACTGCAAATTTGATTCCGGGCCCAATGAGAAAAGCTGCCCCAGGCTGCAGTTAACGAATTAGAGCTTGTTTCCAGCCCACGTTCTCTCCTGCGCAAGGCTCCATTAGCTCAAGGGTCCACTAGCAGCCGATGTTGCAGTGGAACAAACTTAGGGTCCATGGTCTTGCCCCATCCCTATATTAATAATAAATGATAATCTTGCATTTGATGTAGCACCTTATCACGTCTTCGAGTCGTCTCAAAGCGCTTCACGGAATATATTGTAAAGTGAACTGACTGTATATTTTGTGGGCGAAACAGTTGAAACTATCTCTGCGATCACTTGTGGTTGTTGTTGTCGTCCTACTCCCCCACCTGCTCTCCTCGCTCCGCCAACACTAGACTGCTTCACGTCTCTGCTTCCTTCACTCCGCTGGCGAGCTTACCGCCCCCTGCTCGTGGTAGCTCTTCTGAAATTCCTCTGCTTCATTCCCTTCCATCTTTGCTTTCAACACCAATCTTAAAAAAAAACTCTCTCTTTAATTGAGTCTTTCACCACCTCCTTCCCAACTGCACGTCATACAACACACGTTTGCAGTTTACAATATATCCTGTGAAGCACTTTGGGGTCGTCCTCCTGACGTGAAAGGTGCTATATCAAATGTAAGTTTATTATTCTCTACCCAGCTCAGGTTTCCACTCTGCCTCAACAATGTGCATTTGAGATGCTTTCCTACGTGACAAGTGCTGTATAAGTGTAAAGGGGTGCGTGCGTGTGCGCAGAGCAGGAGGAGATGCATCTCAAGCCGTTTCACTGAATTTACTGTGAAGTGCTGTGACTGTGTACTTTGTTGGCAAATGTAGCATAGCAATATCCCACAAGCAGCTATGAAGTTAATGACCAATTTTACTTGGGAAATTGTTGGCCAGGACATGGGGAGAAACTCCCTTTTCTTTTGGAATGGGTTAACAATGCAGATTTGTGTGTTACTGTTGGTTTTCGAGACCTATTCTCAATTTCCTGCTCGTGATCAGTGAGAGCAGGCATTCATTCATTTAATCCATCTATCTGTACACCCCCCCCCCCCAACCCTACCCCAGGGCATGTACAGATAGCTGGATTAAATGATGAAAACATTAGACACCAGGAGATCACGAGGTGTAGCTAATGTCATGAGACCAAAGCAGCAGCAAGTGCCTGAAATCAGAATATAAACACACTGCACTTTGAGGGGGGGGCATATAGTGTATGATACAGATTTTGGAAGATATGATTTAAAGGATCTTCTGGTGGTAAGCTGTTTGAAACTGGGCTGATCCCCAGGGAAGAAGGATGAGCTACAAGGAATGACAGAAGGGACCTTCAAAGAGGTATATGTATTGACATTATTGACATATGTTAAATGTAGAAAACCTAAAAGCTAAAATTGAAATTTTAGCCTCGACTATGAGCTCAACGTTCTGACGTGAGACTTTAACCCACAATCTTCTGACCCAGAGGTGAGCGTGCTACAAACTGAGCCAGGCTGTCAGATTGGGGGTGGGGGGGTTGTGGGGGTGGGGGGTGAAATTGAATACAAGTCTAAGTTTACACCTGTTGAACTTCTTTGTGTGAGTTTAGCGGATGACAGTTTTTGGTCAGCCAATGTATTGCTGGAATCTAACAGTTCAAATTAGTTTGTTCCTGTAATCTACTTTAGTGATTCGTTGCCAAGAGACGACATGTTGTTTGCCCAGTAATAGCATTGATTGCGGATTAGCGTCTGCCACAGCCCCCTTCGTGTGCATTGCTGTCTCCGCAGCCCGCACAGATCACGCCTGCAGCCTGCCTCATTTTGTGCTGATAACTCCAAACACGATTTAAGTTTAAATGTCAGGCACGTCAGACCTGTGCCTGAGGCAGAACCTACCCTGCTGAATGAATGCCACACTGGCTTGGTATTCGATCAATGCCAATTTAAGCGCATTAGGAGGATATGAATCTTAAAACTGGAATCTGATTGAGGGTTTAATTCGTACAGTAACAGGACCACAAAGTCACACTGGCAGGTGGCTGGGATCTTGCAGTGGAGTTTAATAGTCAGTGAGACGAGGTGAGTTGTGGGATTAGTCTCTCTAGAATATCTCACAAACAATAGTTACCTTGTCCTCTGCATTGATTTCAAAACGGGAAGTGATGACATGATAATTGTGGCTATAGGTTTCGAACATCTCAAAGTGCAGAACCAACAACCTTGGTTTAACGTCTCATCTGAAGGATGGAAGATGGTTACTAATTGTAAGCCAACTAAGTATGGTTATTAATTGTAGGTGAACAAGAGCCAAGTTTGCACATAGCAAGACCCACAAGCAGGTATGAAATTATTTACTCTAAATAATAATTATAGCACCTTACATGTCTCAAAGAACTTCGCAGGACATACAGTACTAGGAAGTCGAATGATTGTTTTGTAGCCCAATTTATCCGGTGAATAGTGTGGTGCATCTTTAACATCCACATGAACAGACAAACCAGAGGTTTAACATCTTGTCTGAAGGTTGGAAGATCTAACAAAGCAGTGCTCCCCTCGCACTGTGCTGAAGCCTCTGCCTAGACGATCAGTGACATTTGTGAGTCCATAAGTAGCTGGACTGAATCTACTTGTTTGTTTGAATTTGAGGTATGTGTTTCATTGTGAGAAAGGGAATGAAATGTAGAATGCATGTTAGATATTGAAGAGATTGTGAAGTGGTTTAAGCTTCTAGGGCTGCTTCTGTTAAATTGGAGTACCCTTATTACTCATTGAGGCTGTGGTTACAAGTAGTAATAATAATAATAATCCTTGCATTTGATATAGTGTCTTATCATGTCTTTGAGATGTCTTGGCAGCGCTTCACAGAATGTACTGTAAAGTGAATTGACTGTATATTTTGTGGGCGAAATGCGGCAGCCAATTGCGCGCAGCAGTTTCCCACAAATAGTCGTGGATTGAGACGTTCCTACCTCAGGCTGAAACTTAAATTGGATTTTAACAATTATTTTTTAAATATTTCTTGTTAATGTAGCAAATGTTTATTTCTCCTTATCCCAAAGTCAGTTTCCTGTCTCTGACTCGCAGCATTTGATGGATAGTTAATGCGAGCTTGGCACTTGACAGCAAACTGGCACATTGGGATCATGTCAAGCTGGTTAAACTAGATGTTTAACTTGACAATTTTCACACAGCAGTGTGCCAGAAAGAGCCATATCCCAATTTTAAGAGAAAAATTGATGCCCAAGACACTGGAAGAAATAGTCCCATCTATTTGTTTAGGCTGGCATTAAACAATCCATGACACTATTTGAAAAGAGAAGGGAGTTTCTCCCAGTGTCGTGGCCAACAATCCTTCAAGTTAAAATTGGTATGTGGCTGTTTCTGGTGTGTGGATATTGGCTGCCTCATCTTCATTGTCTCTGTACTTGAAAGCGATAACCTGTGCAGCGCTTTGAGCCATTTTAACGTTGGAAGCGCTATTATTACTTATTATTAATTCCATTGCTCTATGTTTCCAGGTTTTCACGGAGAGTCCTGGGTTCAACTTCACCACTGGCGCAATGAACATGTCAATGCACGACCACCACAATCACCACAACATGGCGATGCCCACCGACACACCCCACCAGACAGCCAACGGGTCAGGCGGGCACGGGGGCATGATGATGATGATGGTAAGGACTTGAACCAGATTCTGTAGAAGGTGACACGCCATTGCCAAGTTTGTAAGGTTTGGAATGATGTGTGGTTTATGGCACCTACTAGGTAAATAGAGGATATGAATCATGGCAGTCAATGTGGTTTGTTATGCCCCTTTTTTTCAAATGCTTTATTATAATAAGAGTATTTACTATTATTACCTACATTCTCAAGGTGGCTCTGAAAGCTTGTTATTGTGGAAATTTGCACACAACATTGTCCCACAAATAGCCAATAGTGTTTGACCAATTTATCCGGGATGGGGTTTGTTGCCCAGGACACTGGGTGAAACTCCCTTCTTTTCAATAGTAAAAACATTTATCTAAGGTTTAATGTCTCACCCGAGACAATGCTTCTGATAATGCGGTGCACCACTCGCACTGTATTAGAGTCAGCCTAGACTTTGAGCTCAGAGTTCCTGATGTAGGGCTTGAATCAACAAGTTGCGTTTATGAAATGCCTGTCAAGTCATGAGTAGCTCTCAAAGTGCTTTACACAGCTGGTCTGGGAGCTCGAGCTGAAGGGGGAAGAGTGGGTGGGGGGGTGTGGGTGGAACATAGCCAAAAGCGGGTCGAAAGATAGGTTATTAAGGCAGATTTTGAAGGCAGGGAGGGGGAGGCGAGACCATGGAAAGATTTGAAAGTGAGAAGGTTGGCGAGGGAGTGGGGAGAGCGAAGCTGGGAGGTGACGACTTGTTCCTGCAACTTGGAGAGGAAAGGCAGGTCAATATTAACAGACTTAGCCTGGTGTCCACTGTCTGGAGCTCACTCTGCCATTTGTTTCTCAACAGCAAATGACGTTCTACTTCGGCCACAAGAACGTAGAGCTGCTGTTTCCTGGGCTGGTGATCAATTCTGTTGGAGGTGAGTGCGACTGACGGGCATACTACAAACCAGGATTTTATGGTTTGAATTCCATCCAAGGTATGGTTTAAAACCTCCAATTAAAGGGCTTTCGGAATTGTTCAGCGCCTTCCCGACTAAACTCACTGACCTGGAGAGCCTTACGATTAATACTCAGACTGTGCCAAGTAATGGAATTGAAGCAGTAATCTCTCAGCCGCCCTCTCTCCACTCCCACACGCCCCGCCCCCTTTACTCAACAGTCTTTGGCCCCGAACCACAATTTGTTGTACCTCCAATTTGCACCCTTTTGTCGTTTGCTGACACTTGTGTAAGTTTATAATCTTATACAGAACTTCATGTGAGTGAGTTTATTAAGAAAGGCGTTGAAAAATTTGGGGAGCCCTTTAATTGGAGGTCTTATACAATTCAATTGACATTTATATAGGGTTGTTTGCATTGGGAAGATATATCGTCCAATCCCACCTCGAGTGCTGCACACAATTCGGATCACAATGACATAAGGGTTTTTTCCGAAGTGTGTTTAATGACTGATGGCTCCACAGCTGAATCATACCTTCCCTTCTCTGTCCTTTCTGCCTTGCAGGGATGGTCGCCGCTTGCGTGGTCATATTCCTGCTCGCAATGCTTTATGAGGGACTGAAGATTGGCCGAGAATGCTTGCTCCGAAAATCACAGGTTAACGTTCGCTACAACTCTATGCCCGTTCCTGGACCAAATGGGACAATGCTGATGGAAACGCACAAAACTGTTGGGTGAGCAAGAGTCAACTGTGAGGGGCATTATTATAAATGCAAGTTGTTGGTGGCATGCCTTGTCACCTCCCTACCTTTCTGACCTGCTTTCTCCCCACCCTACTGCCCACTGCCTCCGCTTGGCTGCTTCTGGCCTCCTACTTGTCCCTCGACCCCTCCACTCCACCACCAACTCTCTTCCCCTAATCCCTCTGCCTTACTCCACCCTTCTCCTCGACGGTGCTTATGGTCACAACACCTCTCCCCTCCGGCTTAGCGCCATTTTTAAGCACTCCCAAGACATTGCGCTGGGTGAAAGGTGCTATGTAAATGCAAGTTGTCGATTGTAATGTCTGTCTATGGTTGCAGCCAACAGATGCTCAGCGTGCCTCACATCATCCAGACCATGCTCCACATCCTACAAGTTGTCATCAGCTACTTCCTGATGTTGGTCTTCATGACGTACAATGGCTACCTTTGCATCGCTGTGGCGCTGGGCGCGGGGGCTGGATATTTCGTCTTCAGCTGGAAAAAAGCAGTGGTGGTAGATATCACAGAACACTGCCATTAGCATCTGGCCTAACCCCTCACCAATTGTAATGCCACTTAATCACCAATTGTAATGGATCACACTCCCAGCACCATAATTTGCAGTGTCGAGCCAGTTCAAAAAAAAACACAACACTTAAAATAAGAGTTTCTCTCTCTCTCTCTTTCTTTCACTTTTACTCGATTTATTTCTGTTCAGACTCCAGTTTGAAGGATCCACAATCAGACATCACTTTACCTCATGCCTTCAGTCCTGCATTTAGCAGTTGGCCACTGCCTGGTTCTCTACCTCAGGCCAGCCAAGGTTCTTTGAGCGTCTGCTTTGGAGTCCCAAGTACAGACGAGGCTCTTCAAACGGTGGGCGGTTGCTTTACCTGGAGCTGCGTGTAAGTGATCATTCCCACTGTCGCTCCCAGAAAATTCTGGTATTGCAGCAGCGTTATATGGATATAGTTACCCCGACTTCCCGCCCCCCCCCCCCGGCCCCGCCTCACCAAATAAAAATGTCAGATCCTCTGGTTTGGCTATTGATGCCCACAGTCTGATCACAATTCCGGTTCACCAAAAAACATATCTAAACCCAGAATGATGCCTTCTTATCAAGTTAAAGGGATCAGCACTGCTCACCTTGCTGTTAGAAATGCCATGAAGTGATCTTGGGCTGCTATTGCCTTTTTGAAGTGAGCAGTGCGAGCAAGTAGGTGGTGAGATTTTTTTTCTCACTCTCTCAATGTCTGTTTCCACTATTTAACTAATCCTGTGGCTACAGATAAATTGGCAGAAATCTTTTTCTTGGTCAGCTGGGTGTGAACTTATCACCTTGCTTAAGGAGTATCCAAACCAACCTGAGTGCCATGCAACCCATCTACTCGTGGAAATTCCAGAGATATCTGTTGGAATGCAATGCGCACTCTCTCCCTAAAGGGATCCATCCAGACATCTAAAGGGTGGCAAGATCTATTGGTTCCGACCATTCCAGGCAAACTGTGATCCTAACTTTTTTTTAAAATAGTTAGCATCAAACGTTTTTTTACATCTTAAAGTGTGTGTATGTATGCATTTCTTTCCCCCCCTCCCCCAGAACACCAGAGTTCAAGATATATTTATTCCCTGATGATAATCATCCAACATTCTGTAGCTGTGCTGGTGAAATTGTAATTCATTGTAAATTATGTATCGTCTTGTTTGATTGTAGACAGTGCTGTGTCCCACTCAGATGGGTGCTGTTATCTGGTGCATTCTGTAGGATTACCTTCTGCTGCTTTAGCCAGTAAAATACATTTGAAGAGTGTGGATACTCTACTGTTGAACACTCTAACCTGCACCGGAGCAATGCAGGTAAAAACAAGTTGTAGAGGAGTTTGCAACGATGGGAATTAAGACACTAGTCCTTTGAAATGTGTTTTTTTAAATGAATCTGCGAGGATTATTAAATGCAAAAGATCAGTCGGTTTTTAGTTGCAGTAACCCTGACTAGGGTGGGAAAACGAGTAGTAGGTTCTAAGCTTCAAAAAAAACTTATCTAGTGCATTGATAATTATATACTGTATTTGGCGAATACAGGCCCCGTCACCATTTGCACAAGACATGTTTGAGGTTATACGGTTATCTTAACACCTCCTGTCTGAGGTGACACCCCTCCCCCCCCACCCCCACTCTTAGATTATTTTGTGAGTCCTGAGGATGCAGCCACTCATCTGGTACTTTGTCTGCGTAGCCATTGTTTGGGAGCCGAGATAATGAGTATTGAGTAAGCTCTGACTGCAGTGTCTGTTGTAACTGAACCTGGTCCTTCACCCACTTGTTGACGACATACACACTTTGCGAGGAACACTGGGCAGTAGTGGCCAGGATCAGGAATTCTGGAGATTTTCCTTGTTTCACTCCCCTGGTGTGAGGACGCTGATTCCACTTCTAGCACCCCTACTTGCACTCCACCTGAGATCAGTTAACTCAGAACAGACCGAGTTCTGAACCCCGAGACTCTCCTGATTTTACAGGGGGCAGATCCGCCCCCCCACTCCTTCCCCACCACCATACCCTGTCTCCCATGTCACCAAAGGAGCCATGGAGCCTGTTAACCTCTCTTTAAAGAATTTCGAACGTTTCTCCTCCCCAGTACGTTGGAGTAAGAGAGCAACGTTTTCCCATTTCCCAGAACTAACAGATGAGAGCACTCCATTCAGAGCAGTTGATCCCTTGGATTGATGAGCTCTGTGAACACTAGTGACATTGTGAGTCTTGTAACTGTCTAGCTCAGTGGCAGTAGTAACTTGCAGGGTAAAAGCACTGAGCATATCGTTTCATTCAGTATTTTGACATGAAACTGTTGGCTTTTCCTGGAGGTTGCGCAATATCAGACAGTACTGGTTGGATCATATTGTATTGTCTTCTGGAAGGGAAGCGAGGCAGCTATGAGTACTGTATTCTGTGCAAAACTGTTGGTGATTGATTTGATGGGCCACTAACTTGGATTTTATACTCAATCCTGTCCACGTGAGTGTCGTACAGTCCTTAACAGTCATATTAGTATGTCCTAAGGAAATAATATATGGATCATGGTTTGTCATAGTGAGTGTCCTGAAGCTCTTGACTTTGATCAGATCGGTAGTCATCAGTCTAGTGCATCTGGGACTAAAATGCGGAGTTGCAGTACGACATTCCCACCACGAGATGTCACCTGTGCCCTCGAGGTATTTTTAAAATAAGAGTATTTAATGAAGAACGGCAGAACTGTTTATTCCATACATCAGTGGAAAAGCCAGCACATTTATCAGATCGGATATTGCCCCATTAACTGACATCTTGTTAACTGACGGATTGTTTACTGCTCTGATGAATGAGAAAATCGAGTTTGTGTTTCAGGATATTGCAATTTTTGCTTCCAGCAATGCTCAATCATTTGCTCTCACCGATCAGTCCCCAGGATTTATAAGAGGGGTGAAGGTCAGTGGGACCAACACTTGAGCATTGCTACAAGCAAGAGGTCTTACTGACCCCTTAGCACAACCAGCTTCAGTCCCATCTTCCCTGCTTGGACCCCAATCGCTGCTCGCTCGCACTCGAAACTCCTTCTCACTTACAGGTTTAGTTTAAGGGCATTTGCAGGGCAGCCTGTCAGCCTCTGAGAGCAGCCTGTCCAAAATCCCAACGCCTTCATGTTCCTGTGACGCAGATTGCATTTTGCTCTGGAATCAATAATTATCAGATGCTGTAATTTCAATCACACTAAATGGTAGGGTCTGCAGCTTGAAACACAGTGCTTGTTTGTCATTTGTCTTTTGATTTTTTTTCAGTTGTGTTCTGTTTAAGGTGTTGCCTTGCCTGCTGTACTTCTCATTTTGAATCTACCTTCAGAATCTGACTGATTTTTTTAAAGTGCTGCGCGCTCTGTAACGTCAAGTGCCTTTGGTTTAACCGCTAGTACACCAGTGGTTACCACTGCCTTGTAATTTGATCTCTTTGCTCTTCAGCCAGTCCTTGGATGTATTGGTGACCTTGCTTCCAACGATGCGACTTTGCAATGAACCTGGGTCATGATGACCACAGGCCTAACCATTTATTATTTTCTGAGAGACCTTAAATACGATATAAAGGATTTTTGCTCAAAAAAAGAAATGCATCATGCTCATCTCCAATAAATGTGTTTTAGTTTTTATTGCCTCAACTTTGCCTTTTTATTCAACATTTGGCTTTGAATACCTACACTTCAATTGGCCTACAATCTGGTTTGTATATTCATAGCATCGAGCAGGGTATGGGTGAGGCTGATGTGAGGTGTAAGCCTGGATCGGTTGGTAGCAATCTCGTCGCTTAGTCTGAAGATTATAGGTTCAAACCCCACGTCTGGACTCCAAACTCAGTCTAGGCTGACACATTACATTTTAAAACATCTTTGATTACATTGTTCATACCTTCCACTCTAACTCTCCTCCTGTCCCTCTCTGCGCTGCTTCAAGTCATGTACAACTTTGTGAGAGGCAGCGGCAGAGAGCGATGAGAAGAGAGGTGAAATGAGAGGCAGAAGGCAGCACAGAGAGTATTGAGAAGGTGGCAACAGTGCTATATTGTCCCTCCCCCAAACCATCTTGTGGCCCCCTACGTTGGGAAGCAATGTTCGAAACCACTGAATCACCAGTTGCCTTTTGGAACAACAATGCTAAAATGTGTGAACGATGGAGGGGTCCTCAGTCAGGATGGCTAATGACTAATGGGCCTTGAGCAAGTTTGGGAATTCCTGGTTTAGAATGGCTACAGCCAATTTGCACGCATGCAATGACCAATTTTATTTGGGGGATTGTTATCCAGGCCACTGGAAGAAATTCCCTTCTCTTTTCGAATAATGCCATGGGATCTTTAATGTCCACATGAACAGGCAGGCGGGACCCTGGTTTAATATCTTGTTCCAAAGGACGGCACTTCTAAATACAACACATCCCCAGCATTGTATTGAAGTGTCGAGCCTACAGTTCAAAGACCTAACAAGGGCCTTGAATCCGCACTTTCTGACTCGGGTGAGAGTGCTGGAATGGCCTGTTTTGATCCTGTATTGATGTAATTTATGTACAAGAGACCTGAGTACCTGTTGCTCAATTCTGCACAATGGTGTGCTCACATTACTTTTCCTTTTCATATCTTTCAGTCTATGTAAAGTTACTTCTGCCAAATCACAGTGATAAGGAAAAGTTAATGTACTTGGCTATGTTGCAGTATAAAGAATTACAAAAAGGTATCATTGTTTGTAGCGGTAATTGAATTCTGACTTGGCCAGTCATTCATCAATCGCTCTGGTTGCAATGTCTGACTGATTGAATGAATGAACTTGTGCCAACTATAACTCTCCACTGGTTCACGATGGAAGTGTGAGATTACAAAAGCTCATTTAAAAAATTCTTGGGAGAGCAAAACCAAATTGGACACCATTATGTCAGTGCTGTGGAAACAAGTGATCTATTCATGCTATTCATACACCTAAACGTTTAGTTGTAATCTAGCAATTTTGTATCCAGCAATAACATTTTATATTTACATAGCGCCTTTCATATCAGGAGGAGGCCTCAAAGTGCTTTATCCAAGTGACTGGGAGCTCGAACTGATGCCAGCCCTCACATAATTCATAACATAGTACAGGGAATTTATTTAAAATGTTAAATCTCTCAATAATAAATCCTTGCATTTGATATGATGAAATGAGACGTTAGTCTGAGGTCCTGTCTGCCTGTTCAAGTGAACGTTAGAGATACTGTGGCACTATTCCAATGGAGAAGGGAGTTTCTCCTGATGTCCTGACCAACAATCCCCCAAATAAAATTGTCATTCGTGGCATGTGGGACATTGCTGTGCACAAATTTCCTGCCAGTTTCACACAAAATACACTTTACAGTGTATCCTGTGAACATCTTCCCAACGTGAAACATCAAATGTATTATTTTATAACTGATTCACATTGGGAGGATGCCTCAAAGTGCTTCACAGGATATACTGTAAAGTAGTGATTGTATTTTCCAGTGTAGATGAATGCCAAACCCCAAATGGTTTCCTCACTCCTTCTGTACATCAGCAGTAAGTCACTACTATTCTGCAATGGCATCTTATAAATAATCCTTGCATTTGATATAGTGCCTTATCACATCTTTGGGTTGTCTCAAAGCGCTTCACAGATTATGCTGTAAAGGGAATTGACTGTATATTTTGTGGGCGCAACTATAATCTCAACTACTATAATTTTACCATGATTTCCAATTGTCACAGTGCTTTTTAAAGAAGATTCCAGACAGGCAGAAGACTCCAGTCAGCAGCGGTGGGAGTACAAAGACTGCAATTTAATCTCAAGGTTATGACGACTTTAGAACTATTGAAGTTTCAATTTAATACCAATTTCCGTCACTCTAAACCCTAGCTTAAAGACAATCTTTGTCCTAGCTCTCTGCCAAGTGAGAATTCTTTACTAATCCCATGCTTCTCATTTCAATGAACCCAACATTTTATTTATTAAGGACAACTTCACAAGGAATGGTTATTGCTGCGGAACAGTCCCCTCTTTCAAAAGATGGGAAATATAAGACTTATGTTTATCAGAAATGAATATAGAGGAAGTGAGAAGTTAGTCAAAGACTGGTTTTCTCACAGTGCTCTACTTTTAAAAAATATAGCCGTATGGCTCCAATTTCATCAAACAGTAATAGTAATCCTTGAATTTGATATAGCGCCTTATCAGGTCGCGACATCTCAAAGCTCTTCAGAGGATATACTGTAAAGTGGATTGACTGTGTATTTTGTGAGCAAAACACGGCAGCCAGTTTGCGCACAGTAATGTCCCATACACAGCCATGGCGTGAGTGACCAATTTTATTTGGGGGATTGTTGGCCAGGACACTGGGAAAGAGAAACTCCCTACACTGTTTGAAAAGTGCCACAGGATCTTTTAATGTCCACCTGAATAGGCAAATGGGGCCTCGGTATAGCATTCTATACCAAGGACGCTGACAATGCGACACTCCAGCACTGCATTGGAGTGTCATGCGGGGGCTTGAATCCACAATCTTCTGACTCGGAGGCGAGAGTGCTACCACTAGAGAAAAACACAGCAAGTGTTTGCACCCCCACTGAATGACAAGATAATTCAAGCAGAATTAACAGACATATAATCACTGGAGACCATTTATTAATGGACGTAACCCTGCAATCCACTACCTGAGTGGATGGTGTATTAATTTCCTTGAATCAGGCAGAGTGGCTTATCCCAAGGTGCTGATACACTGCAAGTCCTTTTCGTTAAACAAAGTAAAATCAGTTCAGCTCAGCACTGGGTTTAAAGACACTTTGTGATGGATATTCCCGGAGATAAGTCTTTCTACCATTGTAACCAATGTCCTCCACAGGGAAGGGCAGTTCTTCACCAGCCTCACAGATCATCGCTGGAGCTCAGCCTGTTCCACATTTTTGCGTGAGCGAACCCAGGTTGGGACATTCCTGAAACCGCTGCCGTGAGCAGGTTGCTGCTGGGCACCGGGTCATCAATGAAGATTCCCAAACAATGAGAAGGGTTTGATGTGAGGATTGGGACGATATCCAATCCGCTCGTTGATCTTCTCTCGGACTTTGGCCTCGTCCCTGGCCCCGTTCGTACTGTCCATCTCACTGGGGCTGACCAGCTCCCCCTCCTCCCGCTGCTGCCTCTTCTGATTCTGCAACAACAACAACCGAGAAACGTTGAGAGACGTTCCTCTACAGCAATTCATAACAGAAAGAAGAAGCCTTGCATTCCATATGGTGCGTTATCGCATCTGTTCAGACGTCTCAAAGTGCTTCACAGAATACACTGCGTGAAGTGAAATAAATGACTTGTGCATTTTGTGGGCAAAACGCGGGCGGCCGATCGCGCACAGCAGCGTCCCCACAAACAGCCGCGGGTTGAGTGACCAATATTTTTTTTTTTGGGGGTGGGGGAAGGGATCATTACCCCCCCGGAAAGGTTGATTATAATTACCCCTAAACCGGTGCTGTCGAAAAAAAAACCCATCATGACTTGAGTCAGTTCAGTTCCAGGCCCCGGACTGACCCTCCGGAGGGGGTGAGTGGGGGGGAAGTGGGCAATGTCCCTGAGATCTGGAAGTGAACTGGACTGACTGGGGGACCAGCGAGGCCATTGAGCGGTTTGTAAGCCAACCAGGAGTCTCCCCCGGGCCGGGCCGGGCCGGGCCGGGCCTTCCACCCCCCACCACCGCCCCCCCCCCCCCCCGCCCCCCGCCTCAGGCCGAGGACTCAAGACGCGCGCAGGTGAAGGAAGCCGGAAGGCCCGAAGCCTCCTGGCGCCCATCCCTCCTCACCTCCAGCTCCTTCTTCATGCTCTCGAACTCCTCGATGTCGTCCAGTTTGAGCTCCAGGCGGGTGGGTTTCCTCCGCAACATGGCGGCTCCGGGCTCGGGCTCGGGCTCCGGCCCGCAAGCTCGGCGACAGGACGCCCGGCAACGCGCGCATGCGTCGGGGGTCGGCGCACGCTGTGACGTGTCGTTCCAATATCGCGCGGGGGGGGGGGGGGGACTTCAACTCCCGACAGGCGCTGGGCCGTGGGAGTGCCCGCCCCCGGCAGAGCGAGCGTCTTCGCGTGCGCGCGCGTGTTTGTTGCCCCACTGGCTGCCGGGATTTGTAGTCTCCAGCGATTCGAGCGCAGCGTTCTCCCGGCACCGCGCTTGCTTTGTGCGCACGCGCAGCCGCCAGGCACGCCGGGACGCGTAGTCCAAAGTGACGTACGCGCCAGCCAGCCCGGGGAGAAAGGAACACCAACTCCCGGCGGCCTTCGCGGCGCGCCCCCCCCCCCCCCCTTTATCCCTTCTCAACCTCCGACCCGGAAGGCACTGGCGAACCGTAGCGACGGCGTCGGCGGCGGGAACGGCGAGAGGAACGGGGAGCCGCGGAGAGCTGAGCGAGACTCAGGTGAGGCGAGAGGAGAACCGGCTTCATCGCCGTCCCGCCCCACCGCCCCCCTCCGTCCCGGCGCTCAGCTCGCAGGCTGCGGTCGGTCGGTCGGTCAGCGCAGCCCGAGGCCTGAAACTACCGCTCAGGCCCGAGAGCGTGGAGCAGCCCCGCCCCCCGCCCCCATGAGGGTGGGAGTCTCCTGTCTCCGGTGCCGCTCGGTATCCGCAGCGTGACATGTGCTGTGTTTTTTTGTGTGTCGGGGAGGGTTCATGTTCCTCGGTTCTTGCGGCACCAACGAATTAAACTTCCCGCTCAAGACCGTGACCTGGTGGAGGAAATGAGAGGTTCACACCCACCCCCCACCCACCCACCACCCCTCCGCCTTTGCTGCGGTAAAGGGAGAGGGAGGGAGACGGCGGTGGGGTCGGGGTCGGGGGTCCCCACAGGATTTATATTCGTCATTCAATAAGACTGGCACTCGGTGTAACGCCGCCTTTCACCCGAACGCGAATAAAATTATATCCGTCCCAAGACTTTGCGGGACACTGCGCCGCTCCGGGTTCTTTTTTTTTAACAGCAAAGTGCAGTGATTTTGGTCGGTTGTCGTCGTCGTTGTTGTCGCAGCCAATTTGCACACAGCTGTGTCCCACAGTTTCTATCCAGGAGGTGGTTGTCGGCCAAGGATCACCTTCCTACTCTTTTCCAGTACTGTAGTGCAAAAGGGGAAGGGTTATGGTACACTGGGGGGGGGGGGGAGAGAGGACTAGTGAGGCTGTACCTGTTTCGGGAGTGCTGGATGGGGAGATGCAGAGGGAGCTTTACTATTGCATCTCATAGTAAAATAAATACCACTTCATTATGTACTGTGCGTGCGTACCATTATGGAAAAGCTTGAAATGCTAATGCTTCACATAACGATTTACTTGAGGGTATTTATGGTTGTTACGCACAAGTTAATCGGTGCCGGCATCTTTCACAAATGGATTGGAGATAAATGACCAATTGTCAATTCGGATTCAGGAAGAGAGTTAGTGAGGAAAGCAAGAGAACAAACAGCCTGTTCTTGGTTAAAGTTCCATGGGATCTTTTTGTGCCGCCATGAGCTTCCGCAGCAGCCTCTTTGGTTTAATATTTTATAAGGATGCTGCCTCCAGCAATTCAGTACCGCGCTGAAGTTTTGGACCAGATTATCCACTCAGTTTCTGATTTGGGAGTTTCTGTTGGGTGAAGCAACATTGAGGGCATTTTATTCGACATCCAATAACAACAGGGCCCTTCATGTGGGGTAGCGTGTCGGACCACTTAACCAAACCGAACAGTGCCAGGGAGTGTTTAACGACTTTGTGCATAATGAGCTTCACTCTGCATCGAGCTTGTGATTTGTCTTCGTGCTGTCACTGTACCTTAAGTTGGAAAGTGCTATTTCCCAGCAATCACGATGAGTGTAGAGCTACTCTGCGTGAGGAGCGCTATATAAATGTAAGTTGTTTGCGCAGACAGAAATGTCAACTTTTCCCAAATTGAGAATCATATTCTAACTGCAATCTAGGTTGTGAACGAATGGCCATTGTGAACGAATGGCTGATTTTGTGTATTTGGGGAGGGATGTCTTTTTCATTTAATAATAATAACAAAATACACAGTCAATCCACTTTACAATATCTCCTGTGAAGCGCTTTGAGACGTTTCAACAACACATAAGATGCTGCATCAAATGCCAGAATTATTATTATTTTTGCAGTTACATCACCCGATTTACAAGATGTCTGACGATGAGGATATACCACTGCCTAAGAAATTCCGGATTTACTATGGAAGCCTTGAGGAGAAGGAGAAAGAAAGGATTGCCAAGGGAGAAGGAGGATATCTGGGAAAAGAAGCTGTGAAGCTTGGAATGGATGCTGGACATATTAACTTATCCAGTGGTAAATGACACTACCATTTTATTTATTCTTTTCACTGAGTGAATGACGAGGCAGGGAAAGTTTAGTAACCTGGAGTCATTGATGAAATATTAAACCATTTCAGGAGCAAGTATTTTACGCCTGTTCCCCAAATGTTTTCTCATGCATGTGCAGTGGCAGAAAGAGCAAAGGCAAAACATTTTGATATTAGGTAGTAGTCGCGTAAAGTGACACCTGTTTGTTCAGTCCAAGAACCTAATGACACGACTGGTGCAATGTGCTGGAGTTTTTCCTGCACTTGGGTGTGTGACTGCAATTAGCCATGTGCTGACTTAACGTTCATGACTTCAGTGTTCTGTGTTAAGTGGAGGAACCTCCACTCTTGAGGACCACTGAATGGTGGTAGCCTGTGAGGAGGTCTCCTGCCTGCTTTGTTCTTTTGGCCTGGGATGAATATGACCGAGAGAGAGAAAACCTCTTTATTAATCTGATTTTGAGGGTATAGAGTGAGATATTAACCTTTACCTCTAAAGGTTCTCAGTAATCATAATATATTGCTTTGTGTGTGCTGGGAATGAGAGATAATGGAGGGAGGAGAAAAAGGGAAGGATGTGAAAGCATAAGTGAAGCTCTCCACTTGAGGCCACGTGTCAGCTGTCAGTGTGAAGGTCTGACTGACAATGCGCTGACTCTTGTGCAGGAGAGTCCTTTGACATTGAAGAGCACATGAGCGAGAGGCAGGCGGAGGTGCTGGCCGAGTTTGAGCGCAGGAAGCGCGCCCGGCAGATCAACGTATCCACAGACGATGCGGAAGTGAAGGCATGCCTTCGAGCGCTCGGCGAGCCAATCACACTGTTTGGAGAAGGACCAGCGGAGCGCAGAGAAAGGTGAGTGCAAGGTTGGCGAGGCCTCCTGGCCAGCTGTGGATGGAGGGGTCTGGTAACTATAAGAGTTACTTGTAGGCAGTGTCCACATTAACATGTTCAGTTGAAGCTGCAACCTGACTGGAAGAAGATGCATCAATTACCTTGTAAGTTACACAATGCTCACATTATGTATATACACACGTTATGTATATTGTTGCCTCCCTCAGCACTTTCAAGGTCCGTGTCAAGACCTTCCTCTTTGACCGCAACTTCGGTCATCTCTCCCTTCCCCAATTCGGATGCCGAGCCAGACCCTTCAAGCGCCTTAAGATGTCCTCCAAATGTGAAAGGCGCTATGTAAAGGTAAATTTGTATTGTATGGTTGTGCCCCGATGCTGATATTAGTTGCCCTTTTCAATCAGATTGCGAAATATCCTCTCTGTGGTGGGCGCTGATGCCTTGAAGAAAACTGAGAAAGAGGAGGAAGCAAAGAAAAGCCGGCAAGAGGTAACTTGCGTGTATTTGGGTTTATGTGTGGGAATGGGTACATGTCTGGGTACGTTCATCAGTGAGAAGGTGGTGGTGGTTTTTTTCTTTAAACCACTGCTTTTCACACCAGATTACTTTGCCAGCTCTTTTCAGAGGGCATTTAAAATGACCCATTGGATGAGATGCGCTTAGCCACGCAGCACCTCCCTGTCATGTGTTTTGAAGGTAAATTTCCCCTCAGTTTATCCCTGTTGCTGTCTGCTCGGGGCCAGGGGAGCTGTTGCTGAGCAGAAGACTTGCTGCTGTTGGGTTGGGCAGCCGGCAGGAGCGATACAGAACTGAGCAAATGTCTTCACCCAGCACCTTGTGATAGTAGAGCAACTGAGATAGGGAAGCAGAGTGGAATCACGCCACTCACCTCAACATGCTGCTATTCCAATGCTTGCCAAAGCCTTCATTAAGTTTTGAATAATATATTTTATATACACTGAAATAAAGTCCCCCCCCACCTCCCCTTCCAGAGTCCATATGGAGTTGATGTATTTGAAATGATGCAGTTCCCTTTTTTCTGTGTGGGCTTCTCGTTAAGGCTTGTGACTGGATGGCTGAAAGATTCTATTAGTTGACTCCCATTTTAATTTATTCTTCGCACCCAGCATCAACAGACCTGGTATCACGAGGGACCCAGCACCCTGAAGACAGCTCGCCTCTGGATCGCCCATTATTCCCTGCCAAAGTGAGTATCTGTGTCACTAAGTATGAGGATGGATGTGGTGGGGGGGGAGGGTTCCAATAAAGAAATCATCAATTTCTGAGCTTGTGCTTGTGACTGAGCTGCCTCTTGCCATGCACATTCCTAGTAATGAGTGGTACAGCCCTACGCCCTAGTGGGATATAGACCTGAAAGGTGTCGGATGGCACTTGCATGTACCAGTGCCTCTGAGCTCGGCAAGGGAGAATTCAGGAAAAAAAACAGGCCAATGCATTCATAACGAGGTGAATGGGAAAGTATGTTATGGTGATGTGATTCTACGAAGGTTGTATACGTGTTGGGTTGGCTCCTGTCATATAGGTGAAATGGCTCCAGTTGCCATTTCACATGAATGTACATAGCCTGTGTCTGACGTGAAATGGACTATTGCTAACGTGCATTGTTTTCAGAGCGCTGAAGCGATTGGAAGAAGCTCGTGCTAACAAGGAGATTCCCGAAGCCTCTCGAACGGCTCGTCAGCAGGAGCTCCACAAGACTCTCCGGGTGAGAATGAGGAATGTTAACAAATCCTGATGCGTTTCGTGACCAACAGATTGGGTGAAGGGCTGGAATGTGAAGGGGTAGAACGTGACTCTGCTGAGTTGCACACTGCAATCAGTGATTAATGTCAGTTCTTTGTTGGGCCAGTAGAGGATGCTTTACTCTATATATTCCCTGCTGTCTTTATTTTATGCTGGGCTGGTATATTGTCAACATTGTGCTGTTAAAGAGTGGAATGAGTGATATGTGTCATTGATTCTCTTCTCATGGTAGGGTCTGAATAACTTCTGCAGTCAGATTGGTGATGACCGGCCTATCTCCTACTGCCAGTTCAGCCCCAACTCCAAGCTTCTGGTTACAGCTTCCTGGTAAGAATTCATAAAAATTCAATGGATTGAATTATTACTGTATTCTGTGTCACATCAGCTTATTCTTTCACTGAGAGGCATTACCAACTGAGCCAAACTCGGCAGGGAAATAACCTGAAGGGTGGATTGCCTCCATCAAGGCCCGTCTCAAGACCTTCCTTTCCGACCATGCCTTCCATCATCTTTCCTCTTCCACCTCCTTGCCCCCTCTCTGATGCCAACCTGCAGTTCGGGTGCAAAGCCCTCATTATCCAGCGCCATTTGATGTCCTCCCGATGTGAAATTCACTATTTGTTGTTGTTGCTTCATGTTGTATCAAAAGCAGTTTTGAACCCCCAACCCCGCCCCCCCTCTCTCTCTCTCTCTCTCTCCAGGAGTGGCTTGTGCAAACTTTGGGGTGTTCCTGACTGCACTGTCATCCGTACGCTGAGAGGTAAGACAGCCCCACTTCATTCCGCAAGTGCTTTGCAATTAAAGCCTCTGTACTGGAGGGTCAGTTTAGACCAGAGTGTAACCAGGCTTCAACCCACAATCTTTTAACCCAGAGAAAGAGTACTGAGACAGACTGTCTATACACTGTCCAAGTAGCCAGTCTTCAAAGCTGACCTCAGACTGAGTGTTAGGCGGCGTCAAAGCCTCATTCTGTCCTCATTTGACGTGCTTATAATGTACTTCCAGCATCCTACACCCTTGCGTCGGTCCAGCTTCAAGTGACATGATCTGTAGCACTACCTCGCTGGCCTGCTTACGGCTAACACAACAGCCACCATGGGGCAGATATTCCACCTGCTTATGTTCGGAACTGGAATTTAGAAATTCTTATATTCAGTTTTATTTATTGAAAACTGTTCCCCTGATGACGCCTGGTTCAGAAACTGGACTATAATAGTAAGTCATATAAATAATCCTTGCATTTGATATAGTGCCTTATCACATCTTCGAGACGTGTCAAAGTGCTTCATAGAATAATAATAACTACCAAGAATACCTCAGACAATCTACTCAGTTTTAATATTCCATTGCCAGCAATGTCACGTTAGGAACCAGCTTAGCCCCAAAGAGACTCTGCTTACTTCCACCGCCAGTTGTTAGCCTTAATAAGAGCAAGAGTTAGCTTGGTTTGTGATTGCCTTTTCTGCTCTGCCAGGTCACAGTACAAATGTGGGCGCTATCGTGTTTCACCCACAAGCTACGATCTCACTCGACGAAAAAGACTGCAACATGGCGTCGTGTGCAGCCGACGGGTCTGTGAAACTCTGGAACCTGGAAAGGTTTGTAAATAGACAGTATTAGTGTGAGGGAGTGGGGACTGTTGTCCGTAGCGGAAGTTTACACGGGTTAAACATTTTCCTTTTAATCACTTTGTAGGGGGTTTGGGGCAGTTTCCCCTTTTTTTAATCTATCTTTTGCCTGACTTGGTTCTGGTCACCAGGAGGAGTTCAGATCCACCCTGGCTGAACTGTCCTTCCTGATCATGTCCCCCCTCCATTTGGAGATATCGTAGCCCCCGTCGAGCAACGGCTTGAAACCATATCTGGCTCTGAGCTGTCCAGAAAAATGGTTTCCTCTCAACCTTAATAAATCTGTCCATTATCTGAGTGTAAGCCAGACAGCGAGTGTCCATGACTGGGAGCAGAAATCACCCCCTGACCCTCACTCAGTAACCTTCGCACCTCCAGCAGGCTTGAATTCAATCATGATGAGAATGGCAGCTAATTTATTTTTTTCCAACAGCCCTTCCTTTGAACAGCCTTCCTCTATCCCTCTGCCTTGCCCCTTCCTTCCCCATTTTCAGGTTGCGCCTGAAGACCTTCCTAGTCAACTGTGCCTACAGTCACTTTCCCCTTCCCCGCTTGGCATGGTGCTCTGGGACCCTACCCTGCGTGAGGGGCGCTATATAAATGCAAGTTGTTGTTGAAACCCATGAAGGTGATTGAAATGCCCTGGGTGTAGCCTGGTGTGTGATCCGCAGGACCTGTAGCCTTGTGTGTGATCAGTTGGGGTGTAACCAGTTCTGCCTATAACTCCAGGGCTTTGTTATGTTTGTCTCTTGACATGTATCCTCTTTTCTCACACAGTGATGAGCCAATAGCTAACATCGAAGGGCACACAATGCGAGTTGCCAGAGTGGCCTGGCACCCGTCCGGAAGGTTTCTGGGCACCACATGGTAAGTAACTGTGCATCACTCTGTAGTCTGTGTTGCTTTTTTTTCCCCTGGAGTCATCCTGGAGAAGTGTTTACTCTTAGCAGTTTCACCGCAGATGAGTGGATAGGTCTATTGTTAGTTTGAGGTATGGGAGAAACAATGAACACTGCTTTGTGTAACTGCTTTATCAGATAGTGTTTATGTTCCAGTTCAACGGAGGATTATTTCCTGCTCTGTGTTTCCGTAAGTGATGGGACCTGTTTTGCACTCATATGACGTCAATTGCTTACCTTCCCCTCGAGATCAGATGGTTGAGGTTGTGAGACAACGAAGGGTTTGCACTCAACCCGCAGCTTGGAAACAAACATAGAAACAGGAGTGGGCCATTCAGCCCCTCGAGCCTGTTCTCCTTTCTATTAGTTCATGGCTGATCTGTACCTCGATTCCATTTACCCGTCTTTGCTCCAAATCCCTTGATACCCTAAAATTAAACCCCTCATTATCTTATCGTCCTCCCGACGTGAAAGGTGCGATATAAATGCAATTTGTTGTTGTTTGTTATCGGTTGTTTCTTTGGGTTCAATCAGGACTTTGAGCTCACAGTGTAGGCTGACACTCAAACCCAGTGCGGAGGGAGCGCTGTACGTCAGAGGTGATGTCTTTCGGTGGAAGCATTAAGTTGACGCCCTGGCTGCCTGATCAGATGGATAAACAATACTATCTGACAACGCTATTGGGAAAAAGGAGTTTTTCCTAGTATCCTGGCCAATAATCCTGTAGATTAACTGTATGCAAAAGGGCTGCCATGTCTGCCTACAAATGTACAGTCACTACATTTGACTGCAATTCCCAATGTTGTAAGTGCTGTGCCAAATGCAAAGGTTATTGTTATTATTACGTTTGCAGACACTGGTGACAGACAAGTGTCCTTGGTGTATTTTGCATGGTAACAGACATTCGGGTGTGATGCATTGTACCAGTGACTGAATCTTTGCTGCTGTCTTTGTTCCTTAGCTATGACCACTCCTGGAGGCTCTGGGATCTGGAGGCTCAGGAGGAAATCCTGCACCAGGAAGGACACAGCAAAGGTGTCTATGATATTGCCTTCCACAATGATGGCTCGCTAGTGGGAACCGGGTGAGTATCATATATTGTCCACAGAGCTAGGGGTAAGTCACATCATAATCATCTGGCTGCACTCTGCAATCACAACTGAATCATTCGTTGATTCAGTTCCCTCACCCGGGCACACAATTTGCTCTGTTATTGCCCCAGTTCTGTCTCCATGGAAGTGGAAGATCCAAGCAAAGGAAGGCAAGTGTCCTGGGAATCTGTACCTTTACAACTTTGTGGACATGTTAGTTAGCTATTTCTCCTGTGTCTGTGGAGTACAAGGGGTTTGATCTGAACCACATCTCAGCTTTCCCGGCCAGCGGTTAGGAACTCATCTTTTGCATATCTTGTCTTTAATCTAAAATGACAGTGTAGCTTAAGTTCCAATGAATGTTTTGCAGCTTAGAGAGTCATCTACCTCGGAGGTCTTTGGTTGATGGCATAACCGACTTCAAGATCTAATCGAATTCTCGATCCGTCCCTGTGTGGCCTTGTTTTAATCCTGCAAGCGAGCCTTCCACTTGTCTGTGAGGTCCAGAATTAAAACGTGGCAAATTATATTGCTACATCAGTAGTACATCCCTAGATGTCAGATTCAGGCTGTACAGTGCTCTCATCAGACTGAACTTTGAGTACTGCGTAAAGTTCTGGTCATCATGGCACAAGTTGGCTGCTCAGTCCCTAGAGGAGGTGCAGAGAAGAGCAACAAGGAATGGTTGAATGGATGAGGAACATGTTAGGTTACCTGCATGGATCATTCACTTACTTATTCTGAGAATGTACTTCAACCTCCACAAAGCTTTCTCTCCACCGTTTCCCCCAATGCTCATGTACGTTGGACTTCGTGTTTGTGATTTAACTCCTTCGTTCCATTTCTCTGCTGCGTCCAGTAGTTCAGGACAAACCTCTTAACAATGGGTGGGGGGTGGAGTGCACCTGTCTAATGTAGCCCCCTTCCTCAAAGAATGAGACAACATTTAATGTAGGTGATGTGATGATGTGATGTAACCTGCAAACTGTTCCACTAAACCAGTTTGTGTAGTTTAAATTGTTTGAATAGTATAAACCAGTATAAATTGCCCTGCTCTTTTTTTTAAAAGAATAATCTTCCTCAGTATTTGTACTCAATGAACCCTTCACACCAGAGAGTAGGAAAAGAATGAAGGCTCAGCACCAGATCAGGAACAAGATTAACGTCAAATGGCCCATATGAGCTTGTTGACTCCGGCAGAGCTGCTTGTGTTGAACAGGCATACTTGTTCCTTTAAGGAATTCCTTTAGCTATGTCTTAAGGAGTATTAAGGAGTGTCAGCCGGGCTCAAAGTTAGCTGCACATCGAGACTTGACACCAATGTAGTCTAAAATGACACCCCAGTGCAGCGCTGGGGGTGTACTGAATTGTTAGAGGTGCCGTCCTTCAGATGAGACATTAAACCTACTCAGGTGGACGTTAAGGATCCCGTCGCACAATTCAAAAAGAGAAGGGAGTTTCTCTCTCCTGGTGTCCTGGCTGCCAATCCCTCAGATAAAAATGGTCACTCACTTCCATGGGTGTTTGTGGGAGATTGCTAGGTGTAAAATTGTCTGCTGTGTTTGCCCACAAAAAGGCACTCCACTCCACCGTCCTGGTGCCAGGGTCTCTACCAGTGATGCTCAAGCACGGAGCAGAGATTGAGGGAGGTCAGCAAAGGTGCAGCATCGATGCAAATGTTGCTTTGATGCAGAGAACCGCACTCGATGGGTAGCGATGAGGAAATGAGTAAAGATCGAAGTAAAAATCTGCCATTACCTGGAAGCGCATAATCTTCGCTAACACTCCCATTGCTTCTCTCTGCTCAGTGGCCTGGATGCCTTTGGCCGGTTGTGGGACCTGCGGACAGGTCGATGTATCATGTTCCTGGAGGGACACCTCAAAGAGATCTACAGCATCAGCTTCTCCCCAAACGGGTAAGACCAGCGGCCACCAGGCTGAGCTGCCGACGGAGAGCTCCACCAGGGAGGCTGCTCTACACACAACTATTCATAAAACCCAGAGGGGAAGAAAATCTATTAACTGAAATTGATGTTGTCACTTTCTCCCATTCGTGTACTGACAATCGAACCTCGCGATAACAAACCACCTCAGAACTGGCAGAAAAGATTCTTATAACTGGGTGTTCACTATATCAGGGTTTGACCGTCAAAAGAGCTGCAAAAATCAGGTCTTTCCATTGGGCTCGTTAAAACCGTGGGTTTGTTATAAGCAGGTTTCCTTATAGTGAGGTTTGACTATTGTTTCTCCGACAAAATATCCAGTCCCTACACTTTACAGTGTATCCTGTGAAGCGTTTCAAGACATCTCGAAGCCTGAATGATGTAATAAGGCACTGTATGAAATGCAAGGATTATTACTATTATAATTCTAATACAATGAGCTGTCATTGGCGGTTGAGTTTGGGCGTGATATCTCTCTTTGTCTCTGGGCAATTTCTCCTCCGATTTAAGCCTCTTTTGATGCTTCAGGTATCACGCAGCAACCGGGAGTGGCGACAACACCTGCAAAGTGTGGGACCTGCGCCAGAGAAAATGCATTTACACCATCCCCTCCCACCAGAACCTGGTGTCCGCAGTCAAGTTTCAGCGTAAGTCCTCTGAAGTAGCGAAGCGTAAACTTACAGCAATAACTTATTGAGGGCCAAATATTCCTGAAGGAAACCACTCTTGCTCAGTCTATGGGGACGCTTGTCACCCTCAAGTGGCCATTCTTCACACGTGAGGCTAGGCAGTGAATGGTTAGTGCACTCCCCTCGCAAGCGAGCCTGGGTTTGATTCCCGGGTGGGGAGAACTCTTAGGGAAATTTCCTTACTGCACGTGCCTGTTTACCCAGCAGTAAGGAGGAACCTGGTTATTAGTCAATTGGTGGATCGTTTTCCAGGGGTAATAAGACCTCAACAAATATATAAATATTTGGGTTCACTCGATCCATGACTGTTCGAATTTCAGGTCAGCCTCCTGCTCCCTCTGTGGGGTCGGGCTTCTCACAGAGTTTTATGTTAGAATTACTCTGACCTTATCACACTATAGGACCTTCCCAGCCAGCAAACCCAGTCTGGGTCTAATCAATTCTGATCTGGAGGTGAAGGCAGGATGTGCTGAACCCATTGAACCTCCCAGTCTCTTCCTATTCCAGTTTAATTGCTCGGCTTTCTCAATGCCAGTCCGACACAATTCGGGTGCTCAGACCTGTTCCGTATTGTGTAACTAAAGGGCTGAAATCTTTCTCTGCAGCCACTGACGGGCATTACCTGCTGACCGGTGCCTACGATAACACGGCCAAGGTGTGGACGCACCCCGGGTGGTCACCGCTGAAAACACTGGCTGGGCACGAGGGCAAAGTGATGGGACTAGACATCTCCCAAACGGCCAGCTGATCGCGACCTGCTCTTACGACAGGACCTTCAAGCTCTGGACGTCCGAGTAGACAGGACATCAGCAGGATCTGGTGACAAGCTGCCATAGCGGGGCGGGAGTGGGGCAGGTGTTGCAGCCAAAACACAACGCACTCGATGGCACCTGGCCATGGTTCCCTCAGCTCTGTTGCCTGACTCCTGTGTGCAGTCAGATTCTTGTATACAGTGGTTGCCGAGGTACCGCACTCTCTCTCTCTAACTTTCTCTCAGTGATAAAAGACGGGAGTTTGAAACTTGTTTGGTTTCCTGACCTTCCCCTAAAGCCACGTTGGTTGAACAGAAACTTATATTTACATAAAACCTAAACCTAATTCAGCCTTTCCTTCAGCTGTGGTGCTTGCTGAAACCCCGCCATGGAAACTAAACAAATTCCGCACTGGGGTTTGCGTGCTCTTAACCGCACATCTCCGAAGCGTACAGTAAGACCTTTTGAGGATCAAAGGTCCCATCCTTTTCACTGGATTTATTTACGGTTTTCCCACCAACCGGTTCATACAAGCAGAACTTAAGCAATGGGGCAGATCACAGCTCACCTCTCCTGCAGTCAGGCTCGCGAGTGTTGCCTTTGCTGCTGGTTTGATTGTTGAAGCAGAGCTGAGCCTGAGCACCGCCAGGAACACAAACTTGCATCAATCTGCAGGGCTCTAGGTGACCGTTCGAGTATTGAAATGTAAACCACCCAGGAGCGTCCTGGGGGCTCGCACCACGCTGAACCCCAGCGGGTCAGTGACTCAGGTTCACTCGGCTAGTTAAACACGCAACTATCGCGTTTGTGAATATGGGTGATCAGCCTTTTATTATCCCCACCACCTTTGTATAATAAATACTTTTGTAAAAAAAAACACTTCGTCATTCTAAACTATTCACTTACAAAACACACAGTCATTGCACTTTACAGTATATCTTGCGAAGCGCTTTGCAATGCCCTCCAAATGCAATTTTATTTTATATTTTATTTTTTACGAGTCCGACCAGCAGTTTTCATTTACTGCGTGTTCTCTACTGTTCGTCTTTACTGCTTCATCGCAATCCTGAATCATTCATCACAATTGGCTGCCTTGTTTCTCCCACAAAATACACAATCAATTCACTTTACAGTATATTCTGCGAAGCGCTTATAGACGTCTTGAAGACGTGATAATGCTGGAGTAAAGGTTTGTTAAAACATCTGACTGCCTAACCCTGACAGCTCAGAATTTTGATTCCTGGTGATCAATTCCAAATTTTCCCATGTTAAGTGCGCAAAGAAAAATGTAGCGGAGTGTGGTTTGAGATCAATTCTGTTCAAAACTTCAGCCTTGATAGTTGGAAGCTCCAGTCATTTCTATTACTGCTGCAAATCAATACTTAAGACTCTTGTACTCATTACATGTCATCTGCTTGGTTCCTTTCACATATTGTTTTTTAATTAAGATTTGCTTAGTGCTTTACAGTCACAGGGAAACAAACATCAACTTCTACATCACAAGCTTGTATAACTGCAAATCGGCTGTTACATTCACCTACAAACACACAGTCACTCCACTTTACAATACATCCAGTGAAGTGCTTTGCGATGTCCTGATGTGATAGGTGCTATACCAAATTCAAGATTATGTTATGGGAGGCTGTGGTATGTGATGTGCTGTGTGTATGCGTACAGCTTTCCGTTCACTCACTCAATTTTGGTTTACATAAGCAAAGGGAGTTTCTCCTGGTGTCCTGGCCAACAATCCACCAGATTTCCAGCGGAACTCAGCCAGACTCGGACACGTACAGAAACCCATCACCACGCTTGAGAATATCCATGTATTTGGATTTGGAATATTCTTTAACATTTCCTTCTGTCCGAAATGGAATGAGTGAGCACTCTCCCCAGAGAATCCCACCCCACTTACCTAATTCCGCAGAGTATTTGGTGCAATTTTGCAAGAGTCGAGGCATGGAGACTGCAGAGTGTTGTGTTTGGGTAACTGCTGGAAACCACATAGCTTGTCATTGTCTGGCACTAACTATTATTATCCTCTAGTAAACTTGTTCCCTGGGCTCCTCTGATCCAATCATCTATGGTCACAGCTCCCCAGAGCACGTTTCCTAATTTACGACCTATTCCCAATGTCCCTATGTCTAGTATTTTTGGCAGGAAGCAGCCACTGAGGAGTTTGCTCCCCACCCCACCCCCGCTCACCGTACAAAGAAAATACACAGTCACAACAATTTACGGTATACAGTACAATTTACAATACATTTGATACAGCGCCTTTTGCTTCAGGAGGACGTCCAAAGGCGCCGTATCGAACGTAAAGATTATTAATATTTTTATGAAAGGGGATTTGTCTCCTGGTTCTTCCCAACAAGTTCAGCTAACAGCAAAGGGCACAGCTCAGGGGCAGGAGCAAAGCGTGAGGGAGGTGGCTGTCACTCCGAGCAGCCGCTCCTCACCCCTGGTCCGTACGTGTGAGGTTCTAAATAATACGGCCTTTTGTATGAAAAAACAAATTCAAATACAACACAAGAGAGAGCGGCTCGGGCCGCGGAGTTGCTTCCAAAGTAGCCGGCAGAGCGGAATCATCCAGTGCCTCACTCTGCCCGAGAGTGAGTGTTTGGTCTTTTGCTCCATGACTTTCGTCAGCCTCACCTCGCAAGCTCGCTCGCTCGCTGGCTCAGCTCAGCCCATCCCCCACAAGATCTGCTTGGTCCAGAACAAGGAGACAATCAGGAAGATGGAGATCCCGAACACGCTGATCAGCACGTACGTCAAGGCCCGGAGATGAACGCTCTGGCAGCATTTCCGCAGGAATCTCCGGCCGGGAGCCCCGTCCCCTCCCCCCGGGGACAGGGAGAGGTCCCGCTGCCTCTCCACATCGAGGCTGAGGGTGTAGACCGTGGGCCGGTGCAGCAGGAAGTGAGCTTTCCTCGAGCCCTTGTAGACCAGTCGCCCGCGGTCCAGCAGCACGTTGAAGGGCTCGAGCTGCAAGTGGCGCAGGATGTCGGCATTGGCCGGGAGCCCTGTGATCTGCCGGCCCGGCCCCAGCACGGTCAACTGCCGGCACAGAGGGCAGGACACCTCCGGGGCCGACTCCGACACGAAGGCCAGGCTCATGCGGGCCAGACACTCCAGGCAGAAGGTGTGTTTGCATTCCAGCACCTTGGGCATCCGGAAGGCATTGTCATAGCGATTCCAGCAAATCACACACTCGGGTTCCCCGGGGTCATTTCCCTGCAGCATCGCAGCGAGACGCAGTGAAGTAAGTGGCCGGTTGTGGGCGCAGTGGGGAGATGGTGGGGGGTGAACACCAAGCGGAGCCCCTCAATGTCACGGCAGATAGAACCCGGACCCCTGTGCGACCACGAGCGCTTGACGATCTGCAGCCTTCTCTGTGCGAAGCTCTCGGGGAACCAGAGTAAGACGGTCGGGCTGATCGCACCTCACGCTTTCGCACCGGTTTCTGTGCCGCAGAGTCCTGCCCTTCGTGCCTCTGGAAGAGAGCTATCCCACTCTCTGTCGTTGCTTGGGATTTTGGAGTCCCGTAGTGTAGTGATTAGTGTTCTCACCTCACCAGCGAGAGGACCCAGGTTCGATTCCCGGGCGGGGTGAAACCTTAGGCAAGTTTCGTTACTCCACACGGCTCTGTTTACCTCGCAGTAAGTAGGAACCCGGTTGTTATTCGATTGGCAGATCGCTTTCCCAGCGTAATAATCTCTCCAAAAAATAATTGGGTGACGCGATCCACGACTGTTTGTGAATGAGACAACTCACCTGCCATGTTTCACCCCCAAAATACACAGTCACTCCACTTTACAATCTATTCTGTGAAGCACTTTGAGACGTCTCAAGGATGTGAGAAGGCGCTATATCAAATGCAGGATTATTATTATATCATCTTTCTCAGTCCCACAAGTCATAAGCTTGTCTCCAGTCCCTGGAGCCCCCGACACACGCACAAGCGCACACACAAACGGACAGGCACTGCGTTGTTTCAGGCGCACAAGTTTAGATTGATGACTGCCTGAAGCAGTTAGGGTCTCTCTGTGCAGACTGCCCACGCTCACCCGGCTTCCTCACGTCGAGTGACTAGGCCACTGAGGAATTAATCCCAATCCTCGTCTCCACAATTAATTTGCCCGACTCAATCCAGCGGTGTCCACGGGAGCGAATCATTGCTCTCAACACAAGGAACTGATATTGAAAGTTTCCCCCTTTCTTCTCAAGGAAATACAAGCTCTCCTCACGGCTCCTAAGCTGTATCACGTGGTACACCTGAGCCGGAGAAACAGGTTGTACAGGTTCTGATGTCCTGTTTAATCAGATGAATTGTAACCCGCACGCTTGTCTCTCTTTCTCTCTCCCAGCTCAGGTGTGTCTCAGTGCCACTCCGTTGCACCCGTAATCTACAGAGATGGGAGCAGGAGAGGGCAGGATCTGGTGACCCTTCACCTCCCCGGCACAGACACATAGGTACCTGGTTAGTTGGGAAACACAGCGGCAATAGATGGCAGAGTTGTTTTTGGAGACGGTGAGGGAGAAAGGGGGGATTGCAAAGAGCAGCACTGAGACAGGTGTGTGAGCGAACAGAGGAGTGTTCCTTATATCACACACATTGGGGAAACAGCAGGAACAGCTGGTAAAGTAACTAGAATCAGGGAATAAATATTGATCAGGGCACAATCTGTACATCCTGGGCTGATGCTCCAATGCAGTGCTGGGGTCAAGGTGCTATATGGCCAGAGGTGCCGTCCTTCAGATGTGACTTTAAACCAAACTTGAAGATCCCATGACAGGATTTGAAAGGAGAAGGGAGGTTCTCTCTCCCGGTGTCCTGGCCATTAATCCCCCAAGTAAAATTACTGGCTCACTCCGTGGCTGTTTGCGGGACACTGCTGTGTGCGATTGTGCTGCTGTGTTGGCCTACAAATACAGTCACTCCACTTCATAGTAAAATCCTGTGAGACGTGATAGAGCAAATGCAAGGATTATTATGATTACTTTAAACAACCTTGTAAAAATCTATCTCATTCACTGCGTCTTCAAAATGCCCCATCTCCCATATAACTCCATGAGAGGCTTTGTATAAGTGTAACTTGGTGCTGTTGAGAAACATACTCAGTGTGGACAGAGACGGGAATGAGCCTGAGACCATTCAATACAGAGAGGAACTGTTTTATTGGAGCAAACATCAGTAACGACGGGAACAGCTTGTTTCTCAAAATGTGAGTAGATCCCAGCTGGACAAGCAGAGGGATCTTGTTCACAGTGACGGGCTGTGCAGTTTTTAGCTGGTTAACGTCTAGAGTTACTTTAAACAAACCTGTAAAAGTCTATCTCATTCACTGAGTCTTCAAACACCTCCTCCACCTGGCCCATCTCCCATATAACTACATGAAAGTCATTCTGCACATTCTGGGAACCACCCCCCCAGCCCCAAGCCTTGGCTCTTGCTTCCGCGATTAGATGAGTCACGTTGTCATTTAGGTAGCAAGTGCTCATTCCCTTCCAGACAATTGGAAGCCACCACTGACGCTGTTACTATTATGGTTTGGAGGCTCGAGGGCGGTGATGTGTTTCCTTGTGTGTCAGACACTTCACTGACAATCCCACTCTCCCTGCTCCCACCCCCCCACCCCCAACCCCCAAAATAAACCCTTTTGATTAGGAAAAGTTGCATAGCTGAAAGGAAACACACACATAGTTTATTAACAATAGTAATTTGACACGGCTGGACTTTCTGGGGAGAGGCAGAGCTCAGTTATGTTGGTTGGGTTCAGTTATGTGGCATGTGAAAACCTCGTGCAAACATTTAATAATGTGGTTAGACTTGCAATGCAATGGATTGAAGAGCATCTGTAATTTCATCTGTTCACAGACGTCAACACATGGTTTACCTGTGGGGCATAATAGACTTGAGGTGTCAGAATTTCTCTCTTTCCTAACGCACTGTCCTCTCAATTGGCTTTGAAGAGAGCCAGGTAGAGACTTTAAGTTACAAACGTAGACCTTACGTTCAGCATTCTGGTGTAGCCTCAGACAATGTCAGCCATATAATGAGACTTTACAACAACAACAACAGTAACAAGTTGCATTTATATAGCCCTCTTCACGTGGTGTAGCATCCCAGGGCACTTGACAGTAGCGGAGTCTGACTTTAACAGGCACCAAAGGCACGACCGATATCTCTGAACAGAATTTGTACCCAAAAGTGTCAGTGTTCTTTTTCTCACCCAAACGCCAGCTCGGGGCCAAATCCTTGACTGTCCGGTGCCTTGGGACATCCTCCTGACATGAAAGGCGCTATATGATCACCCACAAAATATACAGTCAATTCACTTTACAATATATTCTGTGAAGTGCTTTGAGACGTCTCAAAGACGTGATAAGGCGCTGTATCAAATGCAAGATTATTATTAAGAGTAATTTGTTTTTTGCTGTTGTTGATGAAGGCAGAACTATCCTTCGTTGACTTAAAAAATGTCAGCAGAACGACCCTGAATTTCTACTCATAATGCAATCTCTCTCACTGTAGATGGCTCTGATAAGCATGGAATAGCCTCCTCGCCAAACTGTGCGCAACTTCAGGTGACTGACTCATCCACAGAGGATTAAGATGAGTTGTCAACAATTCACACAATTGTCAAAATACTTTTATAGTAACCCCCCCCCCCACCCCACCCACGCTTATCCTTCACAGTTCTGCTGAGGTTTTACCTAAGTAAATGTGCTTTTTTTTTCAATTTTTTTTTAATATGTTATTTAATATAATATATAATATAATAAATCCCCTCATCAGAAATTCTGAGCTCCCGGTCCAGACTACCAGTCGAGTGCAATGCATTATCAGAGGTGACGTTCTTTGGATGAGACCTTAAACCGAGGCTCCTTTCTTCGTCTCTTCAAATGAACATCAAAGACTCTATGGCACTATTCAAACAGAGATGCATATCTGTGCCAAGCTGAGCAAGGTTTACCTGGGCAGGTGACATGCCCAGGAATATCTAACAGTACGGTGGAGCAGGGCACGTCAGGAGGACGTCGCAAGGTGCTGAAGTACTATAAAAATATGTAAAGTGGCCTTGCCCCTCCCTCGGGGGTCCCAGGTTATGGCAACGGCAATGATGCTGCAAAGTGGAATTATTTGTTGCTGTTTGTAGTTTTCCATGAGCTGGAGTTGTTCTGGGGAAGATTAAAAGCCCAGATGGAGACGAAGAAGAGGGCAAGGGTGACAACTATAATCACGAAGGTGGCGAGGCAGTATTTGGCCTTGGACAGTGGCCAGCAGATGCGTTTGCGCAGACTGTAGATGACGGGCTGTGATGGGTTGCTCACGTCTAGGGTCTGACTGACCGAGTTGACAAACACTTTTTTCTTTATCTGGGATCTGGGCTTGTGCATGAGGAGGCGGCCTTTGGTGCGGTTGAAGCGGACGCTGTATATCCTCTTCATGTCGTTGGGCAAGGCGGACAGGATTGCGGGGTCGTTGTTAAGCTTGGGCAAGCCGGCCAAGGGCACCTGGGAAATGCCACGACACATCGGGCATAGGATGGCCTCGGCCACGTGAGATTTCATGTTCATCCGGGCCAGGCATTCCAGGCAGAAGACGTGTCCGCACTCCAGCACCTTGGGCACTCGGAAGCCATTGTTGTAATCACTGAAGCAGATCGTGCACTCCAGGTCATGGAACTTGTCTTCAGACATGATCTGACACGACGTCAACGATGTCAACGGCAACCAGAGGACCCTACAGAGACACAAGACAGAGTCACAGGAGGGCATTGTCTTGGCTGACGCTACATAATCATCATTATTATTAATAATATTCATAGTTATTATTATTACCAATAATACTATTAATAATAGTGTCATGGAATCATTCTCTTTGTGGCTGTTTGTGGAAGATGGCTGTGTGCAAATTTGGCTGTAAATCCTGTGAGGTGCATTGAGACATCACTCCGACATGAAAGGTGCTGTGTTAAATGCAAAGAATATTCAGTTACATGATAATCAAATCGCATAGGGCTGCAGAATAGAAGTCGTACACATAGCCATGAAAACAAGCCTGGTATACTTGCATAGTTATTCTAGGAACAACCAGGATATACTGACAGAACTAAACGGATGTCTGACAATCATCTTGCAAGAAAGATAACAAAACTAGTTCAGACAAAGAAAGCCTTTAGTCCTTTCTGATCTCATCTCCTTCCCTTCCATCAAAGCATCAAGCACTTTTTTCAATGAGTGCAGTTTCCTGGCCTCAACCACCCTTCCTGGCAATCTGGTCTTCGCACCAGGCTTCGCGACCACATCACTCCCACCCTCGCTCGCCTCCACTGGCTCCCCTTCCCCCAGAGGATCGAATTCAAGATCCTCATCCTCACCTACAAGGCCATTCACGGCCTCACTTCCTCCTACTTCTCCGACCTACTATCCCCCTACTTACCTGCCCGTACCCTCCGTTCCTCTGGCTCCGGTCTGCTTCACATCCCCCGCCCCAACCGCCCTACCATCGGTGGCCGGGCCTTCAGCCTCTCAGCCCCGAGGCTCTGGAACTCTAACCCCCAGTGCCTTCGCCTTCGCTTCCTCCCTTTCCTCCTTCAAGGCCGGTCTCAAGACCTTTCTCTTTGACCGTGCCTTCAGCTCCCCTCTCGACTCTCTACCCACTCCTCGCTCCCTCCCTTCCCTCCCCTCACCCTGACTGTTTCTCCCCTGCTCGGGTCCCGACCCAACTGTCCAGCACCGTGGGACGTCCTGCCGACGTGAAAGGCGCTCTGTAAATGAAATCTTGTTGTTGTTGTTGTTGTCTTTCAGTTAATCTTTCATGTGGCACTTTGTCAAAACACATGATGTCATCCTTCCACAATACCCACCCTACTGTCTTCCCATCAGAGCATCTATCTCTTTTTGAAATGAGTCCAGGACTCAACCCCCGAACCCCCAACTCCCGTCCCCACACACACTCGCACTCACACACTTCTTGGTAAACTGTTCCAGTCATCGATTACCCTCCGGGGAAAGGAACATTCTCTGGTTCCTCTTCTGAAAGTGTGGCGCAGGACACCAGGAGAAATTCCCTTCTCTTTTCGAATAGTGCCATGGGATCTTTAACGTCCGCCTTAACAGGTTTAACATCTTATCTGAAGGGTAACACCCAAGGAATGCTAATAGTAATCCCTGCATTTGATCCGCTGCCTTATGACATCCAAAACCTCTCAAAGCGTTTCACAATAATTGCTGTGACTGTAGATCTGTAGGCAAATGTGACTGCAACACAGCATTGACCCACAAATAGCCGTAGTGTGAATGGATACTTCTATCTTGAAGATTGTTGGCCTGGACATCAGTAGCCCCGAGGGATCTTTAACGTTCACCTCAGCAGGCAGATGGGATCTCGGTTTAACATCTCATCTGTAGGACACATGTCTGATAACCCAACGGTACAGCATAGGCTCTCACAGCCTTGACTGTCAACTCAGAGTCCCTGACCCCGAGGCTTGAACAACCTTCTGATGCAGTGGTGAGAGTGCTACCAACTGAACCAGGGAGTCAACGCAAAGTCAACTGCGTTGGTAACAACAGCCCATTTGAGAAACGGAATTTGTTGCAAATGGTCTGTCAGAGAGAGTGAGAGCGTCAGAGGCTGAAAAGGTTGAAACTTTTCACCACGTGAGCTCTAAGTGATGGAGACAGGCAAGATGGAGAGCACAGCACAGCTTAAGACTGACAGAAGCAAAGCTCACACAGTTGGATAGACTTATATTCCAACACTGCCATTGAAAGCTCTGAAACTCTTACTCTCAATCCAAGGCAATGTTCTCTTTTCCGCCACTGATCTCCTTGGGGAATTCTTCTGCTTCGGAGATAGCTAACGTTGGATCTGCTGGAACGGGCTGTCTTTGCCAGGCCTGAGGTTTTTTGACTGCACTGCGTTGAGCTGCAAACTCTACTCGCAGGTAACAGTCCACGCATCTGCTCTCTCTCTCTCTCAGATGTGGCTGTCAAATGTATAATGAAAAAAGACTCTTTATTTCCATATATTTCCCTAATGTACTACTGAGCTGAAACCTGAGCTACTTTAGTTAAATGAGGGGAGATCCAAATGGGGCGCACTCCACTTTGGGAAGGACAGAGAGGAGTGAACTCACTCACTGCAGTGCTGAGACTGACACCCACCTCCTCACCCAAATGGATGAGCTATAGGCAATGATTGCACAAGGCAGCACTTTTCAGCCCTATCAGTGCAGTGCTGGGGGGAGTTCTACAATATTAGAGGTGTCGTCCTTTTAAACGGAGGTCTCGTCTGCCTGTTCGCATGGATGTTAAAGATCCCGCAAAGTAATTCCAAACAAAAAGGTCTTTTTTCTCTCGGTGTCCAGGCCAACAAGCTTCCAGATAAAATTTGTGGCTGATCTGAGGGTCATTATTATGCTCAAAATTGTCTGCCTTGAAATAGACAGTTACAACAACAGCAGCTTGGATTTATCTAGCTCCCCTCAAGTAGAGTAGTGTCCCAGAGCGCTCAGTCACTACACAATTCTCTGTGAAATGTTTTGATGTGATCCGTGATGTTTCAAATACAGTGAACATCATTGTTATTCAACAAAAGGCAAAATAGGGCAGATGCTGGAAATCTGAAATAAAAACAGAAGTCGCTGGGAACCCTCAGGAGGTCAGGCAGCATCCACGGAGAGAGGAAAGCGAGTTAACGTTTCAGGCCAATGACTTTTAGTCAGTGTTTCCGGCGACTGCTGTTTTTATTGTTATTGTGTTTGTTCTGTGCCTTTAGGGAGAAATTTGCCATTGTACTGATCCACTGAGCCTGGAGCATTGCTGTCTGTTCCTCATCTCTCCTGTTGAGAGATGTAAAACTTCTATTTTTAAACATGCCAAGATAGCAGAGCAACAGGTTTAGAGTTGCAAAGGGCAATATTAAAAGGGATACCAAGAAGTATTTCTTTACCAAGTGGCTCGATCAGGCAATGTGCTGCTCAGTGGGATGTACTGCCGAGTTCCCAATTTGTGTGGCTTTGGTTCCTTATCATAGAATCTCATTGAATCCCATTGTGAGAACCCCCCAGTAGTCAGATCCCGATCTGTGTCATAAGGAGCCCAACACCAACGAGCCGGTGCCTCTGTCCCCAGTGACGTAGCAGGAAATTTCAGCCTTGTGTAAAAGATGATCTGTGCAGATAGCGTTCTGTGAAACATTCTCTTAATGCAGATCAGAGTTTCCATTGTAATTCAAATAATCTTTTTTCTTCTTTGCTGGTGATTTGCATTGATATTCGATACAGAGTTCCTGGTGTCTAACTTTCATCTTTTCTCCCGCGCAGCAAAAAAAAGTGCTTCGGCTCAAGCCGGTCACACTCCCACTTTTGGGTCAGAAGGCTGAGGGCAAAGCCCCAGTTCAGGGGGTAATTGAGCTCACAGTCCAGGCTGCCACAACAAAGAGCTTTACACCAAGTTAATAATAAACTTGTGGGCCTGAAATAATGCAGTCGCTGGCTGTTTGTGTGCGTGTGCATGTGTGTGGGGGGCTCCAGTGACTGAAGACAACCTTATGACTTGTGGGGCTGAGAAAGCTAATAATAATAATATTGGTATTCCTTGCATTTGATACAGCGCCTTATCTCGCTGTTGAGATTTCTCACAGAACATACTGAGAAGTGAATTGACTGTCTTTTGTGAGCCAATTGCGCACAGCAGTCGTGGATTGAGTGTCCCAATTTTTTTTAAGGGATTATTGCCTCCGGAAAATGATCTGCCAATCGTTTAATAACCGGGTTCCAACTTCACGTTCTCAGAGCAAAGGCAGGTCATAAGTGACGTGCCTGAGGTAAGCAGGATGATTGATCTGAATATACTTGAGGTCTGGATGGTGCCAATAAGCATATTAACCATGACCGAGGCTGACGTTGGAGCAAACCGCAGTGACCCAAGACCCATTTATCTTGTGAGAGGTTCTTGCTCTCCAGCCTGGTGCAGTGGTCACAAAGTCCCTGTGTTGCTATGCTACATGAGTGAAAACAACTTTCATTATGGCCAGGAATGGAGCAGTGAAGCCTTAAAGGGCAACCAACACACCACCAACAGTAATATGCACTTTATAATAATCCTTGTGTTTGATTTAGCATCTTACTACATCGTTGAGACGTCTCAAAGGGCTTCACAGAATATACTGCAAATTGAATTTTGTTGTATATTTTGTTTTGCTCCCATTAGGAACCAGGTAACCAGTAGAAAACTTTAACAGGGAGTTGGTTGGGGTGGGGGGGCAAAAGGGAGTTGTATCTGAATACAGTCAATCAAGGCAATATCACCCGTTCTCGCTCCTCCTAAGATGACCTCCAACAGGATTGTTGCCCTGGGAATTTTCTCCGATCGTCAACAGTTGATAACCTACCCTGATCGTAACCAATTCAATCAAATGACCTGAAGATCCGAGTTTGGAACTGTAGGAGTTGGAGTCTGGAGTCAAACAAGGTGAGTGACAGTGAACATTGAATGAAAGTGGTAACTAGGTGGAGTGGGAGTCTGAGGCAACCTTAGAAACGATTAGCAAACACAGAGAGAGAGAGAGACTCAGAGAGAGAGAGGAGAGACTCACAGAGAGAAAGAGGGAGAGTCTCAGAGAGAGAGAGAGAGATTCACAGAGAGAGAGAGACTCACAGAGAGAGAGAGGAGAGCTTCACTGAGAAGGGAGTGGAGTTACAGACAAGTACAGAGAGAACTGGAGAGATTGCAGAGAGAGAGAAAGAGAATCGAGGGAACAGAAAATCAGCGAAGAGGGATAAATAAATGCAAAGAAGAGATAATCGGAGGAAGGGAAGAGAAAAGGTGAAGATATTTGTTCCAGAGAGATACATCACAGAGAGAAGAAAGAAAGGAGTGATATTCATATGGCGACATAAGTGAGTTCAAGAGGAGTGAGACATCACAGCCAGAGGAGAGAGGTCCTCATCTCTGAAAAACATCCATTGGAACAAGACAAGGACACCACTGCCCTGGCTACAAAGGAACTCCCTTTTATCTTCTACTAACTTCACTGAATCTGGTCTATGTGAGTTGTCTTGGCTCAGGGTCACAGCATGGAGACCATTCCTGCTTAACTCCAAGGCATGGGAGATCAGGGAGAGGAGGTGCAGCCCCACAGGACTATTTCTGAGTGTCCGGTCTGTTATGTCTCTTACGACAATGGCCCCAAGACACCTCTGCTCTTGTCCTGCGGTCACACCTTTTGCATGGAGTGCCTCTCCAGGATGTGCATCTTCACCAAGCAGACAGACACTTTCTCTTGTCCGCTCTGTAGGGCTGCCATCTCCATCCCAGCAGGAGGGATTCCCAAACTCAGTGCCAACCTGGAGATGATGTCCTCCTTCCCTCCAGGCCTGCAGGATCTGCAGACAGTCTGGCTGGAGGGCTCTCGGCTGTGTTGGCTGAAGAAAAATGGGAGCGAAGACCTCGGCATGGTGGTGACACTGCAGCTTCTGCCCCACCCTGAGCACCCATACCCTCCCCACATGGTGGGCGTCCATCACCCACCTCGCCTGTCCAGATACAGGATCTGGTTCACTAACTACCTCGGTGTAGGATTCCTCATGCTGGCCAGCTTGCTATTCGTGTTCAGTATCATCTTCATCCCTGCCTACCTCATCCGAGTCTTATGACAGCACCTTATCCAGCATTTCACAGCTCGCTTTCCTGAGAGACACAACAGGGAAACTCTTTCCAAACACGCACACTGTTACAGGAATAATTCATCAACATGTGTCAACTGGCCAATCGATTTGGTGGGTTTTGTAAATTAGTTTCTTTCTGCCCTTGCTGTGAGAATTGATTTATTTTGACGGTGGTGAGTGCGCGGATGTCATATACTTATTTAAAGATTGCTTATTTTATTCAAAGCTTATTCACGCCCCAAAAACATGAACTGAGCAACCAATTTTATTAGGGGGAATTTGATGGTAACAAGGAATGATCCGATGTTTGTACTCGAAGCTAAGTTGTACTCATTTTACGTTTGATTGAACGTGATTTTTATAAGTATAACCATATGAGGTCAAACAACAAAACCACAAAAAATGTACAGCATTGGAGATTCTCCTTAGAGCAGAGAAGGTGGAGGTTGAAAAATTCTTAAATCCTAATTTGGAAGCCACTTTTATTCTTAAAGTTAAGACGGTGGAGGGGGAACTGATAAGAGATTTCACCTGGGTCCAGATTGACTCTATATATGTAGCATTTAAAAGTGTGCAGAACTTGCCAAGCTGTTGAATTCAGCCTTGACTTCCAAGTTGATTTTCTCTAGTTTTTATGGGAACGTTCGCGAAGGCGGCTTCAAAATTAACACTGAATTTAAGAATTTGCCGACTGGCTTCAAGGTGACTTGTTGGGCAACGGAATGTGAGAATCGAGCCAACCCTCTGTGGCGGTCTCGGTAATCCAGTTCATGAGCCAGGCAGGTCTGCAGTATTCCAGAGCACTGCTGATGACAGCACAGCCAGGACTTGGAAGGCAGAACAGTCACTGCGGGCAGGGACTCTTCACACTCAGCTCCTGTTAACCCTGCAAGCCAAAGTCCTAACAGGTAGAGAGGCACTAGTTGGACTGGCAGCGGGAAAGCTTGCCAGGCAGCAATATCAATTGCAAGATATGCAGTTTTAGCTGGTTAGACTCCAGCAGTACCGCAGCACACACTCTGGGATCCTCGTGTTTTGGCTCTTGCCAACCTGCGCCCTAATACATTTCGTAATTGGTTTAGCAGGATGAGTCCCTCCAAGGAGAGAGTGCGCATTCTGGGAATTTCCATACGTAGGTGGAACTCTGTTTGTTTCGGATACTCTTAGCATGTGGCTGGGTTTCCACACGTGTCAGACACCCGGCTGACTGATGCAGGATTCTGAAGGGGCAATGAAATGAGGACTGGATGTGGAGCTCTCGTGTCCAAATGGATTGTTCCTAAAACCAAATGTTTGCCTTGGAATAAAGGACCATTGTTTCCCATTTACCTCATGCGGCAGAGCCTTTGGTCTCAAGCTGGTTGATTAAATCGCAGCAACTACCCCAACACACACTGACTCTTGGCAACTTGTGCCAACTCCTCTCCAGAAGAGAGGATGCGTCACTTGGAGACAATAAGCATTCCATTCCATTCCCGGGAATTTCCATGCATATTCCACGCTTTCAGGCTCAGAATTATCAGTCTGGTTTGGATACTCTTGAGTATGGTGATAGGTTCCCAGTGCATCAAGCAATCTGTCTGACTCTTTCAACTACGAGATTGGGCTATTCATATTTTGCCTTCAACTTTTGCTGAAAACATCTTGTTACAAGCACCCTCAGCTCCAACGTGACAAGTAAAGAGTTTTAACGTTTTTAAAAAAAGTCAGAAAAGAGAATTATGGCTGACCGTAAGAGCAAACAGAATAAAACGCGACACTTTTTTTTAAAAACGGATAGAGATTAATGTAGACAACCGCACCTTTATTATCTATTTTTAGCATTTGCATTTAAGATTTCAGTGAGTTGATAACTTTACAGAACTGGTCGGACCATAGAGAGAGAGAGGGGGGGGGAGTTTCCATTAACTTGCCAGCAGTCTATAGGTCAAGGTATTCAAGGAATGTCAGCAAAGCAAACACACGGAGTGAACTCAAGTCATAACCCCACACACTCAATGCAGTTCCTGCACTTGACAAAACTTTGGCAACCCCAGTGCCATCCAGTGGTAGAATACGTGTTACCCTGGTGCCACCTAGGGTACATATTTGCAGCCTCTCAACATCATCATCATAGAAACTTTACAACGCAGGAAGTTTGTGCTGCTACTGGAGCCATCCACTTCAATTCCATTTGCCCCTTTTCCCCTCATAATGCTATGTTAATTTTACCCACTAAATTGTATCTGGTTGTGTTTTAACTGCTGTATGGACTTGGCTTCAACCAAAAGTACATCCTGATGGCTTATGCTAATGATAAGCATTAAATAATAAGCACTGTTAAATAAAAATACTGATCCTTGCATTTGATGTAACGCTTTTCACGTCAGGAGGTCGTTTGAAAGCGCTTAACAGGATATATTGTAAAGTTACTGTGTGTTTTGTGGCCGAACGCGGCAGCCAATTTTAGCCACAGCAACGTCTCCAGAGAACAGCCAAGGAGTGAGTGACCAATTTTATTTGGGGGAATTTGTTTCCCAGGATACTGCAAGAGAGAAACTCCCTTCTCTTTTCAAATAGTGTCGTGGGATCTTTAACATCCACCTGGACAGGCAGATGGGACCTCGGATTACTACACACAGTTAAGTGATAATGTGGGTTTTCTTCTTTATAACTAAGAATAAAAAAAGGGCACAATTATACCTAATCATAATTGTAATAGTCCTTTCATTTGATTTAGTACCTAAAACATTGAAACGTTCAAGGCCTTTACAATAAATACCTTTAAGTGGCAGCCAATTTGCACACAGCATTGTCCCACAGACAACCATAAAGTGAACGACCAATTTATCTGAGGGATCTGAGTCACCAAGAAAACCTCCTTCCTTTTTTTGATTTGTGCCTTGGGATCACTAATGTCCACCCGAATAGCCAGAAGGGGCCACGGTTTAACATCTCACTCGAATGATGGCACCTCTGACAATGCAGTGCTCGCTAGCCCAGCACTGCACTGTGAGCGTCAGCCTGGACTCTAAACCAGCAATCTTCTGACCCACAGGTGAGAATCCTGCCAACCGAGCCAAGTTGGTGTAGACAACTAAAAAAAATTACATTCAAACGGCGCCTTTCGTGTCGAGAGGTCGTGCCAAGCAGATATTCCCTGCACAGAACTGGCAACAGCACTCGTGTAAACCACACAGGATCAGACATGAAGGGTCAGCTCTCACTTGCCAAGAGCAGAGCAGTTAGCATCAGACTCCCAAATTCCATCGAGGACCAGAACGACAGCAACTAGTACCTTGGAAATACTTTAAACAAGTTCAGGTTAATTTCACTCCTTTAAAACTTATCTAACCCATATTGTTCATAGCTTATTTTGGAGAGTCCAGATTATACACAGTACACACAGGGACATCACCTATTAACAGAAAAGTGCTTAATATAATAATAATAGTTATTAACATAAACACAGAGAGCACTGGTCTTTCATTCCACCCAGCGCCACCTCCCTGTGTTCGGCTAATCAGATAATCGGTTCCCCAGACGCTCTCTGATGCTGTTTCCCCATGTGTGGCTCGAGAAACGTGCTCAGAATCTCGCAACCTCGCTCAGGCTACAGCCTCTTGACTCGTTCACTGCGAGGACGTGAATTCCTCTATTAAAGCTGCCGCACAGCAAACTGGCCCTGTCACAGGAGGCCAGCGACGTGAGAGGCCCAGCCCCATCCAGGGAATAGGAGCTCACACAGGCTGCAAGTAAAGAGAGAGAAGTTTAACTCAATCAGTTCTTATCAGAACTTAGTCCAACAGGCCATGTCTGTAAAACGAGTGACTTTCGTTATTTGCAACTCTCCCCCCCTTCCAAGACACACACTATCCAGGGTCATACGTTTAGTCTTAAACACCTATATTTCTTGCATTTATCATGCCATCAAATCCTCTCAAAGCACTTCACAGGATATCCTGCAAAGTGTAGTGGCTTTGTGTTGCGAAGGAAGGTGGCAGCCAATTTGCACACGGTAATGTCCCGCAAACAACCGTGGAGTGAGTGACTATCTTTATTTGGGGGATTTGTCAGCCAGGACACCGGGAGAGAGAAACTGTCTTCTCTTTTCGAATAGTGCCACGGGATCTTTGACGTCCACCTGAACAGGCAGACGGGACCTCGGTTTAATGTCTCATCCAAAGGACGGCACCTTCACCAATGCAGCACTCCCCCAGCACTGCACTGGAGTTTCAGCTTAGATTACATGAGTTCCAAGTCCCAACCTGGGGCTTGAACCCTACAGCGCTCAGACTCAGAGACAAGAGCGTTACCAACTGAGCCAGGCTGACACCTAGTCCCATTCAGCTCCATTCTTCTACCTTTTCCCCCATACCATGCAGGGCAGCCCCTCACTTTTAGCAGTGTGAGGGCAGGTATAGAGTTAGGTACTGATCTACTAGAGGACACTACCTGCTGTGTCCCGGTTCCAGAGCTTCACAGTACAGTCGTGAGATGAAGTTGCCACTAAAGGGACTGAGGTAGAGCCGCTCGGGAGAAAGATGCAGGCTGCAGTGCTCTGTTGGTGCCCCCTATAGTCACAGACTTTATCTTTGGTCTGTCTCAGGTCCCACAGCTGGACAGAGTGAGAGAAACAGGTAGTTAGTCACCCTGAGAGGACCACAACAGGACCCTTTTAACCTGCTGTTCGATATCTAGACTTGTCATTACTCCCAATCCTAGCATTTGACACAGCACCTAATCGAGTCATCCAGACGTCTCATAGAGCTTTACAAAATGTTACTGTGAAGTATTGTGGCTGTATTGTAGGTGAAAGAGGCAGGCAATTTTGCGCACAGCGAGGTTATTATTGGAGTCCCGTAGCGTAGTGGTTAGCACGCTCGCCTCGCAAGCGAGAGAACCTTGGTTCGATTCCCGGGTCCTGTGCATTTTTGTAGATGAACAATGAGTCACCCAGACAGTAACTGAGAAGACAAGTCCCTTCACCAGTTCCACACAGGAGTTGTGGACAGCTCTGCCTGGCTGTTGTTGGATTCCCTTTAAGAAGAAATGACCAATTGGAAAAAGGGAAGAGCAAACTATTTGCCTATAATAAAGAGGAAATTGAGATAATCGACAGAGTAGCTATAGAAGTTGTATCCAAAGACAGATCAGTTAAAGATAAAAGTTTCACTTTGTAAAATTGAAAGCCGATACTCTGCTCGGACTGCAAGGTATCATTGAAATGGGGTTGCTCAAAAGAATTCGGTGTGTGGAGACAGAAGACCTCAAAACAACTTCACCGGGGTATCCCCAAAGCAATGGTCTGGTGGAGCGGGAAATACAGACTAGAAAGAAAATAAAGACAACGCAAAGGCAAATAAGCAGAAACAGGCTGAAAGAGAATGAGGGACAATCATCAGCAACAAACACTGATGTCAAGACGGTTAAGAGATTTGTTAATCTCGGAAGAAGACAAATTGAGACCGCCCGGTACAACCACAAGAGAAATGGAGGGAAAACACGAAGTGAACCAGGAAAGCAGAAAACTTTTCCAAGAGGAGAGAGAATCTGGTTTAGAAAGGAAAAACCTAAAAACAAAAGATTAGACAAAAAAGGAGAAATTTGGAAGAAGGATAAACCCCCCCCCACCCACCCCCAAATCATATTGGATTAAAAAGCGATAGAGGAAAAATATATAGAAGAACGTCATGGGAAATACGCCAAAGAAGGAAAGAGGAAGAAAAAGAAGAGCGGAAGGAAGATTCGGGGGGTAGCAGAAACATAGAGAACTACCAGGTCAAGGCAGAGTCGTCAAACCAACGCGGAGATTAATTGAACAAAACTGAGACACAGAGAGAGACAAAATGAAGAAACCAAAAAGGGGAAGATGTTGGGATATCCTTTAAGAAGAAATGACCAATTAACTGGGAACCAATGAAAGGGGATCAGGACGATAAAGCAGGATACAGGGGAACTAACTGAAGGGGTTGCATTTGGTTGTAATTGTGTTGAGAGCTGAGAATGACATTTCTACATTGGAGTTGTGAGAACATAACGGCTGTGTGTGTATGTTTTGTGATTTCACCGAATGCTCGTTTACTTACTGTGGCCTCGCAGCCCTCGCTGCCAAATCCATTACTGCTGGTTACGCAATATCGTCCCTCAGCACTCGTGTCACAGTGGGTCTGGATGTGCTGCTTTACAGGGAAGGTGTGAGCCACGTGGAGCTCCCGACTGTCCCACAGCCTGTCAGTGGGATGGAGAGACAGCGAGGAAACTCGTCAACTCAATAATAATAATAAATAATAATAATAATAATCCTTGCATTTGATATAGCGCCTCATCACGTCTTCAAGACGTAACAGAGCGCCTCACTGAATATACTGTAAAATGTAGTGACTGTATTTTGTGGGCGAAACACGGGAGGCGGAGGTGGTGCCTGTGTGAGGTGGAGGGGTTACGGCAGAGACTTACAGCGGGTAGAGCTGACGGTGAGACTGCGGGAAGGGCAGACACACAAAGCAGTCCAGAGTTGGTGGGGAGGAGGCAGATGGAGTGGGCGGGGGAGGTGGACCACTTTGAATAAATAATATTCTAAATAAATCGGCATAAATGGAATTGAAACGAATGGTAACTTTATGCACTTTGATGGACAATAGCCCTCTTGTCCCGTTGTCAACCCCACATCCAAATTTCTGCTCCAAAGTCGTCATCGATTTGCTGTCATCAATATGATTTAATTACACGATTCACTCACCTCATCATCTTGTCCTCTGAGGTCTGAACGACAAGCGACTCTCCAGGAACCCAGCAGACATGCGTCACCTGGCAGAGAAGAGAGTTAAACCACGATCAGGATACGTAGCACAAACCATCAGTCACAGAGAAGAGGCAGGTGTCAGCCTGGCTCAGACACCTCAGAATCAGAAGGTTACAGGTTCAAGTCCTAAGTTGGGATTTTGAGGTCGCAGTCTACATGGACAGACACTCCAGTGCAATGCTGGCGGAGTGCTGCATTATCGGAGGTGTCATCCTTCAGATTTTGTAGGGACAGCCAGATATCTTGAAACTTACAGAAACCGAACGCATGGCAAAGTACTGCAGATGCTGGAAATCTGAAATAAAAACAGAAGTCACTGGGAACACTCAGCAGGTCAGCCAGCATCTATGGAGAGAAGACCTGCTCTGATGAAAGGTTATTGACCTGAAACACTAACTCACTTTCCTCTCTCCACAGATGCTGCCTGACCTGCTAAGTGTTCCCTGCGACTTCTGTTTTTATTTCGGAAACCCAACACCATGCTTAAAGAGCATCCAAACTAGACTGAGAGTTCTGCACATGTATGTATGTCACCTAAACATGGTGATTTCCCTGTATGTGGAATGGAATACACACTCTCTTCCTGGACCCTACTAACCTAATTCCGGAGAGTATTAGGCGCAGGTTGGAGAGCCAAAGCTTGGATGACCCCAGAGTGTGTTGGGAAAGATGCCGGAGTTTAACCAGATAAAAGTGCACAGCTTAACATTCAGAACTCTGTCTGACAGGTTTCCTACTGTTAGTCTAGCTAGGCCACAATACAGGTAGGGTGTCTGCAGGGTTAACAGGGGCCGAGTGGGAAGAATGCAAAGACAAATGAGACTCTCAGGAACACCACCAAAAGGCTACTGGCATTAAACAGCTGACCAACTGAGCTGGAAAGGCACCATTAAGCCTGCAGCAAAGTTGGGAGACCACAGACAGGATGAACATAAGCTATATAATCAGTCAGTGCGCCCAATGGAATGGGAGTTCTGACAGAACGACGCTGCAGAAAAACTAGCCATTGAGGGACTTTCAATGATTACCAGATTCCTGGAGATGGAGGAATTGTGTAAACAGTGTCCAGTCTGTACATCCCACATGCACATGGTGTTGTCCCGGGATCCCGTGCATAACAGCAAGCCATCTGGGAATGACAAAATGGAAACAAGAGAACAAAGCAATTGTGTTAATAAGGAGACAGATTTTTTTCAGGAACAGATGGGTCTGGGACCTCATTCCATGCTAACATGGTATAAACTCCTCACTCCACACAAACACAAGTTCAATTCCCCAGAAAAGAGTTTGTGGGTGGTGTTCTAGTCCCCACGAATTAGAATTATTTATTTTTTAGGTTCATCCAGGGTTCTGACACACATAGAAACCTTTTGCCACGCTTAAGAGCAAATCCAAAGCAGATAGACTTTTGCATATGTATGCTACGTACACATGCAAATTTGCCCATGTCCGGAATGGAACAATATGAACAATGATCCTTGCATTCGATACTGTGCCTTTCTCATTGGGAGGACATCACAAAGTGTTTCACCGGATTTACTGTAAAGTGAGGTGACTGTGTGTTTTGTAGGTGGAACCTTTGGGGTTTACAAAGCTTCACCCTGAACTGAACCAGTGGTTAGAGCTCAATGTTGACAGCTTGTGGCAGGAGTAGGAATATATTCCACTGACACATCAGTAGACACAAATACACACTGAGACAAATTCACAAAATACCAAGTGAAGCATTGAGGCTGTGTACCTGGGCTGACGGCGAGGCCAGTCACCACTAGTTCATGTCCAGTGAACTCCTGCAGGGGACCACCCTTACTCTCTGCATCCCACATCAGCGCAGTCTTGTCACGAGAAGCACTGAAAATTCTGTTCGATTGAAAGACGCAGGCAACCTGAAACAGGTAGGGCACCACTCAATATACACAGCAATCCAGCGCGGGGGCAATCCAGGCCAGTGGAGGGGGGAATTAGGAGGTTGTTTCTCGCACTCAACTAGATCAATTCCCAGTACCTTCATTGCTTCCAGCTTCCAATTCCCCTTGCCAAAGACCTTCACTGACTAGCACCAAACCTGTTAATTTTGTAAATGTTACTAAAGGATTTAAGGAACTGGATTATAAAAAGCCTAACGGAGGGACAATGTTCAGTGAGGTGCACATTGGAGATGGTTCTCCATTTCCAGTCTTGTGTTGGGAAACTCTCCTCTTTCACAGTGAAGAGTGCATGGGTTACCCCTTGGTTGGTAGAGTCACATACCATTATAAACAGTACACATCTCTCACATCTCCATTTCTCACTTCGTCTCGAATGATTAATCCACTGTAAGCGTCTTACCTTAGTAACGTCACGTTCATGTTCCAGGTACCTTTGTTGTGCAAAGCCAGATCTCCAGTTATACAGGACCACCGCCTGCAAAGGCAGAAAAATAATCATGTCTCAGGAGTGGGCAGCAAGGAGAGCACTACTCAATCGCATTATTGGTTTAGACGTCGGAAATGTTGGGAGGTATGAAGAGGTACAGTTGAATTTCCGTACCTGTGACTTCTCCCAACATTTTCCCATAAACCCGTGACATTCACTAAATTTACCACGACCGCTCCGTGATTTTTTTTGACAAGAAAATGTCGTGCCCAATCTGCAGCCCTAGTTTATAAAGTAACATGTTGCCCCTTTCTCCCAGTCCAGGATAGAATCTCACCTTGTCCTTCCCTCCAGACACACAATACTCAGGCGTCAGGCAAGCCAAGGAGGTCACTGCATCGCTGTGGGCAGGGCTGTACTGCTGCACTGTTTTACCCCCAGTGTTGCAGCTGGTCTCTATGTCAGCCCTGAAGAACAATGATCACTGTTCAAGTATAAGGCAGTGCAATTAGAGATTACTCATGTAACACACTCTGTAATGAAACATGCTCTGAACAGGCAAGGCAGACTTGACAGGTCAGGTCAAACTAGGAGGTGTGCTGTGGTAAAGGCAGGATTTAAGTACCATTGTGTTGTCATTTACGAGGACAGGTTGTTGTTGGCTGAGGCTTGGGTTTGAATCAATCCCATTCCAATCGGGATCAGGGGAAATTGTTTTTTATAGCACTGTATCACATCAAATCTTTCAGAGTGCTTCACTGGAACAGTTATTACTCTGAATTGTTGTGACTTGTTTTTGTGGGCAAACACGTCAGCCATTTTTGCATTGGCTTAATCAGCCCACAATCAACAGCTTGTACTTATAGAACGCCTTTCACACAGCAAAACATCTCAAATTGCTTCACAGTGGGAGCTCAAGTAGGGTGGGAGAAAACCAAAGGCACAGTTAAAGCGATAGGGTTTTAGAAAAGCTTTGAAAGCGAGAGGAGGGGGAGGGTGGAAATAGAGAGAGTTCTAGAGACTGGACCTCGATTTGACATCTCATCTTAAAAGGACTGCATCTTTGACAATGCAGCGCTCTTCCAGTACGGCACTGAAGTTCACTCCACCATGCAACAACTCGAAAGGTTGAAAATTTCCTCAAACCTTCAGGGTATAAAGCAGTTCAACAAATAGGTTCCACAACTGAGATCACTGGACTCACACGATGTGCAAATCCTTGGTTCTTGCTGACACATCCAAGGTGAAGACTATGGGCTTTTGAGGAACCAACAGACTGAACCAAAGACAGGATTTGGACCTGAGATCTGAGACCTGAGCTGGGGGTTGAGATCAGCTGGGTGGAGGGGAAGGGTTGAGGGCAGGGAGAGTAGGGGTAGGAGGGTGATCGAAGGCACAGTTGAAGAGGAGGGACTTGAGATGGGCCTTAACGTAGGCAAGGGAGGGGAGAGGCAAAGGAACTGTGGGATGGAGTTACAAAGGGTGGGGGCAGAGAGGCTGAAGACCCGACCCCCGATGGTGGGTACTTCAGAATAGTGACTGCAATTGTTATTTGACATAGAATGTGGTCTAACCTCACCTGTAGCAGGACGTGCTGCGTTTTACTTTACTTTGCAGCTTCCCCATAGCAGTAAGTGTGCTCAGTGGAGACACGCCATAACTGTAGTGTCTAAAAGAGACAGGATTGGAGTCAGTCATTCCACTTTCTCATGAAGAGTCACACCTACACATTAGCTTGCCTTGCTGGTTATTCGTCGGCTGCGCATTTCCGACATTTTATTTCATAAATGGTAACGGCAATGTGGGAAAATTAATATCAAGTACGATACCAAGTCAAATTTTTGATTTGAAAAGAATCGGATAAACATTAGGGGGAAAAAAATTAAGACACAAAAGGGTTTGGGGGGAGGGAAAAGATAAATGGATTAGAGCGATCGCTCCAGAGCTGGCACACACAGACATGAAGGAAGGAATGGGGTTGCTCAGTGACATACATTCCACAATAATTAGAGTGGATTAAAGATACTCAGGCTGGTAAATCAGTCTGTCTGTCGTGGAACTTTCACATCGTACAACTCCAACACCACAAAACAAACTGACCTTAAAAAAACGTACTGTACTTACATTTTATGGTCCAAAAAGTGCCGGCCTTTTCATGTCAGCCTGAACGAAGCCATGGATTATCATCAGGCCAGCGGGTCATCAGAGGGTTGTGGATTCCTGTAGCGGAGTGGTTAACCCGCTCACCTCGCAAGAGAGAGGACCCAGGTTCGATTTCCGGGTGAGACGAAACCTTAGGCAAGTTTCCTTACTCCGTACGTCTCTGTCTACCTAGCAGTAAGGAGGAAGCTGGTTGTTAGTCGAGTGGCGGATCATTTCCGGAGGGTAATAATCCCTTTTAAAAAAAAATGTGATCACTCAATCCACGAGTGTTTGTGAGACGCTGCTTACTGTACACAACTGGAGGTCGTGTTTCACCCACAAGATACACAGTCAGTTTATTTTACAGTATATTATTGCATGAAGTGCTCTGAGACGACGTGATAAGGCGCTATATCAAATGCAAGGATTATCATTATTATTATTATTATTTATTATTATTATTATTACCTCCCAGGGGCTTTCCATGAAGATCTTTATTTTGTACTGACAGACAGACAGACAGACAGATTGATAGACAGAATGACAGACAGATTGATAGACAGACAGATTAACAGACACAGACAGATTGATAGACAGAATGACAGACAGATTGACGGACAGACAGATTGACAGACAGACAGATTGACAGACAGACAGATTGATAGACAGACAGATTGACAGACAGACAGACAGATTGATAGACAGATTGACAGACAGACAGACAGACAGATTGACAGACAGACAGACAGACAGACAGATTGACGGACAGACAGATTGACAGACAGACAGATTGATAGACAGACAGATTGACAGACAGACAGACAGATTGACAGACAGACAGATTGATAGACAGACAGACAGACAGACAGACAGACAGATTACCAACAGTAATCGTGTTAGTGCAGTGAGCAGCTCAGCCTCTCTCTCTCTCTCTCTCTCTCTCCCCTCAGTCCCCGGGTACCTGGAGGCCGCCATGTCTATGCCGGTGTCCAGCCTGACTCTCCCCCATGGAGCTCTGGCCCCCGGGCTCTGGCTCTGGCCCCCGGGCTCTGGCTCTGGCCCCCGGGCTCTGGCTCTGGCCCCCGGGCCCCTGAGCTCTGGCCCCCGGGCTCTGGCTCTGGCCCCCGGGCTCTGGCTCTGGCCCCCGGGCTCTGGCTCTGGCCCCCGGGCTCTGGCTCTGGCCCCCGGGCTCTGGCTCTGGCCCCCGGGCCCCTGAGCTCTGGCCCCCGGGCCCCTGAGCTCTGGCCCCCGGGCTCTGGCTCTGGCCCCCGGGCCCCTGAGCTCTGGCCCCCGGGCTCTGGCTCTGGCCCCCGGGCCCCTGAGCTCTGGCCCCCGGGCTCTGGCTCTGGCCCCCGGGCCCCTGAGCTCTGGCCCCCGGGCTCTGGCTGTCGGTGTCGGTGTCGGGTCTCCAGGCGTCACCTCCTCTCGGCTCCCGACCGACGCCTCCACCGTCTCCAGGCAGCGGTCCGTCCCCCCTAACCCGTCCCCCGGCCTCCCTCCCGCACACTTCCGGTCCACCGCTCATCTCTTCCCCCCTGGAGACTGTGTGTGTGTGTTGAGGGTTGGGGGGTGGGGTGAGGGAGGGAGAGGGGGGGGGGGGGGTAGAGTGAGGAGGGGGGCTAGAGGGAGGGGGAGGGGGTAGAGGGAGGGGGGCTAGAGGGAGAGGGAGGGGGTAGAGGGAGGGGGGGCTAGAGGGAGGGGGGCTAGAGGGAGAGGGAGGGGGGCTACAGGGAGGGGGGCTACAGGGAGGGGGCTAGAGGGAGGGGGGCTAGAGGGAGGGGGGTAGAGGGAGGGGGGCTAGAGGGAGGGGGGGGTAGAGGGAGGGGGGGGTAGAGGGAGTAGGGTGAGAGGGAAGGGGGGGCTCGAGAAGGAGCGGGGGCTAAAGGGGAGGGGGTTTAGAGGGGGAAAGAGGGGGTTAGAGAAATGGTTCGGGAGAGGAGGGCGGCCGGGTAAGGGAAGAGGGTGCGAGGAAAGAATCCCTCGACTCCGAGGAGGGTGAGGGTGAGGGTGTCAGGAATTCAGCATCACGGGTGGCCATTGAGGTCGGATCAGCAGAAACGGTCAGAAAGGAACCGGATAAACAACTGAGCAGCAGGAACAGTGTCGGGGTTCAGTTCTACTTCCACAAACACCGACGACGACGACAACGACTTGGACCTATATAGCACCCTCCGCGCCGGACGGCGTCTCGGAGCGCTTACTACTCGGTGACCTGACCTGATTTGGTTGAAAGGCATGGCAGGCAGCTACTGGACTTGAGGGGCGCAGCCCGAGGCGGTGTACATCAACGCAACAACAACAAGATTCCATTTATAGAGCGCCTTTCACGTCGGGAGGACGTCCCAAAGCGCCGGTACGGCTGCAGTTACGGACCACTCGAGTTCAGAAACAAAACTGGTTTCCAAATTAGAACTGAAATAAATCGTTCAATTTTGCAATTTGCCACCTTTGCCACCACAATTTTGCCACCTCTTCTGGGGAGGGGGGGGGGGGGGGCGATGGAGTTCCGGGCTTCAGGTTTTGCAGTTTCCTCCCCCCCCCCCCAAAAAAAGAAGAAGAAACAAGCGGTGAGGGAGTCAAAGCGCCGGAGAGAGCTTTTATTTGTAAATCCGAAGCACGTCAGTTTTGATCGTGTCCAAAGAGAATCACCAAAAAAAAAAAAAATTGGTCAATGAGAGTTCCACCCAATTAAGTTCAGGTCCCCACCGAAAGAGGTGGAACCTTCATGAGAAAAATATCTGTCGAGACTTCATTCGCATACACAGTCGGTCCACGTTACAATGTTTTGGGAAGCGCTTTGAGACGTCCCAACGACATGATAAGGCGCTGTATCAAACTCAAGGTTTATTATTATAACGTCAGTGTTCTTCCAACCATCCTCTGCCACCGTCAAGGACATTGAGATGCTGCTCTGAGTGAAGGGCACTGTGTAAACGCAAGCTGTTGTTGTGTTACATTTATATGTAATGTTTGCATGTCTCTGATACACTTATTCATCCATCTTGACCAATTCGGAGGCAGGACAATGGCAGAGTCTGTTTAACAAGCAGTGGGATTTAGAAAAGTGGAGCCTTGTGGAGTTTTATTTTGTTGCAAATATCTGCAAACCACCATCACCAATGACACATGACGTTGGTATAGCACCTTTCACATGGGGGAGGATGTTTTAAGGCACTGTAGAGTCAAGGATTTGCACCCGAGCTGGAGGTGGGGATCAGGGGGGGTGGAGGGTAGGCGGGGAGAGTTGCGGGTAGGAGGGTGACCAAAGGCTTGGTCGAAACTGCCCCCGTGGGCAGGAGAGAGTCAGTCCAAGAGCCCGTGGAGATGGGCTCCAGCCTCCGCCCAACTCCCTAGGCCCTTGAGACCTCACTGTCATTCCTATTAAATCGGAATTGTCAGGCGTGCACCTCGTTACAAGGTCACTAGAATACCTGGTTACCAGGACTTCTGGTCACTAGAGCACCTGGTTACCAGGTTATCAGGTCACTAGGTCCCCTGGTTACTGGAGCCTCGGGTGACCAGGTTACTTGGTTATGAGGGCATTGGGTTACTCGAAATCTGGTGAGCAGGTTATCGTGTCATTTGGGCCCCTGATTACTAGAGCATCAGACCTCTGGGTCCCCAAGTTACCAGCGCATTAGATCACAAGGGGCACCTGGTTACCAAGACGTCAAATCATTCAGACTCCAGTGAGCAGTGTATCCCAATCCAGCACTTGTGTAGCCTGCTGGCATTGACTCAGAGACAGTTTAAGTTAATCAGTGTCAAGTCTCCCAACATTTCCCCGTGGGGAGTTGGCATAACATTGAACAGTTTTGATCTGACCTCACGCTATAGTCTCTGTTTGTTCAGTGCCCTGGTAGGCGGGATCTCTCGCTCTCCTTTTTACCACCACTCCCTCGGCCCCATCTCTGCTCTTGCACAATACCAACCGTCCGCTGTGAATCAGTGCAAGCTGAGAGCCACACCTTTGGGAATCTAAAGCTTGTTTTACAATTGACATAATGATAATAATAATAATAATAATAATCCTTGCATTTGATACAGTGCCTATTGATGTCAAAATATTGCAAAGCACTTGCTTTATAGGTAACTGCTGTCAAGTTTGATGGTTGTGTTTTTTTCTGTAGGTGAACCCAATAGTCTAGTTTGCGCACAGCAATGTCCCACAAACAGCTTTGAAGCGAACGACCAATTTTATCATGTGGGTTTGTCAGCCAAGACATTAGGAGAAACTCTTTTTCCAGTAGCGTCATGGGAACTTTAATGTCCGCCCGAACAGGAAGATGGAGCCTCAGTTTAATGTCTCTGAAGGACGGCACCTCCAACAGCGCAGCGCTCCCCTCAGTAATGGATTGTCAGCATAGACCATGAGCATAGCTCAGAATCCCGATGCAAAATCCTCTGCGTAAAGGAAAAGTTACTGGCGTCCGTCTTAAAATTGCCCTCTACAACTCCAAACCTGCATCCTCTTAGTCTACTGTCTTGGTTCATCCGAAAGTATTGTTTTTGAGGTCGTGTTTTCAATCCCATTTAATATTGTGCACCCCTCCGTCACCTGAGATGTTGTTTCCTGAGAGTGAATGGAGAGTCACAGCAGTGCCTGTGTAGACGAAAAAGATAAATAAATAAAGCAATAAAACCCTCAGGTCAGCTGTCCGTACTCCCCTCTGTATATCCCTAATTAACAGGAAACGTCTAATCTCTGCTTTAGTCCTGTTCAGATTGTGGAGGAATATAAGGTTACAAGGGACAGATAATGTTACTCGGATTGGTACTTAAACAGTAAAGAGAGCCTTGAAGCCTTGACAGGAGCTATTATGTCACGGTGTTTGGATCAGTTATGGCAGCAGAATGCAAACATACCACAGAGCTTCACAGCACTGATATATTCGACAGTAATAATAACAACAACAATCCTTGCATTTGATATTGTGACGCAATGTGTTTATTCCTAGATTTCTCAATAAAATGTACGTTGTGATATATAAATTGTGAAACAAATTTCTATATCAAAATATATATTCTGTTGAGAAATGAGATGTACATTGGGTTGTGTTGCGATGGGATATGTTTTCTTGTTGACTAAAATGCATCACATCACAATCCACTGTATATTATTTCTCAATAGAGTATATATTTTAATGGATCTATGTTGGTTTTGGCAACTAAAGTAACCGCCCTGAAAGGAATCTCTGTGATATAGTGCCTTTCACATCGGGAGGACTTCAAAGTACTTCATAGGATAATAATAATACTAATCCTTGCATTTGATGCAACGCCTTATCACGTCTTCGAGACGTCTCAAATCGTTTTGCAAAATATACAGTAAAGTGAATTGACTGTATATTTGTGGGCGAAACGCGGCAGCCAATTGCGCACAGCAGCGTCCCACAACAGTCGTGGATTGAGTAACCAAATTATTTTTTAAACGTTTACTTTAAGGGATTATTTTCCCGGAAAAGCGATAGGCAAATCAACTAACAAGCGGGTTCCTACTTACTGCTTGGTAAACAAAGGCCCGTGGAGTAAAGAAAGTTGGCCAATGTTTCACCCTTCTCAGGAATCAAACCCAGGTCCTTTCGCTTGTGAGGCGAGTGCTCTAACCATTAACATACAGGACCCCTCAACCATATTGTACTTTAAAGTGTGGTAACTGTGTATTTTGGAGGAAAACACAGCAGCCAATATGCGCACAGCAATGTCGCACAGACAGCCGTGTAGTCGATGACCAAATTTTATTGAAGGGGGATGAGAATTGTTGCAAGAACTCACTATCATTATTATGGGGTAAACTGCTCACTTTGTCGTGTGCTGATTCTCGGTTGGAGCCAGAACTTTCCATTCTGTGTTACCTTTTATTTACAGGTCTCCCATATACCAAATGAGTTGTTTAATTTTCCAATCTCCGATACGCGGCACTAGATTATCAGGTTACTGGGGCACCTGGTTACCAGGGCAGCAATTCTGTGCAGGCACCAGGTTTGTGCGACAATCCCTGTGAAACACTATGAGATGTTGAGATGGCTGTTTGTGGGACAAATTGCTTTGTTCAAATTGGCCGCTGCGATTGTCTTCAAATACACAGTCAATATTCTTAATCATGTTTACCGTGTAACCCTTTGATAAGGAGCAGTATCGAACGCCGGGGATATTTTTAGATTCCATTCTTTCCCTGGGTTGTTTCTGGACAAGTGTTTAAAAGGAAATCATCTACTAGACAGTTTATAGTGTACTGTGACTGGGAACACAGCTGTAGGGTGGTTACTGTTTGACGAGAACAGTCTGCAGGCATGTCTCCTGTAATAGGATCACAAAAAAAAGGGAAGTGAATGTCTAATTTAACTGGAGGATTGGTTTATTTTCAAGTGACTGGGAAAAACTCTCTTCTTAGCCTGTTGATTTATTTGGATTCAACACCCACATAGAATGTGCTGGGAACATGTTATACTATCTTGTTATAAGACTGCGACCGTCAGGAAGGTGGAAAGCGAACTAGATGGACCTTGGTCTTCTTTTCGTTTAGCATTTCTTATGTTCTTATGTTCTTAAAGCGGATGTCAAAGATCCATGGCACATTTTGAAAAGGGTAGAGAGTTTCTCCCGTATCCTGGCCAACAATCCTCCAGATAGAATTGGTCACTCACCCATGGCTGTTTGCGGCACATCACCATGCACCAGTTGCCTGCTGCATTTGATGACAAAGTACACAGTCGCTGCACTTTACATTATATCCTGTGAAGCGCTTTGAGATGGCCTCCTGTTGTGAAAGGTGCTATGTCAAATGGAGGGATTATCATTATTATTATTTTTTTTTAGATATGTGTCTAGTTCTCACCTGAATGCTGATATGGATTCTGCCTTGGCTGCTGCACTTAACCCACAAAATACTCGTTCAGTTCACTTTACAATATATACTGTGAAGCGCTTTGAAAAGTCTCAACGACGTGATAAGGCGCTATATCAAATACAAGGATTATTACTATTATTATTCACTACAGCAATTGGCGGAGCATTCCACAATCTCTGTTTCAAAAAATTCTCCTATTTTCCCCTCCCTGCTTTTGCTCCGTTGCTAATTATCTGAAATGGGTAATAAATAACTGCAGTGAGGATCACAGGCTGTTTTGCAATGAGCAGTGTTCTGGTTATTACTGAGATTGACATTAACAAGCAATGTGTCTCTCGCCCTCGTCTCCCCGCCTGTCGACACTGATCTGCTGCATTGGTGTTTGCAATTGAAGCTGGCTTCACACAGTGCTTGCACTCGCCTTTCTTCGCCACTTTCATTTCAACACAGGGACCTTCCGAGACCTCAGCCTCCGCAGCAAAATTAAAATCGACCTTGCAAATTTCTCTCTCTGACGCTCGTTCTGCAATCTCTCGACCCTCCACTGTGCGTTGAAGCCAACTGACGACTCACTGCTTCAGACTGGATCATCCAGTGAGCAGAAAACTGCTGTTTGTCTTGCAGGATACGTGAGCTGCGATTCAAGCAGAGACGTACCGGATAAAATCGGACACTCACTATTTGGCTGTTTGTGGGACATTGCAGTGCGCAAAATTTGGCTGCCGCATTCGCCTACAAATAGACAATCACTGCACTTTACAGTAAATCCTATTAAGCGCTTTGAGATATCTCCCCGATGCAATAAGGTGCTATATAGGTGTTATAACAAATGGAAGGATTATTATCAGTACCCATCATTTTGCATAAGCAAATTCACAACAGACAGAGTTCTACATATGCAAACCCCTACAAATGGAACTCGACAAGACAAGGTCGAATTTCGGGGGCTAGGAGTGCTGGTTCTGCTCTGAGGTGCAAATAACTGGGGGTGTCCTGTAGCTAGTTGATTAGAGAACAGGGCAAATACCTTCCGATAACCTCCCCTACAATCAGCTTTAACAGCTGTCCCTGTCCAAGCCCTCGATTTGAAGAATGACCACTTATACTAAATGCTGGTCGGCAGCCAGCACTGACACAACTGGTCTGAGACGCGAGTCAGCACCATATAAGAGAGGGAGAGCCAGGATTCCCCTCTGGTTGGAAACTGGTTTTCAGAGAGAATTTAAGAGTTTGTTTCCACAATTCTGTGCCCCAACCCCTCCCCCATGCTGCGAGGTTCCTTGGGTTTTGTCAAGCTGTACATCATAATAATAATAATCCATACATTTAGAGCCTCATTAGGACATTGAGACGTCTCAAAGTGCTTCACAGGATATACTGTAAAGTGGATTGACTGTGTTTGTGTGGACGAAACGTGGCAGCCAATTGCTTTAAGACAGGAACAGGAGCCATGGTTAAAACACGAAATGAACTTTGTTTTGCAGAACAAATTGGTTGATATTTGTGAGAAATTGCAACTGAGGTTAGCTTCAGTGGAGAGGTTCGTGGAGGAAAGACTGAGCGGCAAGAACCACAGTGTTAAGGTCAGTTCCTGTCTCCCAGTGTCGTTCTGATAACAGACACCGGCTCAGTTTGACTGTTGATCGGCTTCAATGCTGATTCCAATGATTGTTATTCGCAAAGAGAAAGGACAAAAATCCTCCAGATAGAATCAGTCATTCGCTTTGAGGCGAATTGGCCTGTCCACTCACGCCGCTCGGCAGGCTCCAGCCTACAACATGTCCCTTGCCTGGCCCGCCCCACCATCGGCGGTCGGGCCTTCAGCCTCTCTGCCTCCACTCCTTTGAAACTCCATCGCACAGTCTCATCTCCTCGCCTTGCCTCCTTCAAGGCTCATCTCAAGACCCTCCTCTTCGATTGTGCCTACCCCATTCCTGCCCTCCACCCCTCCTGACCGAACCAACCACCAACTCTGGTGTGGATTCATGACTGTCCAGTGCCTTGGGATGTCCTCCTGACGGGAAAGCCGCTGTACAAATGTAACTTTTTGCTGTTATTATCGGTCGAGCTTCACTGGAACCTTGTGCTGACAGGGAGAGGCCAGCGTGGCCAGGGAGCTGATTATCCAGCGGCTGAACCACGTGCGGGAGGCGTGCGAGAGTGAGGAACAGCGTCTGCTGGAGGTGGTTCACGCCGAGGAGGAGCGAGCCCAGCAGAGCATCCTGACCCAGAAATCCTACTGGTCCGAGTCCCAGGACAAGCTGCTGGGAATCAAAGCCTACCTGGTGGACACCCTCACCAAGATGGACGACGCCACACTGCTTGTGAGCTGGCCTTTCTCCCTTGCTGCCGAGACCCATTTTATCACAAGCCTCATTTTTACATTCTCATAGGAACTGGAGTAGGCCATTCAGCCCCTCAAGCTCAAGCCTGTTCCGTCATTCTATTAGATCCTGATTGATCTGTACCTCAGCTCCAATTACCCGCCTTTGCCCCATATCCCTTGATACCCTGACCTAACAAAATCTATCTAGCTCAGTCTTGAAAATTTGAATGGATCCAGCATCCACAGCCTTGGGGGAGAGAATTCCAGATTTCCACTAACCTTTGTGCGAAAAAAAATGCCTCTTGGTTTCACTCCTCTAATTTTAAGATTATCCCATAATAATAATAATTATAATAAGCCCTTGCATTTGATATAGCACCTTATCACGTCATTCAGACGTCTTAAAGCGCTTAGACAGTGAAGTGGGTTGAGTGTATATTTTGTGGGCGAAACACGGCAGCCAATTGCGCACAGCAGTGTCCCACAAACAGTCATGATTCTAACTAAAATTTGAATAAAAAGATTCTGACCCAAATCCCTTTCTTTCTCTCTTTCTTTCTCGGCAGAAGCTGCAGTCGGATGTATTCGAGAGGTACGTTCACCCTGTGTTGCCAAAGTGAGGTTTCATACCAACCTCCACGGTCCTCCCCCCCCACCCCCACTGTTTTGTCATCCCCTACCTTGCCCCTCCTCCTCGCCCTCCCCACACCACCATTATTGTCGGGTGAGCTTTCAACCCCTTTGCCCCCACTCACTCCCCTCTTACTTCCCCTCTGCTTTTGAAACCTGCCTAAAGACCTCTTCCTTTGACTGCCTTTGGTCGCCTCCTGTAAAGCTTTTTAAGATGAAAGTATGTGGGGGCAAAGTGGTTGAAAGTCCCCGAGTCATTTGCTTAATCTAATAATAATAATCCTTGCATTTGATACAGTGCCTTATCACATCTGCGAGATGTCTCAAAGCGCTTCACAGAACACACTGCACTTGTATATTTTGTGGGCGAAATGCGGCAGCTAATAGCGCACGGCAGTGTTTGTAACAAAGGTTACGCAGGGTCTCAGGGTAAACCGTGGTCTCCTGCGAATGATTCTTTCCCTACTTTGTAATCCAGGGCAGAAGAAGCGGAGGGAATCCTCGAACCGCAGGACTCGGATAAATTGAACTTCAATCCCATGTGTGCTCGCAGTCACCTCCTCGACAGCCTGTGGGCATCCATTGCCATGATCTGCACAGCTGGTCAGTACTATTCCCCTGGCATCACCAGGCTGCCTCTCTCGTTCACATGTCTACATTCACGTCATATGCTGTTGTCTGCTTTATGTTGACCCCACATTGGTAGGAATAGCGTTGCCCAAGTCAAAGTGCGGGTTAGCCATTTTCTAACCATCTTTGTGTTCCGAAACATCAATTCCCGGGGTCTTTTTTTGGGTGCCAACCAGGACACACAGGAATCCATCACCGCGCTTAAGAGTCTCCAAACTGAGAATTCCACACAAAAACATGGACATTTTGGGTTGTCTGGACTGGAGTCTACGCTCTCTCGCCAGGGCAACACCACCCTGCTCATCTAATCCATGGAAAGTATAAGCGAGTTGTCCAGAACAAAATCTTAGTGTGTCAGGGGTAACTGTGGGTGTTTAAATTCATATTGCAATCTCCTGCATTCCAGGGGTCAAGAATCTACACATTGACGAACGCACCATCAACCAGTCACTGATCCTGTCTGACAATAAGAAGGTCCTGGCCTTTGTGACCAAGAAAGTCCAGAGGTACCCGGACTGCCCCGAGCGGTTTGACTACTGGCCCAACGCCCTAGCGCTGGAGAGTTTCCAATCCGGGATCCACACTTGGAAGGTGGACGTGGGCAAGAGCTGCGCTTACAAAGTGGGGGTCGCTCAGAACTCTCTCTCCCGCAAATCTCCCGGCCCGGAGTCTCGGCTGGGGTACAATGCCTTCTCCTGGGTCTTTTCCCGCTACGACGAGGAATACACTGTCACCCACCACGGCAAACCCCAGGCCCTGGATCTGCTCAAACGACCCACGCAGATTGGCGTGTTGGTGGACTTCGAAGGGGGTGAAGTATTGTTCTACGATCCCAACTCGTGCGTCCTGATACATTCCTTCCGTGCGAAGTTCACGGATCCCGTTTATGCAGCATTTGCAGTCGCTGACCAGAGCATAGCCATCATTCAGTAACACAGTGACGGAGGCGGTTGGGGGGGGGAAAGGGTTGTTACTTGTCTCCCAAGCATTCAGTGGTAATAATAATAATAATCCTTGCATTTGATATAGCGCCTTATCACATCTTCGAGACATCTCAAAGTGCTTCAAAGAATATACTGTAAAGTGAATTGACTGTATATTTTGTGGGCGAAATATCAGTGACCATCATCCTGCAAGGCAAAAAGCTTTACAATGGCCAAGGGTTGAGCCCGAAAGCTCCAGTGGTGTCAATGTATATTCATTATTGCTAACAGATTGGGTCGTGGTTAGATATTTGTTTACGGGGCTGGGGGTGGGGACTAATGGACGTGAGGTTAACACGTAAAGAGGTTGAAAGAAAATAATAAGCTTCAGAAAGCAATGCAGCCTCTTTCCGTGTGTCCGTTTGGAGCTGAGGCCATGGCACATTACCTGGAGTTAGGAACGACTGGATCAGTCACCAGGTGGTGAAGCAGTTTCTCGGGTGATGTGGTGGATAGATTTGATTCCTTGCCTGTCATTTGCTGCTCAGTGCCTAAGAAAATAGTAAAGGGTCTATGTGTGGTGGTGGGGAGGTGGGAGAGATACAAAAGTAGGACTAAACAGATAATAATAATAATAATAGTCCTTGCATTTGATACAGCGCCTTACATGTCAGGATGTCTCAGAGTGCTTCTGGGGAAGACTGCCAGAAAGTGGGTGACCCATTTTATCTGGGGGTGGTGTTGGCCATCAGGAGAAATTCCCTTCTCTTTTCGAATAGCTCCATGGGATCTTTAACCTGTTAATTCACAGTCTTAATCTGGAGACCGGTTTTACTCGGAATCCTGGCTTCCCAATTAAGGATTTAAGAAATTTTGAGTCATCTTGAATTTCAAGGCAAAAAAAAAAAATGGTCTGACAAAAACATAGGAAAAGGGAACCTCGGTTTAATGTCTCATCTGAAGGACGTCGCCTTTGACACTGCATTAGAGTGTCAGCCTAGAATGTGAACTCAAGTCCTGAAATGGGGCTTGGTTGCCTGATGTAGTGTGTATTAACCTTCTGATAGCCAACACAGACACAGGGAGCCCTCACAGGCATGGTGGGACGAATGGCCTCCTTCTGTAACTTTCTCTGGTTTCCACGCCTGTTTGTCTATGTTGCCACCTACTCCTAATTTCCGCAGTGCCTTGAAACAATTTTGATAATCCCACAGTCCTACATGGAAGTGGGTTTCAACCTCATTAATTAGACCTAAAACTCCACCTACCCTTAGCCTGACAGACCATTCTTTTTTTNGCCTTAAAATTTAAAATGACTCAGAATTACTTAAAGTCTGGATCTGGAAGCCAGGTTTCCTTTTATTAAGAGCCGAGTAAACCGGTCTCTAGATTAAGACCTTTTTTGTTTGGTCAGCTGGCACATGCGGAAACCGATCACCGTGCTTAAGAGTGTCCAAGCCGAGCTGAGAGCTTCATGCATCCCACCTACACATGGAAGTCCCAGAAATAGATTGTTGGAATGGGATGAGCACTCTCCCCTCAGCGTATGACCCCAACTTTGTACAGTACTCCATGTGGAAGCTGCTGTATAAATGCTAATTCTGGAAATTATTCGGCACAGGTTGGCAAGAACCAAGGCTTGGGGAACCCAGAGTGTACATTGGGGTAACGGCAGGAGTCTTAAAACTGCAAAGCTTGCCATGATATTAACATCTTAAATTAAGAATTTTCCACAATTTCTAAAATGGATGTTTGTTCCTAAATTGCAACTCCTGGTACCTGTTGATTGGAACGTCAGCTTTCAAAGGAGGACATGGCTTGATTTTACCTCCTTCCCGCATTTCCACGCAGCATCTGGGAGCCCGACCCCAGCAATGATCTTTACCTCGGGCTGCGAGGAGAGAGTTCCTGAAGGCCAGAGCGACCGATTTGGTACGGATTTCCTACGCTGCGAACGGTTGCTGACTCCATTTTCTTAAAAGTTAGGTCGAAACACAACCCAGTTGGTTATTTTATGACATGTGGGCAGAAAGTGTGTCAATCGATAGTGCCATAGTGTCAAAACTGACCCGTTGAAGATGGTTCAGGGACCTGCAAACTCTGAACCTAGGAAGAACAGAGGGTAAATTATCTTCATTCTCTCAGGGGCTGAGATATGTGGTGTGTATTGCGCACCCCATTGCTCTCCTCTGCTCGTGCCCTTCAGTTTAGCAAACTCGGGCTTAAAACACCTACATCTTTGACCGTGTTTATAGCCACCTTCTTCTAACAACCCCCCACCCCCACCCTGTGTTTGTACAATTCTCTGAGACATTACCCTGTGTGGAGGGCGCTGTGTAAATAAATGCAAGTTGTTGTATTCATTAAAAACCTTTTCTGTAGCCTCATGCTTCAAGCTCACTGCCTCTCAAAGCACTTTGGTTCCACGAAGCGAGCTTAAGCAAAAGAAGTCACAAAACCTAGAAATAGGATGTGCTACACTACAGTGTCAAATTTAGTGGGACCAAAGGGCATTGGTGCCTTGGGGCTTACAAGGGCACATATAGCTGGAGAGGTTTTGGAAAGATTCCACTTCTGCAGCAGCCTTGTCGTGAAAATGTGAGTGTCAGTCCAGTCTCCGTATTTGATGAATGATGAATGTATTTGTTATTCGGAAATGTGTTAATAAAAATGTATTTAAATGGGCCACATTTACGATTGTTCTTCTGTTATGCTAATGAAGCCAAACTCCTCCGCCAGAGATAACAGTGGTTGTTTTGTGTCTGAGTGGCGTGCAGCAGGATTATCTTCGCAGATTATGATCACAATAATCCTGGCATTTGATAAGGGCGCCTTAACACATCTTCCAGACGTCCTCAAAGCGCTTCGCAGAATATACCGCTAAAGTGTAGTGACCGTGTATTTTGTAGGTCAGGCCCGCACCACAAGCAGCCATGAAGTGAATGACCAGTGTCTCTGCCAGGAGGAGGAGGAGCAGGAAGAGGGAAGAAGGTCCTGTCGCCAGGGTTTGCCAGAAATTAAAATAGTCTGTAGCCCAAAGTCAATCAAACACGAGCCGCCGAAAGTATCCCAATATTCTCTGTGGCCTCCTCTGGGGAGCAGAGTGACCAGTTGCAGGTTAGTGCTTCTACAATAATAATAATCTTTGCATTTGATATAGCGCTTTTCACGTCTTCTCGACGTCCCGAAGCGCTTCACAGAACACACTGTAAAGTGAATTGACTGTATATTTGTGGGCGAACGCGGCAGCCAATTGCGCACAGCAATGTCCCACAAACAGTCGTGGATTGAAAATGACCAATTTATTATTGTTTTTGGTTTTGGAGGGATTATTATTAGGCTCTGTGTGGAGTAAGGAAACTTGCCCAAGGTTTCGCCCTCTGCCTGGAATTGAACTCAGGTCTCTCACTTGCAAAGCGAGTGCTCTAACCACTGAGACTCCACTGAAACTCTGGTTAAGAAAAGATCCGCGAAGGAAGAAAAACAGGTCTCGTGGGTTTAAATTAACGCTTTACAGGATGAGGGCACCCGCCCAAAGCCGTTGTTTCCCCCCTCCCGCCCCCCCCCCCCACCCCCCCCACCCCCAGCAAATACTGTGAGGATTGTGTCTGAGTGATGTGCCGCAGGATTCTCTCCGATGAGACGTGAAAGGCGTTGTTGTTGTTGTTGTTGAGTCTTGTTACTCACTAACACACACACACACACACACACGCAGAGCCGCCCCCTCACCTGGCAGCACTGCTCTCACCTGGGCTGGGGGCGGGGCTGGGGCTGGAGGGGGCGGGGCTGGGGCTGGAGGGGGCGGGGCTGGGGCTGGAGGGGGCGGGGCTGGGGCTGGAGGGGGCGGGGCTGGGGCTGGAGGGGGCGGGGCTGGGGCTGGAGGGGGCGGGGCTGGGCTGGAGGGGGCGGGGCTGGGGCTGGAGGGGGCGGGGCTGGGGCTGGAGGGGGCGGGGCTGGGCTGGAGGGGGCGGGGCTGGGGCTGGAGGGGCGGGGCTGGGGCTGGAGGGGGTGGGGCGGAACCGTCTGGCGGCAGCAGCGGGTTTCCGGGGGAGCACTTTCGGGGGCGGAAGTGGAGTGGATGGGGGAAGAGTTTGGTTGGCGCACAGGTGAACAGACAGACCTGAGGCTCGGTGACAGGGCTGGGGGTGGGGGGGTGGGGGAGGGGCTGGGGGTGGGGGGTGGGGGCTGGGGTGGGGGAGGGGCTGGGGGTGGGGGGGGGGGGGGGGGGGGGGGGTGGGGGTGTGGGGGTTGGGGGGTGTATCTCCACCAATCATAGCCCCCCCACGCTGCCCTGTTGTTGAGTTATCGCGGTAGGGACCAGGTGTGCACTGGAGGGGGGTTGAGGGTGGGGTGGGGTGGGGTGGGGGGGGGTTAAGGCAGTTACTACCTGAGTTGGTGGAGCAAAGGGAATGGGTGGGGGGTAGTCGGGGGTCTGCAGGAGATCACAGATTAAATAGAGACACGGAGCCCAGAATCTACATTTAAGTATTTAATTCTTCCTCTTCAATGTCGCTTTCCACTGACAACACCTCCCGCCCTCCCCTCCCCTCCCCCCCCCCCCCCCCATATCCCGCAGTGCAGGGGGTTTGCTCACTGATCTGAAGGCGCAGGAGGGAGGATGAGACTCCACTTGCTGACCTGGGACGTGAAGGATACTCTCCTCCGAGCGCGGAGGCCGGTCGGTGACCTGTACTCGTCGGAGGCCAGAAAGCATGGAGTCCAGGTGAAAGCCGAAGATCTCAACAAGTCATTCGCTGAGGCCTACAGAACGCAGAGGAAATCGTTCCCCAACTACGGCTTAGCTCAGGGCTTGAGCTCCAAGCAGTGGTGGGTCGACACGGTCAAGCAGACCTTCCGTCTCTGTGGGGTGAGCGAAGATCGAGTTCTGTCCCCGGTGGCAGAGAAGCTTTACCGAGACTTTGCCAGTGCGGGCAACTGGGAGACGTTTGCTGACGTGAAGGGCGCTCTGGATCACTGCAACAAGCTGGGGATTCGGATGGGGGTGATTTCAAACTTTGACCGTCGCCTGGAGCAGGTCCTGTCTAGCTGTGAACTGCGGCACTACTTTGAGTTCGTGTTGACCTCGGAGGATGTTGGGGTCACTAAACCGGACCAGCGAATCTTCCGGGCGGCCCTGGAGATGGCCCGGGTGGAGCCGCCGCAGGCCGCTCACATCGGGGATGACGTACGGAAGGATTACCTGGCGGCCAGGAGCGTGGGGATGAATGGTTTCCTGATACGAAGAGATGATGAGGCTCTGGATGTAGAAGGAGTGGTACCCAGGGTCCACATCCTCCACTCACTTCAACAGCTATGCAACATCCTGGAGTGAAAGTAAACTAAACTTTAAACTAACAGTGTAACTGGGTGAAATATGGCGATGGTTGGTGCCATTGGAAGCTGACGTGGAGCAGGTCATTTACTAAAATTCAGTTTGTCGTTAGGAAGTTTGACCGAAGGACTCAATTTACATGTGACCATAAGGGAACCATTCTTTCCTTAGGAACTCTGCCTCTGTACCTCTGGATTGAGGCCTATCACCTCAGTGTGTGTCACCTGCCGGGTAAAGATGTTTCCTGTGGAGCAAGTTGGGAATGTTGACTAGTTCTTCCAATCAGTTTGATATGAAGAAGCCCTCACTGGTTTGCTTCCCAGAGTACCAAAATAATAATAAAATTGGTCACTCAATCCACGACGGTTTGTGGGATACTGTTGTGCGCAATTGGTTACCGCGTTTCTCCCACAAAATATACACCATTAACTTTACAGAATATTCTGTGAAGTGCTTTGAGACCTCTCAACATGGTGCTACATTGAATGCAAGTAGGGATTTGTTTTGGGCTGGACCTGCTCCAAGTTGTTGCTCTCAGTACCTTGGCCAGCAATCCCCTTAAATTGCTTCATTTGAGAGGGACGTTGTTGGGTGCAAAACACCTGGCGTATCCGCCTACAAAATAGTCACTACACTTTGTATTAAATCCTGTGAAGTGCTTTGAGATGTCCTCCCGACATGAAAGGCATTACGTCAAAGGCAAGGATTATTATTATTTATGAAGAACAAGGAGGGGACAGAATTTCATTCATAAACCTGTTTTGTGATTGGATTGGTGCTGTGAAGTAATTTAAATGAGTGAATAAATGAGTCAGGTCACAATTTGTCTTTATTGTATTAAAAATCACAGTTTCCTTTCATTTGAGACTGCGAACATTTCAAGTGGAACAAGCAGCAATGACTGTGCCTGACACACACTGTGTGTTGTCTAGTGAAGTCTGCAGCCAGTCACTACACTCTACATCTAGTCACAAGTAGTTCACTTTGGTCAGTTTTGATATACCCGCTGCTGTCAGTATTTGCAGTGATTATAAATAGACACTTTCACAGATACATTGCTTCACTGAACAATTGTCCATGAGCTTTTTGTCTCCTTTCCCTAGTTTCTCACAATCCTAAACAAACACACTCACACACATACACTTATATTTCCACACGAACACATACATGTGTGTATATTTATGTGTGTGTGTGTGTACATATATGCACACACACACATACATACAATACACACCCTGCCACCCCAGATCTCAAATACTTCTGTGAAAACACTTTCCCTCTAAACTAAAAAAAAAACTTAGGTTTTAAAAAGAATCGAGATGCTGAAAAGGTATTTGGATTATATTTGAGCCGCTGCTGGATATGTTCCGGGGGAGTGAGAGGATGCAATGTGGTGTAATATTCACCGGGAACCTCCGTGGTCTGCCCCAGAGAAGAAAGCAACATCACACTTCCTTCAGCCATTTCAGCAGCTGTGGCACGTAGTAGGTGATGATGATATCAGCGCCTGCAAAACCAATACACAGTAGGTCAGAGTCACACATTGCACCACCGCTACTTCACCCAGCACAAGCTGATACTGACAGAGCTGTGCGCTGCTGTACCACCCTCACCCCTACCCCTAACCTCTGTATGAGGGGAAGGAGTGGGGAGAAGAGAGCATGAGGCTATAGAAATTTACAGGAAAGTTGGAATCCATTTGGTCCATCGCACCTGTACCGTCTCTCTGAAAGATTTCTCTATTTAGCCCCATTCTCCTGCCTTCCCGCACACTATTATAGTTATACATTTACTGACAAATACACAGTCACTACAGTTCACAGTAAAATTCTGCGAAGCGCTTTGTGGAACCTTGAGGATGTGCTTAGGTACTGTATCAAATAAAAGGATTCTTATATTACTTTCGTAAGTATTAGTGTTAAAGAATGGCCTCCGTCTCCAGCCACCTTTGGCTATTTTGAGTTCATCGTCTTCTCCGAGAAATGTGCGCTGTTTAATGTAGTTTGTTGCTCGGTTGATGAATTACCTGCCCTCCTGAAGCCGGTCAGAGCCTCCATCACAGCTGTCCTGAGGTCGAAGGCTCCAGCTTTGGCCCCGTGCCACAGCATTGCAAACTCCCCCGAGACGTGATAGATGGCCAATGGGTGCGTGGGGTACTGAGCGGGCAGAAGGCACCAAGTTACTACTGTATTACACACAGGAGGTTCTCACCAATGTTCATGTCAATGACTACAAGCAATGATCTCAAGCTAAAGGATAAGCAGCGCTGAGGGGAGCAACTGCGTTTTCAGAGGTACCGTTCTGATAAGAAACGAAGACCAAAGTCCTGCATGCCTTTTCGGTTGCATGGCATGTTAATAGAACCCGTGACACTAAACCGAAATGAGAAAGAAGTTTCTCCGGGTCAATTAACTTCCAGATTAAATTGGGCAGTGCTGCACACAAATTGGCTGGCACATTCGCCCTCAAAAACAGTCGCTACACTTAACCTAATTACTGTAAAGCCCTCCGAGGCATTTTGATGTTTTAGGCGCTATATCAAATGCAAGGATTATTATTATTTTCCTACAATAAAAGTTGGACTCAAAAGAATCAATCTCAATTGTTTACAGGCACCTTCATGCAACGCACTATATATTTAATCCTTATTACACTTATGAAAAACATTGCATTCGATTGCTCAACAGATTAAACCCACCAAATCTCAAGCTGAAATCTTCCTGACTTCTGAGCTGATCTCACATTCTGGTGGGGGAAAGCTCAACATTGGGGCTCAAGGTGTGAAAAGCTGTGTGTGGTGTGAAAAGGTGTGAATTATTTTCAGCTGGTGGGGGTCTGACCTGTGTTAAAAAAAACATCACTGTGCTTGAGAGTTCCATGTAGGTTTGGTTGTCATTTGTACGGAGTTCACACTCTGTCCCTGGAGACTGACCGCAGTGGGAACGCTAAAAAGTGTGCGTGTTCTCAGAGCATATGTCTGAGCCTGAGATGGAGATTTATTAGTTGATGGGTAAGTGATGGCAGTGAGGGGAGAGGCTGAGGAATGAACGTTAGCTGTGAATAGACACAAGTGAATCTTACTTTGGCCTTCACATCCCGGACGATGTCTAGGTAGGGCATTCCAGGTTTCACCATTAGCATGTCTGCACCCTCACGTACATCCCGGTCCTTCACCCCCAGAGGAATTGCACCACAGTCAAAAGTCATGCATTAGAAATGACACACACGATTCTTCACAATACTTAAAAGATCATTAAACTTATTTTTTTTAAAAAGCCATTTTCACCAATAGATAAATTTGGTCATTCATGGCTACTTGTGGGGACATTGCCGTGTTCTACAAAATACACAGTTACTGCATTCAAATATAAACCACAATATTCATTCATCCAATTGTTTGTTGTGTTCAATTTCCATATTCCACACTTACCACTGCTCGGATGGCCAGGCCTCGAGCCCCCGGGGGCAGCTGGTAACAGCGACGGTCTCCAAACGCTGGCTTGGACTGTGCTGCTTCACTGTTGGAAAAGAATACAACAGACCACAGGTTACTATTAAAATCTGGTACTTCATGTCTTTTCCTTGCACTTGCACAGCCTTTAACACCCAGTCTCTCTCACACCCACACCAAGACCCACTCACTTGCAGGCGCGTGCACACATACACACATAACCCACGCACGCGCACACGCGTACAAACACACAGAGTCACTCACACATACACTCAGAGTCTCAATCACGTAGACCATACGTTAATCAAGCCGATCAAAGCCAGCTCAACATTACAGGGAAACTTATGCAGACTTGAGCATCAATAACACCTACACTGTGACCCCCCCGGAGCACAACTTCAGACTGTGTGTCTGACTGTTTCAGAAGCCTTAAAAGGATACAGGGTTGAGTGGACCCAATAAATTCAAACCTGGAACCCCATGATCTCACGGCTGGTCAGGGCTGAATTGCCTAAGGTACCAGGAGTGACATACACCAGCAGGACATGTAATTGTTACACCCAATGCCAGTTACACTGATGATTTCAAAAGCTGAGACTTACCGAAAAGGCCCATAATAACAGGAGGCAAATTTCGCACTGTAGCTCATTAATGAAACCTGCAGAGAAATTAAATAAGGATTAAAGCCTGAGCGACAATGATAATAATAATAATCTGTGTATGTGTTATAGTGCCTACAACATTGAAATATCGCTCTGCACAATCAGGTCTTACCTTGTTGCCCATATCATTCGAGATGAGAGCTTGTTTCATGGCCCCGACTCTTCCATCCATCATATCTGAAGGAGCTACAATATGGCAACCTGAAAGGCAGATTAATTCTCCTCACTTTCAGTCCCTCAAAGCCAATCTCTTCAGGCCCCTTAGCTTTGTAATGGCTAAGAGTTCCACCTAGCACGCAGATTTACCTTTGTCTGGAACTGTGTGCTGACACTCTCTCCCCAGGGGAATGCACCCTGCTCGCTTAATCTCAGAGAGTTTAGGCACTCACTCGGCAAGAGCCAAGGATTTGGGGTTCCCAGTGTCGGGGGTGGGGGGTGCATGTGTGGGGGGAACTGCTGTGGTTTAACCAGCTAAAACTTCACAGTTTCCATTACTGACAGGCTTCCTGTTGCTTGTCCAGTCAGGATCCCGTAACCCGATAGGTCTTAATCCTTGTAGGGTTCTGTAATTTCCTGGTCACTGACTCCCCTTCACTGTTAATTGACTACATGTTCCATGCAGTGACATGCAGTCTCGCAGGAGGTCATCTTCTCCCCAGTGTTGCACTCACCTGCCTTGGCGTAGGCCAGAGTCACCTCCGACAGCCGCTGGCAACTGGCTTCATTGTTCAGAGTCCCATCCTCGCGGAGGATTCCTAGCAAAAACAATTACAACAACTGTTGTGATCCCGCTTTATATCTGAAATTGTGAATATACGTTAACCCATGCAGTCGAAAGAATTATTTTAATCAATGGTTAGAAATGCTTATGTTGAATAGACATGATTTTGATTAATGGTTAAAAATGATTATGTAACTAGGAAACTATCAAGACGGCTTGTTTATTGTAGCTGAAGGTTGTTGAAGATGACAATGCAGCACTGCATTGGAGTAAGTATCAGACTAGACTATGCACTTAAAAGTCCTTACGTGGAACTTGTATCCACAATCATCTGACAACTCAGTTATCGACTGAGCTAATAGTTTACCGTCTCCAATTGGTCTCTCCACTAGCTCATTACTCCCTTACTGTTGTTCACTTGAACCCCTACTACCTAACCGGATAAACCCGCAGGCACCTTACTTTTCCCACCTTGGCTGTTTGCTTACCACAGTGTCCATGTGAGGTGTAAGGGCAGAGGCAGACATCGCAAGCGATCACTAAACCTGGGAACTTATTCCGTAGCGTTTTAATGGCTAGTATGGTTGGTGTGTCCTCGGAATCAGCCGCGGATCCTCTCTCGTCCTGTCAGAGAAAACATGAAGAACAGAAGTTGAATGAAATGATGACTTATATGTTACAGATACAAACTCGAGGGAACCTTTGTTATAACACGGTCTCTGGTACCAATTTCTCACTGACCAAGTTAGAATTGAGATGTGGAATCATGGTCAACATCCAGGTGGTCAGATTGACACTGATATTACTTCCTGTGCGCAAGAAGTCCCGCTGTCGCTTCCTACGCTGCAACATACACCGGAGGTAACCCAATGACCCAGGCTGGCGCAGAGTGGACTTTTCACATGGTGGAACTTTTAGATCAACAAATGTGTCGCTGGTCAAAGAGCTGCAGTTTCGTTGCAAGTCCACTTTGGGAACCCCTCAGTGTCCTGCAACTGGAGACTTTTAAAGTGGGGAATGTTGTACTAAAACAACGACAACTTGCATTTATATAGCACCTTTCATGTAGGATAACGTCTCAGAGTGTTTTACAGAGATAATTTTTAGGTGGGATTTAAAGACAGAGAGAGATAGGAGGGGGGTGGGGGGGGGGGGGGGAGAGAGAGGGAACTCCACAAGGTAGGGGCGAAGTGACTGAAGGCACGGCCACGCACAGAGCGGTGGAGAAGCCAGGGATGCACAGAGTCCCGAGGTAGCCCAGCTGAGGGGAATCAGCAGAAGGGTTGACCAGGAGAAGGTCACAGAGGTAGAGAGATGCCAGGCAAACACAATTAAACAGGGGGCAAAGGCCTGGCTAGAAACAGTGCTCCAACTCTTACCTTGATCAGTTTGGCGGGAACACCGAAGATCAGCACGCAGGTCAGGCCATCGTCCACCAGGGGGCGCAGCATCCCTTCCAGTTTATTCACGCCATATCTGGTAGAGAGAAGCAGAATGAGGCCCTGAGAGCCACTGGCTAACAGCAATAATATTTCTTGCATTTGAAATAGCACCTCATCACGTTGTCGAGACGTCTCAAAGCGCTTCTACTGAAGTGCAGTGTTTGTGTGTATGTTTGTGGGGAGATGCAGCAGCCAATTTGCACACAGCAATGTTCCACAAACAGCCATGCGACCAATTTCATCTGGGAGACTGTTGGCCAGGACACCAGGAGAGAGAAACGCCTTTCTCTTTTCGTATAGTGCCATGGGATCTTTAACGTCCACCTGAACAGGCACAGGCGGGAGCTCAAACTTCTCATCCAAAGACGGCACCTCCAACAACACGGCACGCTGATATTTGTGGATCCAAGCACCACGTCGGGTCTTTCAATTCACAGTCTGGAGTAACACAACATAGTGCACTGTGAACACTGCATTGTTGAAGTGCCGTCCTTCAGATGAGACATTAAACCAAAGTCCCATCACTGCTTATTCAAGGGGACAGTAATAATCCTATGGTACAACAACAAGAACAAGATTACATTTGTATAGCGCCTTTCACGTCGGGAATACTATTTCAAAAGAGAAGAGAGTTTTTCTCTCCCAGTGTCCTGGCCAACAATCCCCCAAATAATATTTGTCATTCACTTCATGGCTGTTTGTGGGACACTGCTGTGTGCAAATTTGCTGCTGGGTTTGCATACAAACACACAGTCAATGCACTTTATAATAAAAGCCTGTAAGGCGCTTTGAGATGTCCTCCAGACATGAAAGATGTTACATCAAATGCGCAGGTTATAAAATAATCAGTACGCAACCTGGGTCATTTCAATCTGCACGTTACTGAACTAAATACAAACAGCTCCAGTCCAGAGTAAGTCCGCTTTTGCTTCAGGCAAAGCGTTATCTGGTTGATTAAATTCTTGGGAGCTGAAAGGATCTGCATTTCAGAAGCAGTTTATGTCACAGCTGCAGTGAGCTGTGTGAGCGAAGGTGACCTTCGCACGGAATCAACCTCCAATCCAACAAAGTGACGCCTGTTAACGGGCGGCTGAGTGCAAGCCACGAGGCTTTCCTCACTCACTGTTCCTGGGACTGTTCCTGTAGGATTCCAACACAAAGCAAACATCCAGACTTGTGAACAAACTCAGAGAAGTGCCACCACTTAACAGCAGCGCGGAAACTGCCCAAGTCATATCCAAGATCGCGGCCAAGGTCAAACCGAGAATGATAATAATAAACTTGCATTTGATACAGTGCCAATAAAGTCAAACCATCCCAAAGTACATCACAGGCAATTGGTGTGAAGTGTAGTGACTGTATTTTATGAATAAACACAGCAGTGTGCTCACCAATATTCCACAAAAAGCTATGAAGCGAATGATAATAATAATAAGAAGAAGAACGATCAATTTTATCTGGGAGATTGTTGGCCAGGTTATTGGGAGAAATTCCTTTCTATTTTCTAACCTTCCCATGGGACTCTAAATAATGATAATCTTTGCATTTCATTTAAATAGTGCCTTATCACACAGAGACATTTCAAAGTGTTTCACGGAATATACTGTAAAGTGAATCAACTATATATTTTTGTGGATGAAACGCAGCAGCCAAATGCACACAGCAGTGTTTTACAATAGTCATGGATTTAATGACCAATTTGTTTTTAAAAAGGGATTATTATCCCCGGAAAGTGATATGATATACAATGGCACAGACTAGTTGGGCCGAATGGCCTGTGTTCATTCTATGAAAATAGCCACTTCAATGATCATTGTCAGCAGTGAACAGAGCAATTTTATCTATTGGAGCAGCGAAAAAATAAGTCACATCTTCAATGCTGGTTACTGCCACAGCAGCTCCCCATGAACAGCTTATCTTGGGATCAGCGCAGTTTCACAGAAGCCTTGTTATCAGGCGATGCCAGCTCACAACCAGCGAGAAAACACACACAGTGCCTTGGGCTGCAGAGGTGGAGAAGTGAGATCGACGGCACGGGTTCTGCCACTCAGAGAAAGGAAAGTGACTGCTGTGTCATTCCCACGCCCAACTGAAGACAGCAGCACGTTTACTCCCCTTCCATCGCCTCTCCTCCCCCCCCCCCCCCCCCCCCACATACACACACATACGTTTATGTATAGAGACACATTCCACGTATGTGTGGTGCGAATGGAACTCTCAGTCTGGTTTGGCTGCAGTATATGTGATGGATTTCTGCTTGTGTCAGACACCCAGTTGATGAAAGAAGAGTGCAGCAATTGTAATATTGGGTGGAACGCTTGCTCAAAGCAGCAATACAATTTTCCCACAAAATATTTACAGCAAGGGAGTTAGTTCTGCATTGTCAGACGTGGTGTTCTGCAGATAAGATGTTAACCTGATGTCCCGCCTGCCTGTGGACAGCATAGATCTTAAAACGAGAGGGGCTTTGTCTCAAGTGTCCTGGCCAAGAATCCTTCAGATAAAATTGTTCATTCATCACATGGCTGTTTGTGGGACCTTGATGGATGCAAATTGGCTGCCACATCTGCCATTTTACACTTTACAGTCGTCTGCGGTGAAGTATCAAAGGCTACTGTTATTATTAGCCGTGCGCAATTGGCTGCCACGTTTCACCCACTAAATATACAAAATATACTAAATATAAATAAATCCACTTTACAGTACATTCTGCGAAGCGCTTTGAGACGTCTCGAAGATATGATAAGAAGCTATAACAAGCGCAAGGATTATTATTATATTACATAATGTTCATAACTGATATATGGTATCTAAGAGGGATTGTATCTTGTTTCAAAGTATTTAATTTTAAGCACAAGGGTCAAATTCCGCTATTGTTAAGCGCTCTGAGACCTTATCCGTAACGAAGGGAGTTATACAAGTACAAGTTATTGTCATTGTTGTATTTTCAGCGATGTTGTTGGCTGATCAGTTCGCTCCCACAAATAGGTTCTTAATATTAAATAAGTAATAATCCTTTTGTTTTACGTAACGCCTTTCACATCAGGAGGATGTCTCATATTGTCTCAAGTTTAACGTCTCATATGAAGGACACCACCTCCAACAACCCAGCGCAAACCCCAGCACAGCCCTGGAGGTCAGCCCAGACTGTTCAGAGTTCATAGTCTCGGAGTGGGGTCAACCCCTTGACTCATAGGTGAGAGTGTAACAACTGAGCCAAGGTGACACCCATCACTACTCACACAGATCTCCCTTACCTGGCCTGTCCTGGGAGACTGATGATGGGCTCCACTGCATCAGCATTGTCACTGAAAAAGGCAAAGAGCAAATGTCAGGATCTGCTTCGAGTTCAATGTCCAGTCTACAAAAATATAAATAATAATACAACAACAACAACAACAAGATTCCATTTATAAAGCGCCTTTCACGTCAGGAGGACGTCCCAAGGCGCTGCACAGTTGGGTCATGACCCGAGCAGGGGGGAAATGGTCAGGGTGAGGGGAGGGAAGGGAGGGAGCGAGGAGGGGGAAATGGTCAGGGTGAGGGGAGGGAAGGGAGGGAGCGAGGAGGGGGAAGAGAGTCGAGAGGGGAGCTGAAGGCTCGGTCAAAGAGAATAATGATAATAATCATCCTTGCATTTGATACAGAGCCATATCACGTCGCCGAGACATCTCAAAGCCCTTCACAGGATAATAATAATCCTTGCGTTTACCCAGTTCTGCACGATCACAAATTTTAAGATTGTTTTTTGGATGAGCCAGGTGTCTGACACATGCAGGATCACCCAAACCTGTCTTGCACATAATTAAGCCACCCACACATGGATATTACTCTGTGTATTGGAATGGAATGCGCGCTCTCTCCCTGGAGGGACGCGCCCTGCTTGCCTAATTCCAGACAGGGTTAGGAGCCGGGTGGCAAGAGCGCGGGCTTTGGGGACTCAGGAGTGTGCGTTGGGGTAACTGCTAATGTTTAACCAGTTAAAACTGCATAGCTTGCCATTGAGAGCACCGCCTGACAAGCTTCCCATTGCTTTTCCAGCATGGTTTTGTCCTACAGAGTTAACGGGATCGGAGTGGGAATTTTCAGACAGGATTGTCTTAACATCTGACTGTTCAGTGCTTTGGGACATCCTCCCAACATGAAAGGCGCTCTATAAATATAATTTTGTTGTTGTTGTTGTTGTTGTTGTTACGCAGTGGAATTTCAGACTCGATATCCAGAGGGCGCATTAAATAATAAAAGTCTCTCTTTCTTCCTCTCACAAAACTTACGTGACAAAGATGGGGTAGATGAGGTTGTTAGCGTTAAAGGTGGCACCACAGGTCTGCCAGGCACGGAGCAGGGGGTGTGAGTAACCGCTGTGCAATAGAGATTCCGACTGCATCATCTTCACCCCACTAACCTGCAAGAGCACAGAAGCCTTGTGAGTGATGCTCAACAAACAACCAGGACCAGTGCTGTGCCTCCATAATAATAAAAATAATCCTTGCATTTGATATAGCGCCTTATCACATCATTGAGCCATCTCAAAGTGCTTCACAGAATATATTTTAAAGTGGATTGACTTGTGTATTTTGTGGGTGCCTAAACCTTGCCTAAGGTTTCGCTCTGACCGGGAATCAAACCTGGGTCCTCGCACTTGTAAGGCAAGTGCTCTAACCACTACTCTACCAGAGTCCATCTGATATAGTGGATCCCTTGACACTAACCTCCCCCTCTATCAACAACCCCATGTAACGCTCTACAAATCCCAGTTTCCCCAATCCAGGAAATTGTATTCATGAACTTGGTTGAGACAAGAGAAAGCCCTCAAGCAATGTTAAGAGTAAAGTATTTGAATGTTTTTCTGACAGCACAATTCACGTGTTGTTCCAATTTGTGAAGTTAATTCAGAATCTCACTCCAGGGGGTTTGCAGTAAAGTTTCTGCCAAATGACTTGAAGAAAATACAACACAAGTATTCAGCTCAGCATATCCCTGATTCACATTACTGGATAAACAGAAAGTCCACGTCCCTTTGCACAGGTTCATCACACTCTGTGCTGGTGTCTTTGTTCCACATGAGCCGGTCTAACCCCACTCGCCTGCTCCCTCCAAGCCATCCCATCCCTTCCACATCCTTTAATTTCTGATTCCTTCCTTATGTACTCTTGCCTCTCAAGGAGGCCATAGACATAATGTCCACTCAATCTGTAAAGCAATCCAGCCTTCAAAGAGCACTCAATAGGAGGTTAGAGCAGTGAGAAGCACACAAGGTTTGTTTTGTCTCTCGGGTTCTGGCTTGGTGCCTGATGAAGCTGCTCTCTGAAACACAGCTTGTGCTTCACAGAGAGTGCACTGATAGCTCAAACCCGTCACCATTGAAAAACTACACGCAACCTAACCTCCAGTGAACAATAAAGAGCCCCAGTAAGAGAACCCTCACACTGTGCAGGACATTCATCAGTGCCAGGAGTGTGCCATGTCCCCAGTATTACATAATTCATTTTCTGTGAAGCAGGAACCCTCAGGTCTTCTCTAAGTCCCGGGTTTCGCCCCCTCACACGCACACACAGTTAGTGCTGCAAGTTACAAATTCCCACTGGTCCAAACCCGCAGTAGAATTGCAGCAAAACAAAGCCACTTTACTCCTTCTCAAGGTCCCAGACTGAATCTGGATCAGTGTAATATAAACAGTTTCAGTTACAAAGCTTAGACTGTGCTCTTCTGTCCCGTCCATGTCAGTGGTCGTCTCTCTCTTGTGTAAATAAAAATAATAATAATAATCCTTGCATTTGATATAGCGCCTTATCACATCATTGAGGAATCTCAAAGTGCTCCACATAATATATTGTAAACTGGATTAATGGTGTATTTTGAGGGTGAAACACGGCAGCCAAAAACAGCAGTGTCCCACAAACAGTCATGGATTGAGTGACCAAAGAGGGACTATTACCCCCAGAAAATGATCCATCAATCCACTAACAACCGGGTTCCTACTTACTGCTAGGTAAACATTTCTGGGTAAATAACTACAGTAGTTGGGGAGCAGGGTCTGTAAAATCCCAACCAGTAATAATAGCACAGCGTGATTGCCAGGCAGCACTTTCGTGTTAATGGCTGACTTTCTGCGTGATTTCAGATTTTTTAGTAAGTAAATATTGGAATTTCACATCCCAAGCACACCATGAGTAAGCCTGCGTTATGACGGGATTCATTTCTTTTTTAGGCTGCACTAATAAAATATTGAATGACTCAGCTTGACTCAGATGATAGCAAAGGCTCATGTAGGTCAAAAGTTTGTGAGCTCAAGGCCCAAAGCTCACAGCCTTGGCTTGTACTCCAGAGCAGTATCAAGGCAGTCCTGCAGCACTGAAAATGCTTGTCATTCTTTGGATGAGGTACGCAAAACTCGCATAAGTCTGATCTGTATAAATCGTACAATCGCCTCAGTCGTACATCTGCCCCGGTCCCAGTCAAGAGTTTATATTCTATGCAAGTTTGACATAGCTCATACTTTGCATTAGTCATATTAAATGTATGGTCCCAACTGATGTGACTTACGTAAGGTTAACTGAGATTAGTGTCTGAGAATAATCCTTGGTTTGAACATAATGACAATAATGTCAAAACAGCTCAATACATTTTATAGTAATCACTGTCAAGTGTGTATTTGTAGAAAAACACAGCAGCCAATTTGCTCACAGTAATGTCCCAATAACAGCCAGGAGGGGAATGATTAATTTAACTGGAGGATTGTTGGTCAGGACACTGGGATATACTCCCTTTTCCTTTTGAATAATGTCATCGGCTTTTTAATATCCAACTGAACAGGAAGATAAATCTCAATTTAACGTCTCATCCCGAAGGATGGCACAATTTAGCGCTCTCTAGTACTGTACTGGAGTGTCAGGCAAGTGTGTGATCTATCTCAAAGCGCATGCAAGTATATATAGTTATACTAAATATAGTTACCACTCCGTTTCCTCATGTCCTTGCCTCTCTTAGTTTCTATGTAATCAGATCACTGTTGTAATACAGATTGTCATGATATTTATGAAGCACACAATCTGAACTGTTGCGGCTTCTCCCTCTTTATATCCCAGAGCTGTTAGTATAATTATAACTGCACAATATCCAGCTCCATGTCACAAGGAGGTGCAGAGTATAGTTAATTACCGTATACTGTATACTGTTCTTACTTATAGCATGTTACATTGCTCTCGAATTCCAGGTTAATACACGGTGCAGTTAGCTACAATACTGAATGTTATACAGTGCAGTTCTTGTCCGCGATGACCAGTCCTGTCTATGAGCCGGGATGGCCGTACTGTCATCAGCGGTGCTCTGGAATACTGGGAACCACCCGGCTCAGGGACCGGACCGGAGACCGTCACGGAGGGCTGGCCCGCTTCCCACAATCCGTGGCCAAGCCTGTCACCTCGGAGCCAGTGCAGCTCCAAAAGCAGACCCCGCTTATCTCTCCCCCTCTCCCCCAGACGAGTATGAAGTCGGACACCCTTGAGCCTGCCTTAGAAATACTGCAGAGTGTCTTGGTGTACCTGACTGCTCAGGGCCAGCCCTGGCACCAGTGAATTGCACCTACATACACTAATTACACAGCAGTTACACTGAGCCCAACCCCATGGGTGTCTCAGCCTTAGGGTAGGTAGTAGCCTCGCAGTATAGCCAGTTATATTCTAGATCCCCCCCCCTCCTCCCGGCTCTCTGCTGATTTACACAGCATCGCTACGATGTATAAATAATAATAATAATAATCCTCGCATTTGATATCGCGCTTTTCACGTCGGGAGGACGTCCCAAAGCGCTTCACGGAACGCACTGTAAAGTGAATTGACTGTATATTTGTGGGCGAACGCGGCAGCCAATTGCGCACAGCGATGCCCCACAGACAGTCGTAGATTGAAAATGACCAATTTATTATTGATTTTGGTTTTGGAGGATTATTATTATTAGGGCTGTGGGTGGAGTAAGGAAACTCGCCCGAGGTATCGCCCTCTGTCTGGGATTGAACTCAGGTCTCTCACTAACCCCTGAGCTCCAGGACTCCAAATAACATGGTATTCATTGGCAAAGTCTCTGTTAACCGCACGATGCAGTCAGTTGCAATGTGTATTACTTTGAACACATTGTAACCCCCTCCAGGTCTCACTGTGTGGGGGAACTACACAATATTGTTGCAAACACGTGTTACAGTGTATTCTGAACGCAATGTCTCATCAGCTCCAAAAATATACAGAGACGTAACAAAAAATTGCTACACTGTATTCCCAACTCCACACTCTCTCTCTCTCTCTCTCTCTCTGCGAACTGTTTGCACCCACAGCAGCAGTCAGGTCCAGTCCCACTGCGGTCCAGTTCAGCACAGCTCTCTGCATCAGGATCTGGGATCTCACCTCTTAACTGCTGCTCCTGTTTCTGCTCCTGTTTCTGCTCCTGTTTCTGCTCCTGCTTCTGCTCCTGCTTCTGCTCCTGCTTCTGCTCCTGCTTCTGCTCCTGCTTCTGCTCCTGCTTCTGCTCCTGTTTCTGCTCCTGTTTCTGCTCCTGCTCCTGTTTCTGCTCCTGTTTCTGCTCCTGCTTCTGCTCCTGTTTCTGCTCCTGCTTCTGCTTTTACTTCTGCTGCTCCTGTTTCTGCTCCTTCTGCTGCTTCTGCTCCTTCTGCTTCTGCTCTTGTTTCCTGCTCCTCCTGCTCCTGTTTCTGCTCCTCTCTCCGTGAGGACACCAGCAGTCTGGCAGTGCAGTGCAATGCAAATGCCCCGGAAACACAGTCTCCAGACTGACAGCCGGAAGCTTCCTTCTGTGTATTTTATTTTCTGCAAAAACCTCCAGCACTGAGACAGAAGCCACTGACTGACTGTCCTGTGGGGTCAGTGGGGGGGGGGAGGGAGCAAAGATCAGGACATGCACTGAGCTGGGAAGCACACACCCAGCCATTTGCAATAGCTATCCCTAAATACCCCCCCCCCACCCCCACCCCACAGGACACAAGCAAACTGGGAGACTGGGAACCACAATAATAATAATAATAATCCTCGCATTTGATATAGCGTTGTTCACGTCGGGAGGACGTCCCGAAGCGCTTCACGGAACACACTGTCAAGTGAATGGACTGTATATTTGTGGGCGAACGCGGCAGCCGATTGCGCACAGCAATGTCCCACAGACAGTCGTGGATTGAAAATGATCAATTTATTATTGATTTGTTTTTTTTTTTTGGAGGGATTATTATTAGGCTCTGTGTGGAGTAAGGAAACTTGCCCAAGGTTTTGCCCTCTGCCTGGAATTGAACTCAGGTCTCTCGCTTGCAAAGCGAGTGCTCTAACCACTGAGCCACCGGACTCTACAAATCACTGGTGAGCAGGAGCTGGGTCACACGTAGCAATCGCACAAACACAAGCCAGGCAAGGACATGCACAGGTTAACAGATCGAGACGTTTCAAGAATTCAAAGAATTTATGGTAATAATAATAATAATTCTGCATTTGATTTCTGACGAAATGTCATTGACCTGAATCGTTAACTCATTTTTGCTTTCTCCATGGATGCTGCCTGACCTGCTGCGTGTTCCCAGCGACTTCTGTGCTTACACTAGAAACTCCAACGTCAGGCTCATAAAGTTCTCCACATTACCACAGGAGCCTAGATTTGAAGACCCCTTACCTTCCCCGCCACCCAACAAAATACACACCGATAAGGTTAATTTGAAAAACGGAGAGCAAATTCCGAGACGCCTTAAATAAGAATAAATTTGCAATAATAATCCTTGCATTTGATATATCACCTTTTCGCGTTGGAAAATCCGTACTGCGTTGACTGATCTTAGCCAGGCCAGTGCTTGAAGTGCAGCAATGTGCATTTCGATTTCAGGGGATTAAAAATCAGGTGGGTTTTCCTACTGCTGTATGCCATTCCCGTACCCCAGTATGTGTGAGCAGAGATTGATGTCAGGATTAGCCTCAGTTAATAATAATAATCCTTGCATTTGATGTAGCACCTCATCATGTCATTGCGATATCTCAACGCTTCACAGAATATACCGTAAAGTGAGTTGACTGTGTACTTTGTGGGCAAATCGCGGCAGCACAGAAGTGTCATACAAACAGTCTGCCCAAATTATTACTATTATTATTTTTTGAAGGGAGATTATTACCCCGGGCGTGTGGATTTTGTGGCTGAAACACGGCAGCCAATTGCGCACAACAGTGTTCCACAAACAATCGTGTATTGAGTGACTACATGTTTTATACCAAGCAGAATGGAGAAATGATTAGGACGGAAAGAATGGAATTTGTTACGGGTCTCAACAGAGTGGATAGTGTGGATGGTGTGAAAGAAGGATTTGCTGTGTAGTTAGCGAATCGGGGAAAATAAATACTTGGCAAATAATCCAGCAGATCCAGAAAATGAATACCAGGAAATACATTGAAAGAAAGAAATAATTGTCAAAATTTGTGGGAAAAACCCTAGCAGGAAATACATGCGGATAAATAACTAGGTTAGGTTTAACTACCGTAGGAATAACACCACGTACAGGCCCTGTAATATTCAGGGGAAATAAAGAGTCTTCCCACTCAGCTCCTGTTAACCCTGGGTAGGATGGGGTCTTAGCTGGACAAGCAGCGGGTTGTCGAGTATTTGGATACTGTCTGTCTTTCAGATGAGACGTTAAAGTGAGGTCCCATCTGCCTGTTCAGGTGGATGTTATAGCGCCTACGGTGCTATTTGAAAAGTGAAGAGATTTACTCCCAGTGCCCCGGTCAAAAATAAAATTGTCCTTCACTTTGTGGGACATCTCGGAAACCGGCCTGTTACCAGACAGAGGCTGATTTTATAGACCCAACCACCATGTTAGACGAGGGTCCAACCGTATGTGCAACGAGTAAAATGTCACCCTGAACAGGGAGCAACTTTGAACAAAAGAGACTGCAACACTATCGCCACCTAGCGACGTTAGAAAATTCAACATCTCTCCTTTTTTTTTCCTTTACGGATGTCCAACGATTTCCCCGAAACACGAGACAAATACAGTACCAGTTACTTGGCAAACCGACGCTAATTTCCTCCCAAGTATTTTATTTGATGAAACAGCAATGTTCGATACCGTCCGCGGTTTTGGCGATTAATAATTGGCATTTCAGATGGAAATTTTTGGCTCCATTGTAAATTATATCACGTCTCGACCAGTTACATTTTGAACAGAGAGCACCTGATGGGTGAACACCAATGGAGCTCTGACTCTCCAGTTCAGCAGCATTTTTTTAAAGTGATCTATGAGTCTGTATCACAGTGTAAGCAGACCACATACAACTTGCATTTGAACTGTACTGCATAAGTGGGTACCACAGTGTAAGCAGACGGTGCTGGGACATCCTTCCGACATGAAAGGCGCTATGTAAATACAATTTGTGTTTGTATCGCAGTGCAAGCAGTCTGGTCCTCAGCACCAAGGTGTCAGTTGTCAGGAGGATCAGGACCAGGTTTCTGTCTGGAATCGACCGGCTCGCTCCAGATCCCGTAAAAGCTGTTCGGCTTCAGTGACGGCAAGGCCTCCCTCTGACTGGAAGATCGATTTTAAGGAATCCATGACCTGTGTTGGCATCATCTTGGCATTCCTGCGGCAGACACAGAGTGAACTAAGTGTGGTCAAGCACACGAGTGGTTAGATTCTGCTGGCTTCTCTCTATCCAACGTCCCCAGCAGCCTCTTTCTAGGTCGCTCACAATTTCAGCTGCACTTTGCTTTCATCCTTCCTCCTATTCTGATCTATTTTAAACTTGGCTCAGTTGGTAGCACACTCGCCTCCGAGTCAAAAGCCTGGGGGTTCAAGCCTCATGTCAAGACAAGAAACTCATATAGTCTGGGCTAACACTCTAAAAGCTGCTGCATTGTCAGATGTACCATCCTTCAGATGAGACCTTAAACTGAGATCCTGTTCGAGTGGATGTTAAAGATCCCATAGCAATATTTGATTAGAGAAGGGAGTTTCTCTCTCCTGGTGTACTGCCAAACAATTCCCCAGATAAAATTCGTCATTCACTTCTTGGTTGTGTGTTGGACGCTACACGTTAGATTAAATCCTGCAAAGTGCTTTGAGACGTCATCCCAAAGTGAAAGGCCGTGTATCAAATGCAAAGATTATTGTTATTAAAAGTGACTTGATTTGTGCCGTCACAAGCTTTAGACTGCAAATAGCTTAAACTCGATCTCATCTTTCCAATACAATGAGCCTGGTGATCCCAATGCAACAGATATCTCACACAACAGGTATGTGGATGACTTCATCCTACCAGTAAACCAAGCCTACAGTTTTCCTGACAGTTTCCAGCTGTTTCCTAACTGAATCCAGTTTTCTGACCTTAACAACTCTTTCTGGTGACTGGCTCAGGAATCTCAGCTCAGACCTGGAGGTGGAACTCAACACCCTCTCCCCCATTTCAACTCACCCTCTGCTTTCTTAGCTCAACCAGTTACTAATCCACTTTTGCGTCTTTCCCCTTGATAATTGCTATTTTTGTAAGAGTCTCTTGTGTGAGGGCTTACTTACCCTGCGATGTAGAAGAAGGCACATTTGTTGTGAAGTAAGTCCCAAAGGAGAGGTCCATTCTCCTTTATCCGATGCTGAACGTAGATTTTATTCTCCTACAGTAAAACCACACCGAGCTGCCATTACTTTAATGAGAAAAACACATGGTATTAAACACGCTCTTAGGTCATTTGTCCTAAGGACATTTGTAAACACAGGCACGATGGATTGAATGGCCTCTTCCTGTGCTGTAAATATCTCTGGTTCTGGGGATTAACACTCTCAAAGCTGTTCGTGGAAGAGACAGCACACTGGCAAACACTCGTAATTTTCTGCATGGTTTTAAAACAACTTGAAATCCTGTACATTTACACGGTTGAGGAATGCACGGCTAAAATGCCTCATGCGAATGCAGGAAGCATCTGTGTCCAAGATTTATTATTTTTTTTCCACAATTAAAAGGCGCTTTAAATTTTAATCCGTAATACTGCTCAGAAATCCTTCTGGATATCATCTGCTCTTGATAAAGCTGCACATTTAAGGTCGTGTGTGTGCTCAGCATCTCCAGGCTGGTCACGATGCAAGTCTGCTCCACAGGCCTCTCTCCCCTCATCCCAAGTCATGCAATACCTCACCTGGTCTCGGGAAAAGGCTGTGAATAAAGTCAGGCAGCCTTTCTGAGTCAGCTCTTCCCATTCTGCTTGGCAAAAGAAATCCTTGGACTTTCCACGGCTGCCAAAAAACAGGCAATTGTCTAATAAGAGAAAATAGAGTCAGTCCCAGCAACAATTGATTACATTTGTAATAGCGCCTTTCAGGTCAGGAGGACTTCCCAAGGCACCGGTGGTTGGGATCAGGAGGGTGGAGGGTAGTACTTGGTAGGAGAAGTGACTGAAGGCACGATCGAAGAGGAGGGTCTTGAGACAGGTCTTGAAGGAGGCAAGGGAGGGGACGAGGCAGAGGGACTGTGGGATGGAGTTCCAGAGGGTGGGGTCAGAAAAGCTGCCAATGGTGGGGTAAGGACTCTCTACTGTGAGGCAAGCCACCAGCGATGCTCATTCTGAACTTTAGCAAGCGGCATCAAACAGTAAATCAATCATTTTCTGTCTCAGAAGCAATAATTCTACCCACCGAGCTTAGCTGACATCTATTGTTAAGACAATCCTCAGTGAGTTTTGCCTGTGCTGCAGTTCAGTTAGAGTTACTGAGTGACTCTTGATGCAACCAGTGCTGAAGAACCTCAGACATTAACACATTGTGTTCAGCGTCAGGAACCTCTAACCTACCTTGCTTCCCCTCAGCGACACGTTCCTGTATTGCTGCTCGGAATGGGGCCACCCCTGTGCCGGGTCCGACCATTATAGCCGGTGTTTTTGCGTCTGTAGGAAACCGCAGTCCACCCTTCTTTGTCCATAATGGCACTCTCACCTCACCTGTAGGTGGAACAGAGGACAAGGTTCCCTTCTTTATTCAGCTGTGTACGATTGCCAATTTGTCCTAGCTCGTGGGACGTTGCAGAATACAAACTGCATTACAATTTAATGATACATTATTTTTGACCCAGGGCCTGGTCACGTTGTTCAACAGAATATACTTTAACTTGAATTGACTGTATATTTTGTGGGCGAAACCTTCCAAGTCCTGTCGACGAGCCAACAACAAATGACATTTGTATAGCGCCTTTTGTGTGGGAGGAAGTCCCAGACTCGGCTGAGACTGACCTTGCTGGGGATCTAGGGAGGCCAGCCAGTTGGAACAAAGTCCATTCCGCGGCTTCTTCAGCATGGTTTTGTACTGCACGACAGCCATCAGGATGTGGAGCTGATCAGGATGTGCCTGTAAACGCAACAACAGGGAACTCGTGGTAATGTAGAAATGACTCATTTTATTATTTTCCACAAAAATGAATAAATACCCGTAAATAATCCTTGCACTTGATCCACAATGGTTGCTTATGTACAACGGTGGATGTACAGCAAAATATCACAGGTCATATATATATGTAATAATAATAATCCTTGCAAGTGATTTTGTGCCTTATCATGTCATCGAAATGTCTCAAAGCGCTTCACAGGATATACCGAAGAGTGGACCGACTGTGTATTTTGAGGGCGAAAGTTGGCAGCCAGCTGTGCATAGCAGTGTCCCACAAACAGCCATGAAGTGAGTGACCAATTTTATTTGGGAGATTGTTGGCTAGGACACCGGGAGAGAGAACCTCGCTTCCTATGTTGCTATACAAGGGTGCATCCTACACCTGTAAAGTTGCCGAAGATTAACAAAGACCCCAATTCCCCATTGCCTTCCACATTCCTACGAGGTCTACAGTCCTGGTGATGGCAGCTGGCTGCCCTGAGAGCCTGGAGTTCAAAGCTCTTTAATCCTGCTGGTAATGGTAACTGGCCCTGGGCTGCTAATGATACTTAAGTGATTGTTGACTCTCCATTCTGTTAGTAAACCAAAGTGTAAAACTCCAGCATTTTAGAGTAGCCAGAATTCAGCAAATTGTTGACTTGCTTCAGTCTTAACTTTGTGGTTGGTTTTCTGCAGTTCTAAGAAGAAAACTTAAGAAGTTGCCACAAGTGAAGCGCTTTGAGACGTCTTGGAAGATGTGATAAGGCGCTATATCAAGTGCAAGCATTATTATTATTATTAAGTGTCATAATTATGTAAAAGATTAAAGAGTTCCATTACTGTGTTTCCAAAATATTACCACTTGTAAACAACGATAAATTGCATTCTCAGTTACTCACACCATACAGAGCTATTGGAGCTCCTGTGTCTCAGATGGAAGGCTTACAACAACACAAATGATACTTGTATAGTGCCCTTCATGTCGGAAACACGTCCCAGGATGCTGGACACTCAGGGGTTTGGATTTACCTGCTGGGAGGAGGCTATGGAGAATGCACGTGGTCGCATTTCGGGAATGAGGTCTAGGAGATAGTCATGTGGAATGATGGCAGTGGTGTGAGGAAAGTCAAATAAAACCTGGAACGAGAAGGTCAGAACGGAGTAGAATTCAAGATCTCTAAAAGGAAAGGAAATCCACAATTGCCCACATCTAGTCTTGGAAAGAAATGATTTGAATTCATTATTTGAATTTCTTTTAGAAAATAGTATTTTGGGATACAGTATATGAGTAATTTGAGACAAATTTAAATAAATAATAAAAATGTGATCATTCAATCCATGACTGTTTGTGGGACACTGTGGTGCGCAATTGGCAACCGTGTTTCGCCCACAAAATATACAGTCAATTCACTTGGCAGTTTATTCTGTGAACAACAACTTATAAAATGGATATAGAGGCACTGGAGAAGCTGCAAAAGAGATTTACAAGGATGATACCAGAACTGGAAGGTTATACCTATCAGGAAAGGCTGAACAAGCTTGAACTCTTTTCTCTTAAAAAGAGAAGGGTGACAGGTGACCTAATAGAGGTCTTTCAAATTATGAAAGGTTTTGATAGGGTAGACGTAGAGAATATGTTTCCTCTTGTGGGGGAGACCAAAACGAGGGGCCATAAATATAAACAGTCACCAATAAATGAAATACGGAAATCCGAAGAAACTTCTTTACCCAGAGAATGGTGGGAATGTGGAACTTGTTACCACAAGGAGTAGTTGAGGCGAATAGCATAGATGCATTTACGGGGAAGCTAGATAAGTACATGAGGGAGAAAGGAATTGAAGGTTGTGCTGATAGGCTCATTTGAGGAAGGGCAGCAGGAGGCTCATGTGGAACATGAACACCGGCCTAGATCAGTCGGGCTGAATGGAGTGTTTCTCTGCTGTATATTCTATATAATTCTATGTAAAACTTGCATTTATATAGTGCCCTTCAAGCGGGGTAGCGTCTTTGAGACGTCTCGAAGATGTGATATGGCGCTATATCAAATGCAAGGATTATTACTGTAACATATAGTAAGCATAGTATGGCCTGAATCTAGGCAACTTTGGATCTAAGGTTCCCAAAGATTTCCACTGTGAGGTCGACTAATCCATACAGAATTAATTGCTATCAACACCTCCATTACTGTAGCACGGTGACTACCAGGATGGCAGAAGGCGGACTAGATGGACCTAGATAAGTTTTCGTCCAGCAATATCTATGTTCCTACCTCCAATGTGGTTCTGCGAGGCCTGTTACAGTAGCTGTACAATTCCTCCTGGCCTTTGGCTGAGCTGAATTCTTTCAGTTTCTCTTGCTCCATCTCATCCACGGAAAAGTGTGACAAGAGCTCGAAGAACGAGCGGCGTGGGACGCCATTAATATCCAGGTGACGTTCCACCATATACTGGACAGTACACGGCTGCGGCAATCGAGCAGGAAGCGGCGTAGCTAAAAAGGAGAAATATCAGTGTGAATGTCAGCCACTGCACCTGTACAGCATTAACCAGGAGAAAAATTTGGCAATTTACAAAATTATTGTAGGAAGAAGAAAGCTCCATTACACCAAACAAGCCTGATCCATTTTATTAAGATCTCATCAGAACAACCATCCTGTTCCAAATACCTCCACAGTAACATGTGCAGTGGCCACGTGAACCCATTTACGCATTTTTGGGTCTTCCTCCTGAGGTGAAAAGCGCATATAAATGTAAACTGTATTGTATTTATACAGTGTAAGTATCAACGTCCATTGAGTTTCTCTGTGTGTGTCCTGGCCAGCAATCCCCCAAATAAAATTGCTCAATCACTTCAAGCTGTTTGGTTTGTGGGATGTTGCTGTGCACAAATTAACTGCCATAAATACACAGTCACTTCACTTCACAGTAAAATCCTATTAAGCGCTGTGAGACATCTTGATGGAAGTGTTAAGGCTCTATGCCAAATGCAAGGATCATAAATATTACGATTATTTGGTTAGTTCTGACGTTGTTTAAAATAGGAGTTTCTTGGTTGAATGCTTCGCTCTGTAGATAAAACTCGAGATCCGCTTTCAGCATCACTAGAGTGGACAAGGGGAAAGGGTTCCAACCTGAATCATTGGGTTTCAGGAAAAACATGCTGTGCGGGTCGAGTCGCAGCAGCTGACAGAACTGCTGCACACTCTCCAGTGAGTTTCGAGGTTCGATCATCACCACATCTCCTGCTGAGTATCTGCAGATTGAGGACAGGAAAGGAAATAAAATAATAATTCTTACATTTGACACAGCACCCCTGCTCCATTATCGAATGGGAAGGCCGAACATCACACGATAACCGCAATTTCAGAATTTAATTTGCTACGTTTGGTAAACTCAAGTGCGGCTTACTCAATGCCAGAGCCGGCGATGTCAAACTTCATGAGCCGTACATCCTGGAAGTGCGAAGGGTCAGTGACCCTCCGATTGGAAAGAACCCTGGCGTGGAATGGTTGAACCTGTGATGGAGGCTTTCCGTTTCTCCCGTTCATATCCAACGCTTGCACAGGGACGTCGATGTTCGTTTCATCCTGAAACTGAAAGCTGTATTTTGATGGCAATCTGTGAAGGGAATAAATAAACAGAATTACATCCACAAACACATAAAATATACACACTGACAGTACTGTATTGGGAGTGTCAGCCTGGACAATACGTGTTCAAATCCCCGAACACCACTAAATAATCTCAATGCATCAGAGTCCCCCAAAAAATCAAATGAACTAATTTCATGTTTATTCAGAGATGTTGATAATTTTTCCTCTTCTCCCAGTTCATCTCAATAAAATTTGATGTAAGAGGGAACCAGGACATCTTGCACACTGGGAGGTCAGAATCCAGTTGCCACGGGTCAAGCACGTGGATCTTTATCTGTCCATCCCACCTCTAACAGCAGCCAGCAACCAAGTCTCAAGTAGCAAACCTAGACTGAGCAGTGCTGGGACCCTGTCTCTCTCCGTTTGTGAAAGGCGGTCTATAAATGAAATCTTGTTGTTGTTGTTTCCTTACTTACAGCCCTAATGGGCCTTTGAGTTAGTGAAACCAACAAGGTGAGGTGTGTGTGTCTTTCTCTCTCTCTCCCTCCGGCAGCTTTTGTGTTTTCATTCTACTCACAAGACATCATCGCTGAGCTCATTCACTCCCTGAGGCAGTGGATAGAGTTTTAAGGCCTTTGCCCAAAATTCAGTCAGCCAGGGATCAATCACAGCATCTGGTCTGTGGAGAACGGGGTGAAGGTGGGGCAGGGAACAGACAAACACAATTATTTTTAGGAAAAAATTCTTTCTCACAGAGCATAAAATACAACAGATGAAAATCTAGTTCTTTTAAAACAGAATGCTGGAGGCGAGATGACTCAAATTTAACACCTTTTCTGCATCTGTCGCAGGGAAAAATGCAGGAAAATGGATCTAAATGAACATTATTTTCAGAGAGTCACCATAGGTGGCTTTCTCCTGTGCTGTATATTTCTAAGGTTCTAATCTACCTCCAGGCGGATGGAATTCTAAACTGATCCCATATTAAGGAATCAAATTTAAAAAAAACTCACATATTGAGTCCATTGTCAGCAGTGAGTCAGAGCTGTAGAATACATTTCAGTCCAGAGTCTGTCGTACATGCTCAATTTGCCATTATATTAACAATAATAATCCTTGCATTTGATCTAACTCCTTATCACGTCATTGAGACGTCTCAAAGCGCTTCACAGAATAGATTGTAAAATGGATTGACTGTGTATTTTGTGGGCGAAATACAGCAGGCAATTGTGCACAGCAGTGTCTTACAGACAGTCATGGATTGAGTGACCAAATTCTTTCTTAAAGGAATTATTACCCCGAAAATCATATGCAGTTCAATCACAGGCGCTCACAGAGAAGAATCTTACCCCAGCTCATGCTGGTCATCGCCTAATCCCAGGGTCATCAGAGGATTGGATCCCAACTGGACCAGACGTTTCCTCAGTTTCTTTGCGATAAAGTTAAACCTTTTATTGAAGGAAAGTTTGAAAATGGTTCTTAAAACTCACAAAAGAATCTCAGCCACATTCAACAGTGACTCAAGATTTTAAAATCCTATTATACTTTTAATAGCTACGATATTTCAATACAAATTCCACCTGCGTCTAGATTTATTCTATTTGCTTTGCATTTCAGAGCATCTAGCAAACTTTCAAAGTTTGTTTTCTGTAAGTTTAAGAACTACAGCTGTCCACACCTGTCTCGGTGTTACTGAGCATTCACACACTAACAACAACATCTACTAGGGATTACAACAGACCATGTGAACACACTTAAACTCCCTAATGGACTAGACACCGTTGACAAACTTACTTGGGATAGGAGGAGTCACCGAGACCCAGGACAGCAGAGTCCACGAGACAAAGAGAGTTTGCAGGAAGGTTTCGTCGGAAGAAAAACCTCCAGAAGTGCTGGATACGTAAAAAAAATGTTAGTTTGGAACATGTCACGCATACATGAGAGAAAAGGGAAGAGAAGTGATATCGTATATAATCTACAAGTCTATGTAAGGTTTGTGCACTGTCTGACAGGAGGATTATCCAGCCGGAGTAAAGCCTATCTATTTTTTGGTCAGCTCAGCCTTGCAGAGACCCATCGCCGTGCTCAAGAGTATCCAAACCAAACTACCAAGAAACGTCAATGGTCAACTCTGTAAACATTCCCTGACCAGCAACAATTCCATCAGAAACAATTCAGTTCAGTTCAAAAACCCTCAGTTTTTTGTATGTTTCTACCAGAAAATAAGCAGTACTAAAATCCTGAAGCAGAGAGAGCAAGCCAGTGTGATCATACCTTCATATTGTCAGGAGATTCTCCCTGCCCGGTGGTGGAACACACAAACATGACCAGGGGCTCATAGATCAGGTCGGCCTGAGGAGACGTGAGAGGAACAAAACCATGGGTAACAACAATGATATTTCGTGCATTTGATATAGTGCTGTCAAGATGTCTCAAAACGCTTTATGGGGTTTACTTTAAAGTGTGGTGACTGTTTATTTTGTAGGCGAACAGTCAAATTGCACACACCAATGTCCCATGGGAAGCAAGTGACCAATTTTTATCTGGGGGATTGTTGGCCAGGACACCAGGAGAAACTTGCTTCTCTTTTCGAAAAGTGCCTTGGGATATTTAACGTCCACCTGGACAGGCAGACGGAACCTTGGTTTAACATCTCATCTGAAGGACGGTGCTTTGAAAATAAAGCGCTCCCAAAGCAATGCACTGCAGTGTCAGCCTGGACTGTGAGCTCAAAGTCCCGAGGTCGGGCTTGAACCCACAGCCATCTGGACTCAGGCGCGAGGGTGCTACCAACTGAGCCAGGCTGACACACAAGGAGCGAATCAAAAATCTAATGCATCACATAAGACACTTTCCTCCAACCTCAGTTACTTCTCCTCAAAGCCCCACCCCCCGTTGTCAGTGCTCACTAATGTGTAATGATCCAACGCTGTGACTCTGCATGTGAAATGCCTCCGCTTGCCTTCCCTGCCGATGCGTTCAGCCACATCCTGGGCTGTGCCGGTCTGGCTTCCATAAAGAACCAGCAGCTTTCGCTCCGCCATCTGCAAAGAGAAGACAAAATGAAGACAAGGAAGTGAGATGGGCAAATTGAGATTCTCTTTCCTCAGATCGATCAGCTTGAAATATTGTACCCTCAAAGAAATATTCCATCCGGGTTGATTTAATATAGTGATGCGCACACTGTAGCTATAGTGATACACCATGCAGCTGTAGTGACACACATGCGATAGCAGCAGTGACACTCACTCACTATATCTATGGTGACACTCACTCATTATAGCTGCAGTGACACTCACTCACTATAGCTGCAGTGACACTCACTCACTATAGCTGTAGTGACACTCACTCACTATAGCTGTAGTGACACTCACTCACTATAGCTGCAGTGACACTCACTCACTATAGCTGTAGTGACACTCACTCACTATAGCTGTAGTGACACTCACTCACTATATCTGTAGTGACACTCACTCACTATAGTGACACTCACTCACTGTAGTGATACTCACTCACTGTAGTGACACTCACTCACTATAGCTGCAGTGACACTCACTATAGCTGTAGTGACACTCACTCACTGTAGTGACACTCACTCACTGTAGCTGTAGTGACACTCACTCACTATAGCTGTAGTGACACTCACTCACCGTAGCCGTAGTGACACTCACTCACTGTAGCTGTAGTGACACTCACTCACTGGAGCTGAAGTGACACTCACTCACTATGGCTGTAGTGACACTCACTTACTATAGCTGTAGTGACACTCACTCACTGTAGTGACAACAACAACAACAAGATTCCATTTATTGAGCGCCTTTCACGTCGGGAGGACGTCCCAAGGCGCTGTACAGTAGGGTCAGGACCCGAGCAAGGGGGAAATGGTCAGGGTGAGGGGAGGGAAGGGAGGGAGCGAGGAGGGGGTAGAGAGTCGAGAGGAGAGCTGAAGGCACGGTCAAAGAGAAAGGTCTTGAGACCGGCCTTGAAGGAGGAAAGGGAGGAGGCGGCGAAGGCACTGGGGGATAGAGTTCCAGAGCCTAGGGGCTGAGAGGCTGAAGGCCCGGCCACCGATAGTAGGGCGGTTGGGGCGGGGGATGTGGAGCAGACTGGAGCCAGAGGAACGGAGGGTACGGGTGGGTAGGTAGGGGGATAGTAGGTCGGAGAGAGCGACACCGTGAATGGCCTTGTAGGTGAGGGTGAGGATCTTGAATTCGATCCTCTGGGGGATGGGGAGCCAGTGGAGGCGAGCGAGGGCGAGGGTGGGAGTGATGTGGTCGCGGTGTCTGGTGCGGGACAGTACACGAGCTGCAGAGTTCTGAATGACCTGCAGCTTGTGGAGGGAGGGCCGGGAAGGCCGGCGAGGAGAGAGTTCCCATAGTCCAGCCTTAAGGTGATAAAGGCGTGGACCAGTGTGTCAGCAGCGTGAGGGGTGAGGTAATGCCGTAGTCTGGCGATGTTCCGGAGGTGATGGAAGGCGGTGCCAGTTGTGGCGCGGATATGGGGGAAGAAAGGACAGCTCAGGGTCGAACAGAACCCCGAGGTTCCTGACTGGCTTTGAGAGGTGGAGAGTGTGGCCTTGGATGCTGATGCTGTCAGCGCCTGAGGTGCGGAGGCGCTGACGTGAGCCAATCAGGAGGGCCTCAGTTTTGCGCACGTTGAACTGGAGAAAGTTATCTCTCGTCCAGGACTCGATGTCGGACAGGCAGCTGTCAGGACATCGGGGGTCGTGGAGTTGAGAGTAGAGGAGGAAAGGTACAGTTAGGTGTCATCCGCATACATGTGGAAGTTAACCCCATGTCTGCGGATGATGTCACCACAGGGGGAGCATATAGAGGGTGAAGAGGAGGGGACCGAGGACAGAGCCTTGAGGGACACCGCACGAGACAGTGCAGGGGCCGGAGGAAAAACCATTTGTGGAGACAAAGTGAAGACGGTGGGAGAGGTATGACCTAAACCACTCAAGGACAGGGCCTTGAAGGTTTAGGTGGGAGGACAGGCGGTGGAGGAGGATAGTGTGGTCGACCGTATCGAATGCTGCCGATAGGTCGAGGAGGACGAGGAGTCAGAGGGAGCCCTGGTCACAGATGGTCAGGATGTCATTGGTCACCTTGACCAGGGCGGTTTCTGTGCTATGGGCAGCACGGAAACCCGATTGAAGGGGTTCGAATAGTGAATGGTTGGAGAGGAAAGAGCGCAGCTGGGAGGCGACAACTCGTTCCAGGACCTTGGATAGGAAGGGGAGGTTGGAGATGGGCCGGTAGCTTGATAGCTGCGACGCTAGGTCAAGGTCACCAATGACATCCTGACCATCTGTGACCAGGGCTCCCTCTGCCTCCTCGTCCTCCTCGACCTATCGGCAGCATTCGATACGGTCGACCACTCTATCCTCCTCCACCGCTTGTCCTCCCACCTGAACCTTCAAGGCCCTGTCCTTGAGTGGTTTAGGTCGTACCTCTCCCACCTCCTTGCCCCACATATCACAACATCGTCAACCTGTCCCTCTCCTCTGGCTCTATTCCCATTCCCTTAAAAAAATAGTGACACTCACTCACTATAGCTGCAGTGACACTCACTCACTAAAGCTGTAGTGACACTCACTCACTGTAGCTGTAGTGACACTCACTCACTGTAGTGACACTCACTCACTATAGCTGTAGTGACACTCACTCACTGTAGTGACACTCACTCACTATAGCTGTGGTGACACTCACTCACTATAGTAATACTCACTCACTCACGATAGCTGCAGTGACACTCACTCACTATAGCTGTAGTGACACTCACTCACTGTAGTGACACTCACTCACTATAGCTGTAGTGACACTCACTATATCTGTAGTGACACTCACTCACTATAGCTGTAGTGACACTCACTCACTGTAGCTGTAGTGACACTCACTCACTATAGCTGTTGTGACACTCACTCACTGTAGTGACACTCACTCACTATAGCTGTAGTGACACTCACTATATCTGTAGTGACACTCACTCACTATAGCTGTAGTGACACTCACTCACTATAGCTGTAGTGACACTCACTCACTGTAGTGACACTCACTCACACACTGCAGTTGTGGTGACCGCCGCACTCCGCGTCGCTCTGACCCCCGGGAGCGGCTTCCCCGGAACTCCAACCCGCGGCCGTCTTTACGACGCGGCACAGCTGCCGTAAGGCGTGTTGCGCGGTGCCCCAGTGCGGCTGCGCGATGACCCCTTTCCCCCCGCCCCCCCTCCCCCGCCGCGTGCAGTGCGGCTGCGCAGTGCCCTGTGGATGGCGATGCTGGTGTCCCGCCGCCTGGTCTCCACCGGGAGCCGCCGGTAAGTGTCTGGTCGGCAAACCGGCTCCCGCCCGCCCGCCGCCTGGCCAGAGCCACCGTCCCCGGGGCGGGGCAGGGCGGGGCGGGGGGTTGGGCCCCTCAACACAGGCGCAACAGCCACAGGGCGTGGGGGGGGGGGGTGTAAACACAGCCCGTCTTTGCCGACTGATCACCGTCATAATCCCGGCCTTTGATCTAATAATAATAATCCTAATAATAATCCTAATAATAATCCTAATAATAATCTTCTGCATTTGATACAGCGCCTTATCACGTCTTCCGAGGCGTCTCGAAGCGCTTCCCGCGACGCACCGCAAAGCCGCTTGACCGTGCGTCTCGCGAGCGACACGCGGCATTGTACCGTGCGGCGGACCGTACCGCGTGCTGCACTATTACACGGCGGGAGGGAGGGAGGGAGGCGTAAACACAGCCCGTGTCCACCGTGCTCTGTTTGTATGCCGTGATATTCCGCGGAAAGAGATGCAAACAGAGTCTGGATGCGCCGTGTGCTCTGCTGTGTAAAGTATGTACGAGTGTGCACTATATCCTGCATTATACGGAGTCCTGGAGCTCAGTGGTTAGAGCACTCGCTTTGCAAGCGAGACACCTGGGTTCAATTCCAGGCCGGTCAGGGCCAAACCTTGGACAAGTTTCCTTACTCCACACACGTAATAATAATCCCTCCAAAAACAATAATAAATTGGTCATTTTCAATCCACGACTGTTTGTGGGACATTGCTGTGCGCAATTGGCTGCTGCGTTTCACCCACAAATATACAGTCAATTCACTTTACAGTCTATTCTGTGAAGTGCTTTGAGACGTCGAGAAGATGTGAAAAGCGCTAGATCAAATGCAAGGATTATTATTATACACAGGGATGGGCATAGTATTTGAATAATGTACATTATTGTGATAATATGTACAGAGAGATCTAATAACAACAAGAACTTGCATTTATATAGGGATGTTCATATGGGGCAGCGTCTCAGAGCGCTTAGTTAAAGTGATTTACACGGCTGATCGGCAGCCCGATCTGGGTATGGGGGAGTTGAGGAGGGAAAAGGAAGGTGGTCCAAAGTGAGGTCAAAGAATTAGGCCTTAAGGTGGGTTTTGAATGTGGGAAAAAAGTGGAGAAAGAGTGCCTGGAGGCTTGTTCACTGATGGTGGGGTGAAAGGGCTGGGGGACGTGGAACTGAAACAGTTTTCTGAGTGGAGGAAAGCAGGCAGACAGGGCAGTAGGGTCAGAGGAAGTCACAGAGGGAAAGTGAGGTGGGGCTGTTGAGGGATTTGAAAGTAAGCATGAAGATTTTGAATTTGATCCGTTAGCGAGCTATTTGCCGAATGTTTTTTATTTTTCAGAAGTCGTACCCCTGTGCCTGTGGACCCCACAGAGTTTTATTCGCTTGTCGCTGAATGTCTAAGGGTCACTGACTGAGGAATCATCTTCTAGAGGCTGTAGAATTGATTGAGGCTGCCAGTTTCGGAGCCAGTCTCCCTATTGGGCCAACATGCTGTTCTCGCTCCGTGAGCTGGTGCAGTGGCTGGGCTTTGCCACCTTTGAAATGCTGATGCATCTCATGGCATTCCTGGTGTTCTCCATTCTCCTCGCTATAAAGGTGGACTTTGTGCCATTGCTGGCCTGGTGGTATGTCTTCATCCCCCTGTTCACAGCCGACGGCCTCAGCACCTATTTCACCATGATCGTGTCCATCCGCCTGTTCCAGGATGGAGAGAAGCGTCTGGCAGTGATGCGTCTCTTTTGGATCTTGACTGTCCTCAGTCTGAAGTTTGTCTTTGAGATGTTACTGTGTCAGAAGCTGGTGGATCCAAGTCCGCAGCTATGGTATGGACTCATCATGTCACCAATCTTCATCCTCCTCCAGCTGTTGATGATTAGAGCTTGCAGAGTCAACTGATCGTTTTAACAAGTTCAACGCACACTTTCCATTCAGCTGACGGACTGCCAAGCACTAAAGCCTCCTTGGACAACCTTAGAGGGAGATTTTGGATTAAACAGACATTTTGTCTTGGTGCTGTCCTGAAGTGCTGCTTTATAATGGAGTGGCTTTCTTTACGCAATGCAAGCTGACTGCTGTTTTTTCTGGACCCTGTTACTGGACTTAAAGCACGAAAATGCGAAGTACTCAGGAAGAGAATGAAGCTGGCAGGACAGAGGATTTTGTATATGTTTCTAACATTCAAACAGCTCCCATGGCAGCAACCAGCCTCTTGACCAGCTATTGCTCCATCTTGCTCTGCAGTTACGAAGAGAAGAGGGAAAGGAAGAATGCAGTAATACAACAGAACTGTAAAGTGTTCCCTATGTGTTTTCCCAGCTGGAGTTAGTTACGATTGCGTTAGGTAAAAGTTCGCAGCCAAGAGGCTGTGCCAGGGGTTTACTTGCACTATTAATAGGGATGGGATGTCATGATATATTTTTAGGTGGTAAATTTTTTAACAAAGTATGTTGATCTTGTGGCATTATGTGAGTCCTGCCATTTTCAGGGAAATCATCCTTGTGGTTCAGGGAAAAAAGGCCTTGTTGTAACTGTTCACTTCCAATGATTAAGATAAGCAAAAGTCAGCTTTTCAGAAAGCGCTGTTAGTAATATTTGGACCCCGATCACTGCTTTTTGACCACATGTGACACTGATTAGGGATATTGAAGGGGGCAGTCTTTGTTGGTTAGGCTCCAGGAGTTGGCTCTTGCCAACCTGCGCCTAATACTGTCCAGGATTAGGTAAGCAGGATGTGTTATTACAGGGAGAGAGTGCGCATTCAATTCCAACAATCTATCTCTGAAATTTCCATATGTAGGTGGGATGCATGGAATTCTCAGTTTGGTTAGGATACTCGTAAGCACGGTGATGGGTTTTCGCATGTGTCAGACAGCCAGCTGACCCCCCAAAAAAATCCTGCATTCCAGCCCATGGTTAGGATAGCAATGGCACAAGTGGTTGCTCAATGCTGCCCGACATTGACCCCGGCAGATTTTGCACTGTGTTTTACCAAGTGGAGCTCAGGGTATGAGGTCTGATCAGGGAATTGCTGCAAATTGGCATCCGGGCCCCAATGCAACATTCAGCAGCTCAACATCCTTAATTTTCTGGTGGTTTGACATGCTGATCAGCCAGTCCATCTCACATTGTCATTATTTAGGCTGGTATGCAATGCAATTGCCAGTGATCTACAGCTATCATTGCTTATAATTCATATCGTCAACATTGCTAGAGAATTCAGTGACTAGGTGATCACTTGCAACCTTAAAATCATAAACAAGCTTCACAAAATAAAGATGCAATTCATCGGGATAGCAGTTATCAGACACCTTACTCCCCGCAAGTGACGTTAAATCGGAACTGTTTGGTAACATTTTACGTTTTTAGCCATTGTTTGTAATCGTGATTCTTGTATTTAACTGCAAAATTAACTGCCTGGATCAGTTGATAGCTCTCTCTCCTTTGCGTTTAGAAGGTTGTGAGTTCAAAGCTCACTTTGGGACTTTGAGCTCATAGTCCAGGCTGACACTCCAGTGCTGTATTGTCGGCGGTTCCATTCTTTGGATGAAATGTTAAACCACTGACTGGGCTGCCTGTTTGTGACATTGTTTGAACAGAGAGGGGAGTTTCATCTGGTCTCTTGGCTAACAATTACTCAGATAAAATTGGTCATTCACTTCATGGCTATTTGTGAGATATTGTTTGTGCAAAATGGCTGCTGCGTTCACTTGCAAAATACACGTTCTCTGCATTTTATGGAAAATACTCTGAAGTGCTTTGAGACAATATGGTGACATGATGCGGCATTAAACCGAATGCAAGAACTATTATTATTTTATTGTAAATTGCTGTTGATCTGCACTTTGCACGTTAACCAATGTGTCGCCGTATCCATCAGGACTTGGCTTATCCCACTGCGATATCCCACCCACAGAATTTCCTGTGTTCCCAGATGGAGATGGAAGGAGCTGAGCAAATGCAAGATGCTTCCCAGCGCCCTGGGACGTCCTCCCGGCATGAAAATCGCTACACAATTGTAATTGTTGTTGTTTATTGTGGTAGTAGTGGAGGGGTAAACCTGAGTGTTAGTTAACTCTCACATAGCAGCTTGTCTCCAATTTACTTGGCACAGATCTGGGAGCAGGTCATCCCGACTGCCCTTTTTCAGTGCCTGATGAAATAGCTAGGGAGTTTTCTTGTTAGAAACAAATGTAACATTGAAAAATTAACCTAACATTAGCTTTCTTGGCTACTCTTGCTCATCACTATCCAAGGCTCCCCCCAACCTCTCTCTCTCCCTCCTCCTAGAATTCTGGAGTTGAGGCATATTGGTTAGCACACTCACCTTGCAAGCGAGAGGACCCGGGTTTGATTTCTAGGCGAGTAGAACATTTAGGCAAGTTTCCTTAGTCCACATGCCTGTCTATCTAGCAATACGTAGGAACCCAGTTGTTAGTCGATTGGCAGAACACTTTCTGGGGGTAATAATTCCTAAAAAAAATTGTTCACTCAATCCACGACCGTTTTATGGGACACTTATGTTCGCAAATAGCTGCTGCTTTTGTTCACAAAATACACAAGTCAATCCACTTAACAATATATTCTGTGGGGTGCTTTCAGACTTATCAGCAACATGATAAGGTGCCGTATCAGATACAAGGTTTATTATTATTAGAATGTACTTTTGTGTGACTCAGACTTCACAGTACGGTGATCAAGGAAGGTGTTTAAGGAAGTTATCTGCGTAATTTTTAACCTAGTCATGACGATTAACAGCAAAGCAGCAATTTGTTTTGGGCGCACTAGAAAATTGTCACAGTAAAGACTTGGGTGTGGAACAGAATCGAAACATACCACAGTACACACTGCACAGGGCGTGGGACATACATTGCGTGGGTCAGAAGTTTATTGCCTTTCATTTCACGCAGATGGCGAACATATTTGTGAACAATACTGGTCCAGCAAACGCGTTTCATTGTAGTTATCTGAAGGATCAGAAGAACTTTCCCACCACAAACGGACCACGTCTCCTCCCTCCCCTGTGCCCAACCTAAAATCCCGGGAAGGGCTTTGAAACGTCTTGACACGATTAAAGGAAAATGATCCTTACATTTGGTATAATTCCTTCCAGGATACATAACAATAATAATAATAATAATAATGCTTGCAATTTGATATTGCCCTTTATCACGTCGTTGAGACGTCTCAAATCGCATAAGCCTCAAACCGCCTATGATGATAATGCTCCTTGTGTACAATGTAGAGTGTAGTGACTGTGTGTTTGGTGGGGCTGCCAATTTGCGCACAAAGGACTTGAGAGAAAGGGCGCCGTCTGCACGCGATTGCGGGGCTCGTTGTGATGTGGTCGGTTGTCACTGTTGGAATTCGGCCCCTTTGTGTGCGCTCGCCTGCAGTGGCGGCGGGCCTCCTGCAGGCGGCGCTGCCGACAAAGGGGAGGGAAGCATTGCCGCGCCCTCGCTCGCGTCTCTTTGTTGTGGCTGCCGGTGGGCGGGTTGGATTGGGTGGCGGTGAGGGAGGGGGGGGGTTTGCGCGGTGGCTGACGGGATGTTGGAGGAGTAGTCTGGAGGTCAGAGGCGCACTCCAGTCAGTCGTCAGTCAGTCAGTCAGTCAGTGAGTGGCGGCGCGCTGAGCCGGACGGGCGACGATGTCGGTCAGCGAGCAGCGGTCGCCGCTTCACCAGCACGAAACCCCGGGGCCCGAGGCCGACGGCGACGCCAAGATGGCCAGAATGCCGGCTTGGATGAGGGAGATCCTGGAGAGGAGAAAGGCCAAGCTGAGCGGCCCGGCGGCGGAGAGCTGGAGCCGGGGGGCCGCCGCCGCCGCCGCCATCATCACCGCGTCTCCTAGCAACCAGGAGAGCCGGGCAAGGGGCGAGCCGGGGCCTGGGCCTGGGCTGGAGCCGGGGCCTGGGTTGGAGCCGGACCCGGAGCCGGAGCCGGAGCCGGAGCAGGGCAGCAGCGCCGTGCTGCGGGAGAACATCGCTCCCCTCCAGGAGAACCCCTTCATCAAGCTGGAGAGGAGAGGCGGCGGCGGCGGCGGCGGGTGGCCTCTCCCGCCAGACCCGTGCAGGAGCTGCTGGAGCTGTACAACCACATGCCCGGCGTCAGGACCATCCAGGCCGACAACATCATCATCATCGAGTCCGACCCGGACTACTTCGGCGAGGGCCGCCCCCAGTCCGTCAGCAACGGCGGCGCCCTCCACGGCGTCGACGACCTGCTGGCCAGGGGCGCCCAGGGCGGCGTGGCGGAGATCCGGGCGGCCGAGGTGGTCGTCTACGAAACGGCCCCCCCCCTCCTCAGCAAGAGCGAGGAGAACCTGAGCACGCTCGTGATCGGCCAGGGCCAGGGCCAGGGCCAGGCCCGGGTCAACAACGGAGGCGTGTACTCCGGGAAGCTGCAGGGCCAGGTCAGCCGGCTGCTGGAGAAGTTTGATCAGCACTACACCAAGCCGGTCAGGTCGAGGAGCACGGAGAATCTGCTGGACAGCTTCTCGTCCTCCAGGGAGAAGTACAGCGGCAAGCCACTTCTGTTGCCAAAGCCGCCCGCGTTGACCGCTTCTTTTAAACACAGCCAAGTCCCGGCAGCGCCCAAGGCTGCCCCCCGCGAAGTCCCGCCTCGACTTCAGGTCGGTCTGAACCAGGAGGATGAGCCTAGATGGGACAGTGCATCCCCCTCTCACCTCAGATCCACACCGTTGCACTCGCCTAATAGGTCTTCCTTCTCCTCGTCTCCCGTTCCAGCCGTCAGCGATCAAGGGACAAAAATCGGTGCCAGTGATGATAGTGTTTCTCAAGATCGCTTCTATACCGTGTCTTCTTACCGTAAGAGATTTGAGAGTGTCCCTACAGATGGAAGACAGTTGACCCCGAAGGATTTGTCACATTGGACAGCAGGGTCTCCAAAGAGTAAAGAGAAGTTCTCGAAAGACTGGAGAGCTGCATTGAGCAAAGAAAGCAAACCAGTAGAGAATGGTCACACCGCTCATTCAGAACTGGGTTTCATAGAGACAAACGCAGTCTCTGCGAAGGAAAGTGCTGCTGACTGGAAAATGGGAAACCGAGATAATAAGTGGGCAAAAGAGACTGGGAGTGGCCAGGTGCCATCATTTCTTAGTGCTTCCAGCCTTGAAGCTTCCAAAGGGACCAACACTTGGAGGCCAAAGAAAGAAGTGGATCTAGAGAAAACCTCAAAATTGAATCCTGAAATACTCCAACTCGCTTCCAGAGTTTCGACCCCTGCAAAACCGAGTGCCACTCCCTCCGAGAAGTCGAAACAGAGCCACAAGGTGGAAGGCTTAGTGGCCAAACTAACGCCGAACCAGTGCAAGGCAGTATCTGCGTCCACTAGTCTGAATGACACCTTTGAAATCCTACCAGCAGCAACCCCAGATTTTTCGTCCATTCCAGAGGATGATATTCAGGCACAAGCACTAGCCAACCTGAAAAAGCAGTCTAAGAACTCATTTGTTGTGGTCCCTAAGAAGAAATCAGGTGATTATTTGACATCGAGTGATGTTCGCAGTTATAGGCAGATAAATGATGAAACCCCTGAAAAGCCAAAACTTGATCACAATCCTTTCAAATCTGTTGAGGTTCCAACTAGCAAGATTTCATCCGGTTCATGGGATAGACAGAGACACAAAGAAAAAGCATCTGTCCCAGAGTCTCTTCTTCCACCGGTAGAGTCTGAGTCAGAGGTCAGATTAAAAGAGAACTTGAACAAATTTTCTGCTGTTACTACATCGAGGGATGACTTTGAGCATCCAAAACACGAGAGCACTGAGCCTTCACTTATGAAAGGAACAGCAGGTCTGTTACCCAATGAGGTTCCACAGCAGGTTTCTAAACCCCCTGCCATGATGATGGCTGAAGAGGGGTCTCAGATGGAAGAATATCTCCCAATTACTAATATAGATGATATTGTGGACCCCGAAGAGAAAGAAAATCCTGAAGTGTTATTAGCCAGGGCCAAATTGCCTACGACACAAGACAAGCCTCAGGAACCTTATAGCAGCAATCAGAACACCTGCATGCAGCGAAAGAGCGGAAACACTTTCACCATTGTTCCTCAGCGAAAACCAGCTATAAGTAGTCCAGAACACTCCAATACAAAGGACACCGTTCAGGCAAATGGGACAGATAAGTCGGTGGAAGATCCTGAGCCATCATTTGCCAAACTGGGGATGTTGTTAAAGAAACGTTACCCACTTGCTGAGGAAATTCAGGTGATAGGAGGGTATCTGTCACTGGAGAGATCCTGCTTGTCCAAGGTTGGCTCCACAAGAAAGAAGGTAAGGATCCAAATTAAATTGTCAATGGGTCAGAATGCCAAGTGAGGGGGTGCTGTGCAATTGGGAGGGCAAAAGGTGCTTTTGCTTTCTTGAATGGTTTCAGGCATTTAAAAGTTTGTTTAGAATTTCCGTAGAGAGAACAAAGTTTACCTTTCCCATAAATTTGCTTTGAAAAAGGTCTCTTTTTTTTCTGAAAGCCAATGCTATGATGTGTGACTTTCTACAGATTTTTTTCTCTGTGGTCTCCTCCTTTTTTCCCCCTCCGTGCAGGTTACCCAGTCTAATTTGACTTCACCGATAGCCTTTTGTGAAGTGGGTGTAATCATAATGTAGTGTAGCCCATTTTCCATTACAGTTACGAATATTCTCATGATCTCTGCTAGAATGCCCATTATTAGCAGTATTTGCTTGCAAAATAAATTGCTAAAGTGCACACATTGCCAAAGTGCCTAGGAAGAGTCAAGGGTCATTCTCTCCATCTGGATGTAAATCTCGATTTCCATGGTTTCAGCAAATGTGTATTGATCTCCAATTGATTTCAATTTAGGACAGCCATTAGCCATCAGAGGGAATGTAATACCCTCCATTCATGTAGCCTGGTTTTGAGGCACCTCCACATGTAATCCCTGAGGGATTGACTTTTGACCTGAGTAGGATCATGCAGGTCTAAGGATGGCAACCATGAAAGCCTAATAGCTGACCGCTGTTAAAGTGAATCGCAACCAGTTCAGTTTCAGTCCAAGGTCATTTTACCTCTGATTTACTCTTTCTTAGAAGGTTGTGAGTTCAAGATAAAATCATAATTACTAATAATTCTTGCATTTGATATAGCACCTTATCATATCCAGTAGGACTGGAGCAATGTACACAGAGGATCACAGGCCTAAAACTTCATTTGAAGATGAGCACATGCTTCAAAATATTGGACTTCCCAGAATAGCTCCACAGTTGGCTGCTCGCTTTCTGATGATGCTCTTAACAATGACTACCACAGTTACTCTCCATTGAATAGTATAAATGTTGGAGTAAGAATTAATGTTCAGCTTCCTTTCGTGCCCCACCAATGGTCCAATGAGTAAAGTTCACAGACCAGAAGGTTCAAACTAAAATCTGTTCTGAGTTCATTGATCTTAGCCAGGGCAATGGTTGTAGTGCCCTAATTTGCATTGCACCTCGATTTCAGTAGATTAAAAATCAGGTAGATTAAAAATCAGGTTACTCCGTTAACCCAGTGTGGGTAGGCAGAGATTGAGGACAGGATTAGCCTCAATTACTAATAATACCCCTTGCATTTGATCTAGTTCCTTATCAAGTCATTCTCAGAATGACTGTGTGTTTTGTGGGCACTTGTGTACAGCAATTTCCTATAGTTATGACAACCCCCATCCTCACATAATTGAATGACCCATTGACACTTGCTGTCAAGGTTTAGGACATGAATAATGGCCACTTGAGTGAGTGGCCTAGATGGCAACCAGCACCTGCTCAAGTGGCCATTATTCATGTACCCTATTAGAGGCAAAAAGCGTAAAGGAGAAAGTTTATGGAGAGAAAAATTTGTATTAGCTGTGATTTTAAAATTTTATGTTTTTGTGTTGGGACAAGGTTGGACTTAATCAGCACAAAACAGTGCCTTGATTGCCAATAGGTTCATGTTGAACTAACTTTAATACTTCCTCTGGAATCTGATGACCTGCAGTTCTCTGCTCTTTATAAATCCCTTCTACCCTTTCAATTCTTTGTGTCTGCAAGCTGAAACTAATTGGCCTTGACTTCCTTAAAGTCGTCGAGGGTACGTCAGCAGCTGCTTCAGATTAGAAAAGCACCCGGCAATCCGACTGGATTGCTGTGCTTGAACCACGGTTTAGGGTGTATTGGGTTAAAATCCCCTGACACTGAATGAATGGAAACTCCTCACTAGGGAGGGGGAAGCAGAGAGATTTATACTCTTGCACCATCAACATTTGCTGAGCTAGGTTTTGTCTTGTGATACTCTTGTTTACGCTTGCAAGATATTTCTGAAGGTTTAAGCTTCGAGTCCTCTATTATTACTTTCTGCTGCCATGTGGTTAGGCTGCTGTTTGAATCGATTATTCTCATGATGAATACTTGAGGAAGAAGGAAATGAAGGGATGTAAGGAGAGGGGAAATGAGGGGTGATGGTTTATGTGGTGTGGTTGGGCTGAAGGACTGTTTCTGTGCCGCAAAATTCCACGTAACACAAAAATTCAAGTTTTTTTTTGGTGTGTGCGTGTGCTTTGCAAAGACTGTTAGCTTCTGGAATTTCATTTAAAAAATCCTTGAAGTTGAGCAGCCATATACTGACTGCTCTAATCATACCTACAGGGTGACCAAAAGTCGTGATACCATTACAATGTCCAATAAGTCTTAAAGAGATGATGACATTTTTTGTTAGATAATAAGGTAGATATTATGAGTTTTTGTCGCCCTGTCACTTATTTTCCAGTAGCAGGTCCACAGAGATAACACTGGAAGCTGAGTGTTCCTCTCATTGATTTTGTGTAATTATCCGTTCCAATCTGAGCCCTTTGTCTTCCAGCTGGAAGACTTGTGTCGGGGCTGCTGTGATATCAGTCATTTATGTGTTTGCCAGAATTGAGCTGATTTTTTTTCCCCCCAGTCACATGAACAAAGAAGCGCCACATTGGGACATTTCCACCTCCCGTGTCGGGAGTTACAGTATCTGCCAGCTTTGTCCAATTGTGCAATAAACAAAAGGCAAAATACCGCAGATGCTGGAAATCTGAAATAAAACCAGAAGTCGCTGGGAAACCTCAGCAGATTGATCACGAAGCGTCTAAGTACCTGGCAGATCCTGAGGCATCCAGGATGTCTGTACTACCTGATCAGTTATCTCATAATATAGCCCACTTGTAAAGAGCTGAATGGATTAACCTCGCTCTGTTGTAAGTGTTTATTTTATTTTATTTGTTGAACAAATACATAATTAATACAAAGGCAATTAAATGGATTTAATAGCATAATGAAGCTAAAATATTCTTTCTGTTGGGCTTACCCACAAGCAATTGTTGGATTTGACTTCTAAACCGTTTCACTGATCACGTGCTTGCAATCCATTGGAGTGAGTTGGTTAAGTGGCTGGAACAGTTTTTTCTTTTTTGATACCTGCTTGTTAAAAGTGGTTCAGTCAAGATAGAATTTATAAGTAAAATCCTGTGTGGAATGCGGGAATTAATCAGGAAGGTAAAATATACGATTTGCTGCCTTACCAAGGACAAATGTTCGTTTTGATTCTGAACTCCTTCCTATCTTCTTTGTCATGTAGGAGAATTTATTTCGACTATCTATCTGCAGTCTTGAAAGTAGACTGTGTCAAAGGTCAGTGGCTGGAAAATCTCTACAATAACTTGTGAGTGTCTCAGGTATAGGGTGTGACCCCATTAAATGTTTGGGGACACAGGAAGTTGAGTACTAGAACATAGAACCATTTGGCCCATCATGTCTGGGCTGTCTCTTTTAAAAGCAATCCGTTCAGTCCCACTTATCTACCCTTTTCTCACAACTGACTCTTTTGTCTAGTTTGGTATGATGAAATGATTATGATGAAATGATTACTCACATATAGGGAACTATGCTTAAGAGCTATTCTCGAAGAGGCTTTAAAACTTACAGATTGTTGCTGGTGGAGCAGATCTTTTCTTTTGTCATGTTTAAATACAGCATACATATAGCACATAACATATAGACCTGAAATCCTTTGCTGTCTTGATCTTCTTTGTCTTAAGAATTACGATCACGCAGAAATGCAGTAAATCCTCATTCAATCTTAATTAGCCGTTCTTTCTAGAGTTCTTAAATGACTGGATTCCAATTTAAGACTGAATTTGAGATTGTTTGGCCTTTGGATAGCCAGCAAGGGAGAAGGGTGGAGTTGACCATGGATACGGTCAAAGAGGTAAGTTTTTAGCTGGGATTCAAAGACTGAGAAGAGATGGGAAGCGGGTAAGAGGACAGGAGTTCCAAAGGGTGAGGCATAGTTGCTGAAGATTTCATTTGAATTAAATCAAAAATTGGATTGACGAACAGGAATTTGATTTGCTTCTTTTTTGATATAACTTGTGCAACAATTTATGGAGCACATTGAGAGAACAGGGTAGTGAGTTGCAATGAGAGCAATGGGATCCATTGATTCCCAGTACAGTGAGCCCATGGAGATACTGAGTGCAGGCCAGACACATTGGCTTGGTGTGAGTAACCGGTGGTAATTTATTTTGTCGAAGGGCAGGATAATTAGGTTGTGAGGTAGGGTCATGACCAAATAAATTCCAAATGAGTAAGCCTGGCATCTGAAGAATGAGGAGGGGTCCATGACATTGATTATTGATGTCAGAATGCTACTTCATTGTGTTAAATGTTGTTTGAGTGAGGAGTGCCTGAAGGAGAGGTAGAGACTGGCCCGCCCAGAAATCAGTTTTCTGAGAGGAGGGTTGGGTTGTCATTGTTGCTTCTCAATTTGAATCCAGCCCATGGTAGGTATGAAAGGTATTTGTTTGTCATGTTACTGACTTCAGGGTTAAACTTATATAAGCCAAATATCAAGATATTTTTTACCCCTCCGTCAACACCATCGCCTGTTTCCCTCTCAGCTCGGACTCTTGCTCAGTTTGTAAGGATCTTTAAGATATTCTCCTTATGTGAAAGGTGATACGTAAATGCAAATTGTTGTTGCCACTCTGTTTTACCAGTCTTAACCCACGTGCTGGTTCAACCTGTTGCCCCCCTCTTCTATCCTAAAAGAAACAAAATCTGACCTCAAACACTCAAGTCGAGAGGGGCCGCGTGGGTTACTGCATGAGGTGGTAAATCTGTCTCTCTACAGCTCACTTTATATAAAGCCAATTGCCCACACTGCCTGTCATTCATGTCCACTTTCCACTTCAAGGTGCCTCTCGAAGAGTTGAAAAGATAGTGGATAGAAAGTGAAACTTGGAGTACTTGAGCAGCTTTGATTTGAGGTT